ATACATAAAACTGGGCTAAATATATATGTTTTGCAATAAATTGATGTTAGACGATTAAATTAATTGTGTACTTTCAGATTTTTTGTGTGATATTCTTTACATAGCATTAGAAAAAAATAGAAAATTAATTGATTGCTGTTGACGCTAATGAATGTGAAAGAAGATTATATTGTATTGATATGAAATAATACTTACAAGGAAAAATCTGTAAATTACTATTAAAAAATTATTTTCCTTTCTAAGTATATAATTCTTCGCGATGTAATCTTCGTGAGTCGACTTTTTTCATCTCCATGTATATACTTCACGATCGTGTCTATCATGTCGATCTCGGTTGGCAAAACTTATGCTTATCAAGCAGTTTCAGAAAATCGGAGCTTTAATTAGGTTTCGATCGAACGTGTCCGATGTTGAGAGAGAAAGAGAGAGCAAGAAGGAGGAAGAGAGAGAAAGCTCAATAGGGGTAGTTATCGAATCGCACAAACTTCATGAATACATGCAGGTGGTTCTCGCAAGAACGGGTTGTTCGCACAAAGTCGATACGACAGACCCGACAAGGAGTCCTGGACTAACGAGAGGATCCTTCTTTGGGAATTGATTGTCCTCCTGGATGTTGTCCTTAAATTTCGCCGGAATATTATGGAAATGAAAGCCCAGGACTTCCAGACGCGATGACGACGAACGACAAAGTTAACCGCGTTGTATTATAACTCACGCGTTAGCATACGCAATCGGATCATCGTGGGGTGGCGACGTCTTAACGAGCGTCGCGATGCCAGATGCGATTAAGAGATCCGACAAGCTGACTCGCGGCGTTTTATAGCGAATGGGGAGACACCGACGCGGATTTATGTCTTATTACTTTATAGCAGCCTCTTGTTAAGCTGTGTCTTTGGATAGAATCATTCTCAAGGAATTCTCAAGAAACGCTTCTTAAGCATAAAGTATCTTATCTGAGAAATTCCGAGATATTAATGTAAAATGAAATTTTTTTTGTCCAATTGTTTATTCTGGATGTGTGCGATTAAATTGTGAATTAAAATTATGCATAATTTCTAATATGTTTTATATTTATCTATTTATATTTATTTTTATTTTATATTTGTATTTTATATATTCCACATTTCTTTTTGAAATTTCATGAAATCTCAAAGATTTATCTTTCTAATTAGAATCTCTTTATTATTATGTCTTATTCTGCCAAATTGTGTAACTGTTTGATAAATTCAAAATTATTGTGATCTCTTTTCGTCCAATTATCTATTCCAAATGTGCGATTAAATTAAATTGCAATTAATTATAATGGAATCAATTACAATTGAATTATAATTGAATTAACTATTATTGAAGATTAATTACAATTGAATTACATTTAAATTGCGATTAAATTAGGATTTAAGCATGATACATATCTATCTGACAAATCCGAGATTTTTCCGAGAAGCTTGAGACATTATAATGCGACCTTTTTTTCACTCAATTATTTATTCTGGGTGCGATTAAATTATAATTGTGAAATTGAATTATGAAATATCAAAGAAATTATTTATTTCCAATTAGAACCTTTTTATTCTATCCTGTCTCATTCTTCCAAGCATCGATAGCGTGATGTGTCCCTGTAAGTCTTTCTCAAAGAATACATCGGAGAGAAATATTTGTTATACGTTGAACATAATTTATCCTCTCCAACTGTCCCTTTTCATCGGATTGCAATCACGCGATTTTCCAAACGAAGCTCGATTCTTCCTTTCGCCGCGAATCTATTTCTCCGGTCACGAACGGCCGAACCCAGTCAGTTATTCTCCCACGCGAGAAATTCGCCACTTTCGGTTCCTAGACGTCTTTCGAGCCGTCGCGTCGTCTTCCGGTTTCCGCTCACGTCTAGAGTCGTCCCGTAGCATGGCAGAGAAGAGGAAAGAAGGAAACTCGCAGAGTCGATTCAATCGCGTCGATGACGATGACGCGCGACTGATGAGATACTTATTTCACGAAAAGCTCTCTCCGAAGATTGATAAGCGTGCTTAGCTCGAGAAATTTGGCTTCTGCGAGTAAATATATAATGTATCGTGCATCACGACTGAAACTTGCACATACATATATAAAGCTGATATATATGTACGTGGATGATTTCTCGTCACGGAAGAGATAGAGAGAGAGATCACATCTGTGGATGCGATGCGGATGAATAAAAAATGTGTAATAAAGTCGATTCTCCATTCGAGAAAATAGAAGATAAAATAATTTATCTCAAGAGGGAAAATGATAAGTAGAGCAAAGAAAGGGAGATACGAGAAAGCTCTTTGGCGGATAATTTTAGTATATTAGGATATTTTAGATATTAGGACATTAGAGTTGATGAGGCTGCTAACGATTGGAATATATATTAATTTTATTACATTATTACAAGAGTGGATTACAGAAATTATAGAATTGATAAAAAATTGATAAATTTATATCCGGCCAGAAGGAGCAGTTAGGAGGATAGATCTCTGTGTAACGAAAGTATTTCTCTATAGATTCTGAAGAGAACTTAAATGGACATTGATGCTTATATTAGTAGAACGAGACAAAATATAAAGAGATTCCAAATTAAAAGAATTAATTTCTTTGAAATTCTCATATATAATTTACAATTTAATTAGCCAGAATGAACAATTGGACAAAAAATCTCTCAAACATCAATATCGAATTTCTTGGAAAAATCTCAAATTTATCAGATAAATAGGCATCACACTATTGATATTTATTAGGAGAATAAAATTAAGAGATTTAATTATAAAGGTAAATTTCATAATTCTAATTTACAATTATAATTTAATCGTATATCTAGAATAATTAATATAGGAATCATATATAACATTCTTGAGAAAAATCTCGAATTTATCACACAGATAGGTACGCATCATACTTGTTGGCAAAATAAGATAAAATAAATAAAGAAATTCTAATTAGAAAGATAAATTTCTATGAGATAATTCATTTCCGTAGCGCGAATTATAATTTATATCATAATTTAAATTTACAATTATAATGCAAATTGCACATCTAGAATGAGCAATAAAGAAAACGAAAGAGTCGATATAAAAACGAGGGTAAGAAGAGACTTACCCGAGACAACGTAAAAGCTATTAAAATATTAATAATATTTATGTGCGAGGGAGACTGTATAAAAGCAAGCAGGTACATAAACGGTAAAAACATATTTATAAAATATGACAAGTAACTCATTTTAAGTTGAAAGGTGAAAGCCGAGGTTGGTGACGTAATCGCGCGTATTTAATGGCTCGTAAACTCTGTCAGTCGCATGCAGTTTAATTAACGTTACTAATACTGTATATAATATGTATGCAAAAAGCTCACGATCCAAAAATATATGTTTAATATATTTTTTTACCACGTCTCGTCTTCTCCGAGAACTTTCGAGGGCGAGGTCGAAAAGCCCTGATTAAAACTCAGCCGGCGCACGTAATACGTTTTCGACGGTGCCTCTCGAAAGTTGACGACATCGCCGATCCGCTTATTTCCATAAGGAGATCACCCTGCTTTTGAGTTTCCAAAATCATGCCCGAAACTACTGGTCTTATAAACCGCGTTTATGTAAATTCGCGCGTCTCCTTGAAATCGAAAGCATAAACAGAAGCAGGCTTACTTACAATTAGTATAATTGATTATAAATACACTCCTTCAAAAAATAAGCAAATTTTAAATAGCTGTAACTGTTTTGAAAAATGATAATTTAAATTAAAAAACAGAGCTTTAAAGCTTAAAATCTCTACTTTCGAAAGATCATAGCTTTTTTTATTTTCTTCAGTTCTGATATTTTTTGAAATTATTTCTCTTAAAATTATGAAAAAAGAATTCTTTTTTCGTTCTTTGAACATTTAGTTTTTAATCTCGTTCTTAAAACTTAAATTCGAAAACGAGGGAAACTTTAATTGGATCCATTTAACTGCATTGCTCAGTTTTCCTCGACTTTTGGATCCTAATAGACAGTATTTTGTTCTCGACGTAAAATTTCTACTTTAAAATTTTTATGAAAATTGCAATTGCCAAAAAATGTTGTACACTTGTCTCTAGATATCGGAAAACGATTAAATCGTTACAGAGCTTCCTCGAACACGTGATGCATTAATTATCCAGTCTGTTAAATTACTTTGGACCTGACGGTCGGTTCCTAATTAAAGCCTAATGAGAAGCATCAGCTGTTTTACTCAAACTAGAAAACGCAAAAAAATGTTATTTTGCTCACATTCAGGGGTCTCCGAAATTTTTATGTTGCCCCAAAAAATTTTCTAGATTTTATTCAAAGTTCAATATCGTCAAAATGTTCCAGCCAAAATCCATTAAATTTTTGTTTATAAAGTCTCGAAAAGATGTGCGCGTTGAACTTCGTGCTACGCTGTGAATAGCGTCGAAAGTTTTGACATTGAAACGAGATTGATTGGAACATTTTTTCTCCACCAGCGATCGCATAAATCCAGGCATCGCGATGCAGGAGTTTACATTCGAGAGAGCATATGTGTGTGTGGTCTCTGGTTATAGATTTATTGTCTCGGTGGAATGGCTTGTCGCGATTGTTTGTTCGCGTTTGTCAGGACTGGGAAAAATGACATAAAAGCGACGTGGAGCTACTTGTTCAGTACGTTACTTATAGACGAGGAGCTACATATATACGTGGCTGCTGCCACGATATTATTGATGATCCGAAGGGCGAAGGAGCAAAAGGGACGAGAGAGAGAGAGGGAAACACGTGTGTAAATAGCTGATATAACGCGAGGTTGTATATAATAATAGTCCCGAGGGAACCGATGGATCATCATGTCTGTTTGATGATTAATCAATCAGCGTCGATGACCCGCGATGACGTTTTCAACAAAATTACACAAGTTACACTTTGACAATTTTTATATAAATATTCTCTGCTTTTCTGCTGTCTATTTTTAATTTTTTTTATTTTTGTCGTGATTGAAGCGAGATTGAACGACCGTCTTCCGTTGCAGAAATCCAGTTTCACTGTGAAATGGAGCGCTCGAATGGAGCGCGCAAATAACGCGATCGCAGTTGGTTCTGTGGGCAACAGAAATCGTGAGAAGGGGTCCTCTATCCACTTGGGCATTTTCGACGAGGCGCCGCTCCGTTAGCCGACACTTGTGTGCAACATGTTCGGGACGAAATTGCGCACGTGGATGGAGGCACACATCGTGCGATCGAAGAAGAAGAAGGACCGGAAGAAGGGCGACAAGGGATTCGACTCGAACTGTAACTCCCCAAGGAGCCACAGCGCCAACAGATCGCCCGCTTTGCACCAGGTGAGTAGATTTTATCCGTCATTTTACGAAACAATCCTATCGGATGTCTGTAAATCTCACGTTTCTCCATCATTTTTTTATCGTGGGTTTCATTTCATAATTTTATCAATTTTATTTTAAATTTTATTTTGAATTCAAATTATTTTAGTTTATTTAAAATTAAATTTATTTTATTTTTAATTTCAAATATGATCTTTTATGAAATCTATTATTATTTATTTTGCCTCGTTTTAATAGGTTTTAATTCATATATATAATATGAGATATGATAGTTTATTTCTCCAACAGACAAAAATATATATTTTATTTTAAAATATATTTATATTTTATATTATTAAATTTTATTTTAAATTAAATTTTCATTTTTTTCCAAGTGTGATCTTTTATACAAGATCACTTATTATCATTCTACTAATACTAAATCTATTATTTTTTTTCTTGGTCCAATATGTTTTAATTATACATACAAAGCACATCTTTCCTTGAAAGAGTCATTGCAAATTCGTAATTAAAACAACTTTATATAAATCAAGGAAGTGAAATTTTCTGGCGTGAAATTTCCAGAGATTTGGGACTTGTATGTCATTTTAACATTTTTGTAGATTTATTATTATTACGGGATTTGTATGCACAACATGTTTTACATTAATAGCCTAATCCTAGTACTAATTGCTCCAGTTGCGATCGTTGCGAGACTCCATGAAATATATTTGAAGAGCGCACGTTCGCGCCGGATTCATAGTCATTATCGGCAAACTAGTTCACCAAGTGCTTCCTCCCCTATTTTCCTACCGCTTGCCAGTGTTCGCTCGTTACGCTGGTTCGCGTTCCTTCGCTAACAGACCCTTACGTCGGCGTTTTCCGTGGTAGGGGGTTACGGCCAGGGCACGTCGACGCTTATCGTTAAGGCGGGTAGAAAAAGAGTTTAGTATTCTTTGCCAGACACACCCTGGCAGGCAGTTGCCCTCGTTCTTCCCGCCATCCGTTGCAGTATCTTCTCTGCCTTTATGCAGTCTACGGACGGCTGCCTTATCGAAACTGTGCATTAACACTGGAAAAAGCACTGAAAATTTATGCATTTGCGTTATACATAAATTCTCCTTTTACCGCGTACATCGCTGTATATTTTCCGAATTATTATTATTCTACACGCAGATTTTCTCTACAAGTTTTTGACGTTTCGTAAATTTTTTAAATTTATAATATTAATTAATACGATTATTTTAATAATATATATATATTTAATATAATTATATATAATTCAAATAATGTATTATATATTTTATATATAATTATATTATAAAAGACAAAATATTTTCAGCTATTTAAATTTCTCTTTTAATAAAAATACTTTGTTATTTCAAGTATTCTAAATCTATATTTTTGGAGCAATATTTATGTAATTTTTTAAATTTAAACAATTGGTGTCTTATGACAAATCTCAATAGTTATTTATTATCCAAAAGTCCACAAAATATAGAAAAATAAATTTTAGAAATGTAATCAGCATTTTTCATGGATTTATTAAATATTTATATACACTAAAAAATTTTTTTACTAAAAAAAAAAAGTATATTCCGAAATGAAGAAAAAATGAAAATCACGATTTATGGAGAAATCTCAATCTTCTCTTCGCAGGTACACCCGATAGATTCACCGACAAAGAACGTGGACGGTATCAGGTTGCACGGGGGCGGCTACGGGGCGACCGTGACCACCTCATCCGGCAGCACTTCCGGCGGTACTGCCGGAAGTGTGAGTCTCTCCTCGCCGGAGAGCGCGTACTCGACCGGCTATTCGACTGACGGCACCTCACCTGGCACCAGTTTCCCGCCCGAGTACTACATCAACATCAGGACTGGAACCCACTACTTCCAGAGCAGCGGAAGCGGCGGTGCAAACACCGCCGCCGCCGCCACCACTTCCATCACTACCAATAACAATAACAACAATAACAAGTCGAGAGCGAAGAGGCTTCCGGGCGACGTCAGGGATCTATCGTCGGGCTCGTCGGGAAATGGAAGAGTCGAAGACAGGGAGCAGTCATCCTCGAGCACGACGAACATGATCAGGGACAACGGTCAGCCGGAAGTACGAACGAGCACGCCGCACAAAGTAAGTGCATTGTCCATAAGTTATGTAGAGACCCCGGAGTTGATAATGAGAGTTAGAACTGTGAGCTGATAGCATTTCGTAAGCAGAAATTCATTTACAAATCAATCCTGATATGTAAATTTAGTTCTAAAACCCTCTTCTTTTATTGATAAAAAAGAAAATAGAATTATATTTATTTGTATTTTTTCTTTAACTATAACTATATACAATGATTTCTTCAATTTTCTTATAGATTATTATTTCAAAATATTTTTTTAAAATATACATATTTAAAATATTTTAAATTAATTTATTTTATTAATTATTTGTCTCGTTTGCGCATCAAATATACTTAATTAATGTCTCTTAACGAGTCTTATTTCAAAAATTAAGAAATTGACTTATTGACTGGTAGAATTTCAATTCGGCTCTCGATCAAGGAACGCTATAAAGAAGCACTATCGCCAAGTTGCGAGGTGCCTATATAAAATGTATTCACACAAGATGTGCCCTTCTCCGTCAAGTCGCTATACGTGCTACCTCCTTTCAGCATCCTTCAAATAGTTTATAGGTTGAAAGTAAATGCACTTCTCGAGTTCGTTGCGCGAGATTACCGCGTCGTTTCGCTCAAATACCCTCGCGCGAGGTCTCGAGGGTGCGTTTGTTCTCTGAAGACGGAGTCTTTGAAGCCGCGAGAGTTCAACGACATCCGACTTCTTTCGCCAAGCAGGAAGTATACATTTTGAAATAGCGTTTATCGTCGCGGTACATACGTATACTAAGTGCGAGACAGGTAGACAGCGACAACAGCAGCAGAGGCTTATGAATTCACCTTTTGGTGAATTTAACGCGAAGCGCGCGAGCTTGTCTGAGAGATGAACAACGGATGACCCTACCTCTTCCTTCGTGGAGCACGTAACTGCAATTTGTCAGAGGAAGATATTTATTAGTCGCATTGTCGTATTCCTCCGGAAGGAAACGCGAACACAGTGGTGAGAAATTCTGGGAACGTCGCCTTTTTCTTCAGGATTCTTCGTGTCACGTGACTCGAGAAAGGACGATGCATTATTGTCGTTGAGAAACGTGCGCCAGGATATCGGGAGTTAATGGTCTCTCGGCAGGAGTGAAAAATGAATCCTTCCTCCTCTCTAGGAGGCTGCCTGTGATCGATTGCGCGTTGCACCCTCTCGTTTCGGTTCACAATGGTGAGAGAAGCGATCGAGTTTGCGATCTAGATTGACGGCAAAGCGAGAATACGCGAACAGGGTGACAAATATAAAGGCGCGACTCTAAACAGAGGTTTTGCATGAATGAATTTACGGAAGTTCTTTCACGAAGACTGACGAGGGAGTGATCTCCTCTCTCCAAGCGAAGACTCGTATAACATACTTTAGCGAAGAAAAGTCTACTATAAACTCGCTCCTTTCTCAGTATCTCAGAATGCAATTTTAATTAAACGCACCCAGATGGTTTTTCTCACGTCAACTATCGATTTCCACAAAGTGGTTTTCTTCTCTTCTTCTCCTTCTCTTCTTTTTTTCTTTATTTTAACCAATCATTATTTTAACTTTGTCTCTGTAATAAGCCTAATTAAAATATACATTATCTCATTAAAAAGAAACGATGACCAATTGATTTCATTAATGTAAGATAATTTTAACCCTTCTGTTAATGGACGAGTATCCAAATACCCAAAGCAATTTTAAAAATGTACCAGAATTTAACACAAATACAAAGGATCTTTGTTTTCAAAAATTTTCTAAAACTAAAAAAAATGTTTAATGTCCAGCTTCTCTGACATCATAATATTATAATAATTATCACAGATAAAAAATTAGGATCAACCGCAATCATGAAGCTTAATAAAATACAAAAGCTTCTTTCAGTCTCTAAACATTAACTTGCGTATTGATTCGACAGAATACGGAAACGAGTCATAACCAGAGGCAACAGCAGCAGCAGGCGCAGCAATCGAGGCAGCAAGGGAGTTCGCATCGTCGGACGGAGTCCTATTCGGCTGACTCATCAAGAAACAACCTGCCCGTACCATCGTCGATACCGCCGCCGTTGGTCTCACCCCCGGTACAATCACCCCGTGAACGTTCCCGTATTCGGACGAATCCGTGGCTGTCGGCCAACTCGTCTGGCTCCAGCACGAACGGCCTGAAGTCGCGACACGCCCGAGACGAGAGCAGCAGCAGCTCCGGGTTGAAGCTCACGGAGTCATCCGGCAGCGCGAGCGATGTCAATCTGAACCTGAACAACGGCAGGGAGTCTCAGGGCAGGAGAGAGCATCGTCAGGAGAGCCTCAGCGCAGGTCGAAGCCCGTAAGTGTGATTTGTTTTACACGTGTAAAGTGATGTATATCAGCGTAATTATTCTTTTCTAAGAAAGTAATTAAGATGTTAGATATTGATTAAATTCGATATCAAAAAATAATTATGATAATTAATGATAGATAGATATGATAGATAGATGAGTAGATATGCGAATGAGATGATCTATTTTATTTCCTTAGAAATAAAGATGATTAAATAAGAAAGATAAAATACATGAAGAAAATTAAGTGACGGACAATCAGCATAATAATCTATTTCTGAAAAAATAATTAGAATATTGTATTACATTAGAAAATAATTAATTTCGACAATTAATTAGATGGTCGGATAAGATAATTTGTTTATCTTAGAAACAGAAGCGCAAAAATTAAAAATAATTAAATAAGAAAGATAAAACACATGAAGAAAATCAAGTGACATAAAATTAACATAATTATTTATTTCTAAGAACGATATCGATTAAATCAGAATATAATTATTACGACAATTAATAATTAAATATTCGGACGAGACGATCTGTTTTATTTTCTTAGAAATAGAAGAAAATAAAATATTTCTATAATTGTATGACTCGGAATCAATTCAATTTTTCATAGAAGAAACTTATAATTGCACAAGTTGCTGGTTGGAAGAAAGCCAAAGTTCATAGGTCATCGATCGTTTCCCAAATCCATTGGCTTTTCTAGTTTGCCATTTCGAAGCAGGGATGATGTATTTGAAGGAAAAGTTAGCGATTAGAAAAGTTTGCGAGACTCTAGAAAAAAAAACATGAAACCAGCTTAAATTTGCCGATTTAGTTGGTGCGCAATAAAGAATAGAGAGTAGATTTTCTCTTTCAAATACATACATATACACATACATACTTATTCCTTTAATTTTTAATTTGCAATTAACTTAGGCGCGGATTACATATTACACGTGATGTCATCGATAATTCCTCTTTCGCAATATCATCATTAATTGTCAGCAAATTGCGCGTGTATTTTATTAAAATTGTACATTTACAACTTACACGCTCGTTTAAAATCGTATTACGCGTATCATTACACATTCTGTATGGAAATAAATATCGCGCGATTACATGAATTATCGGCGCGTATCATCATTGCATTGATTATGATCCGTTCATTTAGTTTAATGCACCGAGAGAGAATGTAGCTAAATAAAATTGTTTCGTGTGTATGTACAAGATAAAATTTTGAATAATTAAAATGGCAACTTTCAAACTTCATCTCTTTTATGAATGACGCACTCTGCGACAAATATTTATGATTTATAAATAAAAAATTGTTTAAATAATATTTTATATCTTTTATATTTTATATATATATATATATATATATATATATATATATATATTTGTTTTTCTCTTTTACTAGAATTTAGTTAAATCCAGTCGAAAAAAAATCTTTATATAAAAGTAATTAGTTGAAATACAATGAGAATCTTATGATATATTTTCCGCAGGATCAATCAAAACTGGAGGATTACATCGGGCATGGAGCTCCGACCCAAGATCCCTCTGTCCTTGCAACGACGGGCCAGCAGCAGCAGCTCCTCGGCATCCTCGGTGACGCGTAGCGCGCGCTCGTCCGAGGACGACATCACGCTGAACGAGATGATGGGCAAGTTCGACGAGAGCTACGTGTACGAGAAGGAAACGGACATTCTGTCGGACAGCGACCCGACCGACTGTGAGGATTACATCGACTCGTTGTCGGATATCGACACCGGCCAGGACGGCGGTGACGAGAACGATCCGTTCGAGAACGACGACGAGCTCGATTACATCGACAACGGCTCGTTCCTCGACCTGGACAACCTGGAGTGCGGTGGCGCGGGTCATTTTCCCAACACCGGTCATTGCACCTATTTCGCCTTTACCAGCGAACTGAACAGGCGCGGTACTAGGCTCCGCGAGTCCATTCTCAAGCACAGGAACAAGGACGAGATGGGCTCCCAGAGGTGAGCTTCTTCAAAGTTTCCTCCTAAATTGATCAAAATCAATTTCTTTCTTCTTCTTATCGTCTTCAATTCACCGAACGATGCTTGGATTACGTCATTTATCTTTGTTACGTTGTCAGGAACGCGAATGCGAGAACCAGCGCGAAGAGACAGAGCGCGCGGCACAAGAAGATGGACGATAAGCAGAACGAGAAACGCAAGAAGAGGATATCACAGCGTCGCAAGGCTGCTCTGGACAGGTGCGACGACGAGACGGCAAATTTGAATCGCGTGCTGGTGGAGAGGATGCTACTGAAGAACTCAGGATTCAATCAGGGCAGCAGAAGTGTGGGTGGCACACCAATGTGCCTGCGACGCAGAAAGCACGACGTTAACAAGAATCTCTCGCCGATGAGGCTGAACGACAATTCGTCAGTCGTCAGACCCTCCATGATGGAGAATGAGATCGTCAAGAGGCGATCGAACTCAGTGAGACTCAAATTCAATTTGTTTCATATACATATATATTCTCATCTCTTTTAATTAAGAAAGTTTATTAGATACTTTTTCTAATTTTGAACTCTTGGAATGATGCCTTATTTCACCTTTCTGTCAATGAACAGATGTCCAAATACATTGATGAAAAGGTGAAAAATTATGTATTGATAAAAGAGTTAAGATTTTAGATTATATTATATATTATTTCTCTTTAAGGTAAGCTATGTAAACGGCAACATAGTACGACGCCACGTAGCCGGCAACACGTACATGACCACATTTGCGTCGGAAATCGCGCTGATCGAAGCGGATAAGGAGGCTGATCGCAAATATCGCGAGCTCATCCTGGAGGCGGAGAATATCCTCGTGAGCATGCAGAAGCACCAGAATCCGTCGTCCCTGTGCATACCGTCGCCGTCGCGCAAACTGCATAACGGTCTCGCGAACAAGCGCGTCGAGCTCATCAAGAACACGGAGCTAAATATCGAATTGGCGCTATCCAAGAGCCGCAATTCTCAACCGGAACTGCAGAGCGGTAACATTCGAGATCTGGAGCACACCAGTCCGAAGCGACAATTCACACAGCCGTGTTCGCCGATCCATCGATTTATGGAGAGGAACTCGCCGAGTGGAAACACCTTTGCGCCAAAGGAACCTTCTCCGCCCGCCTTCCGACAGCACGAGCTGACCAAGTGTCCGGATTCGCCGGTGATGCTACGCAGGACGACGCCCCAGAGCTCGCCCAGCAGAAGTTTGATGCATCATCAGATGCATCGGATGCGCAATGGTGAACCAGAACTGAAGGAATGCGGCAACAGATCGCCTCGGCTCGCTCTGAACTGTAACGGCGGACCGAGGCTGGATGCGATGGACATGAAGAACTCCTATGGGGATAAGACGCACGTGAACGGGATAAATTCCTCTCTCGCCGGAGGTAGAAAGGAGTTTCGCGCTGCGAGAGAGTCGATGAAGGAGGAAGGCGTAACGTCCAGCTCGTCGGATTCCGAGGAGAAGTGTGACGTGAGACGAAGGGCTCCGTTGATGACCTTCAGGTTCGATGAAATCTCGAGCGATTTCCGGACTGTAGTTTAATGAAAATATTTAATTTTCAAATTAAAAGTTTCTTAGTTTCGGAAAAAATTCGTATTAATTTATGTTTTATATATAAAAAAATAATAAGAAATACTGAAGTATATTGATTGCACGTAATCATGGATTATTTGCAACAAAGAAATACCTTACAGGTCAATCGACATGGGTCCCATCAAAGAAGGTTCTTCTTATTGTCCGCAAAGCGAACCGGTGAAAAGGAAGGTGTATGCCGGAAGTGCAACATATGGCAGAATACAAAAGACACTGGGCGAGCATATTATGCTGAGAAATTCTGACGGCGATACAGCGACTGATGATACTGGTAAATGTTTCTCTTACATAACACTTGAAGAAATGCTTTCTTCTCTTTTTATATTAATTATGTATATATTAATCGATGATGTATCAGATATAATATGTAAATCGTTTAATTCGAATTTAAAATTAGACATTGAATGTTCGATTAGAATCGGATGATTCATTTATCTTCAATTTTATCTTTTCTCATTTTATTTCAAAAAGCCAAGGTTGATTAAGATCTGTGATATATTTTTCTACTTCAAAATTACGTGTTGAATATTTTGTTTTGAGGTAAATAGAGTATATCAATTTATAATTGACTTCTTATAACTAGAAGTTATTCTTCTATGAATATTATTTATAAATGATTTCGTGCACGCATAGATGACTCGAGAAGATCTCTGAAGGAGAAGATGGCGCAGCTGCGACAAGAACGACTGGCGGCCGAGGCAAACGCGAACAACATCCAAGATAGTCAGTACTTCCAGCATCAGTTGTCTCAGCTACGACGACAGATGCTGATGCAAACTATAGAAGGTCTGAAACGCAGCCTCGAGGATCAATCGGCCACCCTGAAGCAAACTTGTTTAGAGCCGACGAGCCTGTTGACCAACGAGCTGCCCTGAAGCCGGTCTATCATCACGCGTGATCATGACTGAGAAATTTACGACATTTCGCTTTACTTCTTGCTCGAAGAGAAGGTGGACACCTGACAGGATCGAAGTCACGAGCTTATCCTGTCGTCGGCGGTGAAAATCCACGATTGGTCGGCCGCGCTGCGAGAAGTATTGATCAAATGCGCGCCGAATACCGAATTATTACAATGACGCGATCCTCCTCGGGCTCGATGATATACCGTGGTCGGCTGAGTGCGGGTGCGCACAATTAAATCTCTATTTTTCTGTCCGTCTACATGATGTGTATGTATGAGAGGGAGAGAGAAAAAAAAAAAAAGATGAGTCGAAATTGAGAATGTCGTGTGTGTCCTCGCTGGGCATTGTTCCACTCTGTTGTTTGTTTCCCGCCAGTAATTATTAACATTACTCACGAACTTTACTTTTCGTCTTTCAGTTTGCAACTTTGTGCAGATAGGCCGACTTTCGGTTAACGCTTTAGATTAGCTTTCGCTAGCTCGATTCTCATCGTTCGATCTATCGTCGTAGTTTGCTCGCTTCAAAATTTTTTTAAATGATAAGAAATTCTTACGGATCGTCAAAATACATTAGACTTGTCCTGAAACGCTAATGTGGAATTTTATTGATAATTAATATATCACCAAATAATCATATAATAGTATAATTAATATTATTACCTTAGATTAATATTGCTATAATTGACTTTTTTTTAAATAAATAACGCGATATGTAATATTAATGTTATTACGAAATTTGTGCAATAGCTATAAAAGGAAAGGAAAAAAAGGAACAACACGAACTAGTTCGAAACTGCACTAGGCTTTGACAGTCCTCATTAGCGTTCTAGGATAGAGCGTACACTATTTAACATCTAACGGGCCTATTCACGGGTGTCTGTCTTTGACATACTTTAGAAGAACAAAGAACATAGTGAAAAATCGTAAAAAAAACGTCAAAAGTAAGTCATGCGAACGAATAATATATCAATATCAAAAAAAGCGCATAGATATTTAGCGTATATCCATCTAACCGATTTAGAGAATCACGGATTTAGCTGAAACATTAGTAGCGGATAGGCACAATTTTAAAAACTTATATAATCCATTTAGACATTAGGAGAAAATGATATATGCCCAATGAATATGGCCCAATCCTGATTAAAGCAGTCGGGAAAGGGTGGCGTTAACTGACACAGTTTGATTATTTGAGCCTCATCGAGACAAATAAATTCCCTAAATGTAGACTAATAAGTAAAATATGCATCTGATCAGCTGAATATGGCTAATTTTTATTAATATTTTATAAAAATACAAAAAATGGAGTCTTGAAGGATTAAATTAAATAAACAAGCCGGGAAAATCCGATTAAGCATTCGAAATAATAAAAGAAATTATGATAGGAGATTAAAATTCAACATGCTCCAGATCAAATGTGAATCAAGGCTTCCCTTTCGCGATGCTCTCGTTTCTTTCAACTTAATCTGTCGCAGAGTATACATCCCTTCTGCTTTGAACTTAATTGGACATAATTATGCAAGAAGTTTTCCATCGTACATATATATTATACCAGTAATATACATACATCTAGTAAAAAAGTTACTGCGTTTCTCCTTCACGCATGATTGTGTCTAATTCGACTGTAAACGTCATCTTATTTTCACACAAGAGAACAAAGATAATCGTTTCTCATCGCAAAAGAGACATCATAACTAAGCTTACACATATTACTCATAATGTTCCTATTTCTATGCGATATTTGTATCCCCGGAAGCGAGATTTTCTCCAATGAATGATCATATACATTTGTCTCAGATTAGAGTAACCATCCCTCAGATTAGTATACCAAAGACGATAGCTTAGCTAGATAGTAGATTAGAATTGTTTAATCGATCAAAAAAAAAGCACGCAGCGATGCATATTCGTAATATTAGAGAATCATGGTTAAGGCGTTTTTAGGACCTGGATTTTCTATTAGGATAAATGTTCGAGTTATGTCAAGTCGATTACAAAAATCTTCCATATGAGCCAGAGTCAAATATTTCAGCATTCCAGCATTTGCAACAAATTTATGTATCTATACATTGTTTTTCTCTTTTTTTTAAGTTTTATGTTTTTAAGCGACTCAAATGATTGATCTTTAAATTTCAAACAAACGAAGAATATATTTATTTTAATACAATGTTTTAAAAGTTTGTTTTTATTTATTCGTTGAATTTCGTTGAATTGTGACTTCGGAATTTTAGACTCTGGTTGGAGATCGTCGATATTTTCGGTTATAGTGATATTTTTATTGTGAGAATAGACTGATAGTGTTATCAATTGTTAGATTAAAAAAATTTTTTAGCGGTTACTTATACATGTGATTTATATGTTAAAGATTCTCCGAGAACGACGGATATTGTAAGGCGCGCGCGCGATATATTTATTTGTGTTAGATATTAGGAAGCGTAGTAAATGATGAAAGCATTAGACAAGTATAGTGGCAGTAGCATTAGTGCATTAGGCAATCGTCGAGTAAACGAAGTCTCACCACACACACATTATTTCTCCTCACCATTTCTTCTAAATCGTGATTTGTAATTCATTTTTGTACGTCTCGATGATTTCCATTCGAAGATCGTGATTTTTCGTATTTTTTTAACCAGGGTGCAAAAGTCCTGCAACATTCAAATGTCTCGAAAACAGAGACTTTTTAAAAACGTGTTTAAAATAAAAATGGTAGGGCTTTAAGTAGCACATTAAATAATATGTTAATGTGATTATAAATAGCATTGTTATAAAACTATGTAAAATTTTTAAATGAAAACTATTTTTGCACATTCTTGTAGCTTATCTCGGAGCTTATTTTTTTTATTTAGTACTTTTCAAATTATAATGCTTGAAGTTTACATTAGTGTTTTCATTAAAAAATGTAATAATACTATTTATAGTTATACTAGTACTACAACTTAATGTGTTATTTTAAGCCCTACAACTTTTATTTAAAACATTTTTCTCAAAAGCCTTTGTTTTCGAGATATTTAACTATTGTATGACTTTTGGGATACCCTGTATAGTTTATTGTGAAGACGGAATTGCGGGAGTTACTTCGAACGAAAGTCTTAACGCGATAGGCTTAACTATCGTTAAGTGGGAAAAGTTGTTCGAGAGTTTTATACGTGACAAAAAAAGAACCTGTATATAAAGAGAAAACATAATTTTTAACCAAGTAATACTTTACTTTTGTAATCTTAAGACGAGTTTTAATATATCGTGTTGTCATAAGTTTGATGAGTTTCATGCGGTCGCATCGACATTCCAAGAATGCAGTTTGCGTTTGATGCTGGAAGAGGCAGTTATTGTCCGGATCGATCTGTGAAAAATTGGTAAAAATCACGCACGGTTCCCAAAATGTTGCCCTTGCCGCACAAAAGTGACACACTTGGTCATTTAATTATTTATTACGCAGGGTATATGTAAGAACACACATTAAGAACGTGCTTGGAGGAAAAGTGGAATTATTGTTGGCAACCAACATCTCTTGTGTACTAAGCCATTTATGAAATAAAATGGTTTTTTTTATATGATTATGAATAAATTATATTATGTCGTTGGATTGGTTGATTTCTTTTTTACTCTTTACCTCGATAAAAGAGAGAATGAAAGATATCATCACCCAGTAGTACATATTTTCTGCATATAAAAAGGAAAATTTTCAAATTATAAAAGAACTACATGTTCTAAAAAAAGCAGTAATTCCTATAATATATATCGCAAGCTATGCTCGTTTATATATGCATGTTAATTAATTTGCGTCTATTTCATATAAATGTACACATTTAGTGATATGCTTACATTCATATACACGTATAGCAGCATGAACAGGATATAATCTTCTATATTCTATAGAATCGGTATAACAAAATTATTATTTATTATATGATGATAAAGTACGATTTAAATTATTTTTCTGACATTGATTTATTAATTACAGGCGCAGATACACACAAAGGCCTATTGATGGAATCGCAATATGGACTCTACGTAGCCCAAAGATTCACACAATTCAATTGAAATCCAACGAGATTATAATTTTATATCAATATATTTTATATATTATACAACATTATATATAATTTTTAATTATATATGCATAATAAATGCTAAAGAAGCGTGAAAATCGTTATTTTAATATCGTATTTTTACATATTTACACTCAATAGATACGTTATCGCTTTATTTTGAGTGATAAGAAAACAATTCTTGGAAAATTTAGGCAATTAAAGTACGTGTATAATTTGTGTATCTACTTAATTCTTTCAAACTTATGCTTGATCTCGTATATTCCAACAGGTTGCATAGTCTTGTCGCAGTAGTCCTCCCATTCACCTTCGCTCAAGTCTATCTCATCAAACTCTTTACCTCCTGCAGCCTTGGCCACCCATCCCTCTCTCGCGGAGAAGTCAGTTGGTTCTATTCCTCGGCAGTCGAATACAACAATAGTCTTAAACTGTCCCTGATCGTTCTCTATGAAAGACTCGATAGAGTCTTCCAGTACCGTCATAGAGTTCTCTCTCGTGAGCAGAGCTTGCATTTGCTCACAAAGTGACTGACACCACTGCCACGAATTGCTGAACGTACTGGGTCGTCCGAGGAGACGTAGTTCCACTTGTCAGATGTCTCTCCGCAGTTGCAGCAAGTGAACTTCAGGCACCACCTGAATTCAGATCCAGATGGCCTCAGCTCCTCGATGTTGTCTAGTCTACATGTAATCTGCAGTGCTATTTTCACCATTATGACTGTAGAAGGTCTACCCTGACATCGTAACAGATATTAATTACATAATTAATTAATTATCCTAGAGCCAAATATGTTTGACAGAATTTTTTTTTTTTTACTTACAGGTATAAAGATTTTTTGTTAATAAATTTAGAATATCAGTTCCTATAAAGCGTCATATTGCTTGTAGATATAAACGACGTATTTTTGGGATTATTTGATTAGCAAAAGTAAACAAAGAGAATAGCCCAAGAGGCTAGATTTTTCCAGACGTCTCAGTCTTCAATCTCTGAAATTATAAATTATCTGTCACAAGATATATTTCAAGTGTCAAGCGAGATATCTTAACATTTACAGATAAACAGATCTACAATAATTTTATTTAACTTGATAAAACGATAAAAGATATGTAAAAAAGAGCACCTAAAAGGAATCAGCTGTTCCTGGTCCCTGCTCTAAAAAAATTATACACCTGCGCGTTGTAATCTCGCGTATTCGTTGATTAGCTACAGAGGCATTATTACATTATTATAATATCACATTGGGTGATTCTTTGACTGGAATCGTATAATTAAATTGCGTAATTAAATTACAGAGATCGCTCCGCGATAAGTTGTATGAAGGTGGATCTGATGACAGATCTGACAGATGGAGTCTTTGACGTCCGTCCTCTGACCTCGCGAGTAAGACAGCTGATCGGCATGCTTTCGAATTGGCAAAGTTTGATTTTCCTCCTCCTGGTTTCTTCGGCGACGTTATCTGTCGCCCAGGATATTCTAGGATGCGGTGGTTTTCTGAAGAGTCACGCCGACTTGACTTCACGAAGGTGCACGTGAGACTGTGAGTACTCGCTTTTGCTTTTTAGAGGTTACCCTGATACGATTGCTTGGATCATGAGATTTATGATATAAACTCGCCAGGTACACGAAGACGGGAAGTCTGAAGGATCAGACCGAATGCGCGCCTAATACTGGGTATTATTTTCTACCCCGTACGATAAGGGTGAATACACGTTGAGGGTGAGTTGAAAAGGTGCATCATCATCCGTTGCACAACATCATTGGTTAAACATTTTTGATACTGAATTATAATTATTCATTATATAATATATTAATTTATATTATATAATATATTATATTAATATATAATTATATATATACATAATACATTCTAATATATACAATTTTTTATACAGAAATATATATTATATATTATCAAATATATACTATAAAAATTCATTATATTTATTAAAGAAAAAGATAGTATTGTTATAGTATAAAATATTATAGTGTAAATTTGTCTCGATATAATTGATGATATTAAAATTTTCTTTTGTCCTAAATATAAGAGAGACAGATTGTAATATATTGGAAGAATACAATATGTTAAATTGATTAATGTTGACCAGAATTTATAATATGTTATAAAAGATTATTCAAAAATTGTCTATCTTTTTTTAATTTATTAGGTAGATCCTCCTAGAGGCTGGAGTTTTGAGCCTACGGAAGTAACGTTGAATGTAGATGGTGTTTCAGATGACTGCAGTCAAGGAAAAGATATTAATTTTGTATTTAAAGGATTTGGTATTACAGGACGTGTAAGTATTATTTAAATACTTCTTTATTAATACTTTTTAAGTACTATTTTTTCTCTTTTTGTTAGAAGAGATATTTGAGAAACAAATGTTCATCTTTTAATACAAATAATTTAAGAATAATTTTTATTTGATTTCTATATATGATAATAAGTTAATAAAAAATTAAATATAAAAAAGTCATTCAATTAATATTGTTTTATATATTTTAGGTAATTAGTTTAGGTACTAACTCTGGTCCTAAGGGTGTTACCATCTCCTTATATGCAGACAGCGATAAACATGTTCCTATTAGATCAACAGTAACAGCAGAAGGTGGCATATTTTACTTTACTCCCATTCAACCTGGAAAGTACACACTTGTTGCATCTCATCCTACGTAAGTATATAATACTATGCATGATAAATTTATTCCAAGTCAAAAGGAAAAGTTATTCCAAGATAAAAAATTACCTACAAAAACTGAGAATACAACTTTGATTATTTTTATCAGCTGGATAATAAAGAAGAGTAAAGTTGAAGTAATTGTACAAGAGGGAAACACAGAACTCGCGGATGGTAGCCTAGTGGTATCTGGATATGATGTGAGCGGCAAAGTCAGCAGTGAAAATGACCCAGTCGCTGGTGTATCCTTCATTCTTTTTGGTGTAAGGTTTATCTTAATTTTTTCATCATAATTATTTCAATATTTAGCAGTTTATATTTTTTTATTTTTAAATTAAAATTCCAAGTGTTTTATTAATAAGAATTATATGTGTGAATTAATTTTTTTATAAAATAAGAATTATAAAATTTATATTTTTAATATAATATTTTTATAAAAAATAAGTTTTATAAAATAAGAATTATATGAATAATTATATGAATTAATTTTTTCCCTTTTCCCTTAGAATGGTGTCGCGGAGAAGTGTGAGACTACTCCAATAGCTCGAGATTTCAAATCCGAGAAGTTTCTTTGTCACATGACCTCGGACAACAGCGGTAGATTTATATTTCCTAGTTTGTCACCTGGCGATTATAAGCTTGTACCGCACTATGCTGGCGCCCAAACAAAATTCGACGTTCAACCGCCGGAATTGTCTTTCAAAGTTGGCCACAACAGCATGATTCTTGCCCAATTTTAAGGTAACCGGCTTCACGGTCGGCGGCCTTGTTCGTAGCTCCACGAATGGCGATCCTCTGCCCGGGGCGAAAATATTCTTGTCGCAAAAGAAATCGCAGTGACCGATAAAAATGGAAAATATGTGTTGGATAATATGAAAGCTGGCCAGTATACGCTCAGAGCCGAGTCTGGTACATACAATTTTTTCTTATCGAAGCATTTTTTAAGGCAGACGACTTAATGAAATTATATCGACAAATTATTCCTTTCAGCAAATGTACAGTTTAGCGAGAAGACAGTTAAAATCTCGCCAACCTCCCCCGAACTTCCGGTGCTGGTACCTCGGCGTACAAAGTTTCGGGAAAAGTAACCCTCTCTGCGAAGGGACTTTACACTTTCGCAAACTATCCGTTCAGAACACAGCCGCTACGTTTTACAAAGAACTCAACACTGACGAGAGAACGGGAGAGTACTCTGTGTATCTTGCACCGGATAAATATCAACTCAGCGTAATTGTGAGCACGGAAGAGAAAACTAAGGGCTTGCAGTGAGTAAAAATAAATCAGGATATAAAAATGTATGTAGGGCTCATTTTATAAGGCTTGAAGAGAGCTTTAAAACGTGCCCAGGCAGAGAATGCTCTACGACTTATAGTTTGCTTAATTTTTGTGAAAAGCTCTACAGCTTTAATTGCAAAAATTAAGATCTCTATAAGTCTTAGGACATTCATTTTAGGCTTGTTTTGAAAAGAACTTCTATTGTTAGCTGGTATTTAGCATAATATATTATTCAAGTTTAAATACCTATAATATATTATGTAAAACATATTTTATTTTTTTATTTCTATTATTTTAAAACATAATTAGCAAATAACGCATTGATGAGCTGCTTTCTGCCAAAAGAGATTAATGGAGTTAAATAAATTTTATATTATTTTTTTTTTAATATAAATCTTTTTAATATAAAATTGAGGAATGACACGCGTGTAACGTACACTTGTGTTGTTCTTGTAATAATAAAAAATTAATAATAAATTATGTATAATTATATACCTGTAGAATTATAAATATATAAAAAGTTTCATTATCTTGTTCCAGATTTTATCCACTACAACAAACGATTGATGTAACATCCCAACCAATTATCGATGTTAATTTTTTGCAATTGAAAGCCACATTAACAGGGACGGTAAATTGTTTGCCACGGACAGATTGCAGTCAAGCTTCTGTCACATTAAAAATACTCGATGGAGTTACAATAAAAACGGTGCAAGCTAAAGGTAAACCGAAAAAACTCTCTATTTAGGATAGAATTTTTTTCTCTCAACGATGTAATATAATTGGAGCTGCAGTAACAAATATGATTTTTTTGTAAAGTAGAAATATAACTTGTTCGATTTTATAATTCGAATTTGTTTTGTAATAAGCTTGACAATTAGTTTGTCATTTTAAAGAACTATATAATATCGTATTTGTTATTGCAGTAACATATTTTTATCTCGATATGATGCTACCTTCTTGTGTGTAAAGTCATTTTCCAATATGCAGATGGTCAGTATCAATTCACGGACGTGTTACCCGGCCACTATGAAATCTTGATCGACAACGACGTGTTTTGCTGGGAAAATCCTAGTTACAGAATCTCGATAACATCGGAACGGGCGGAAGTGCCGCCGTTCAAACAAACCGGCTTCTCCATCACTTTCATATCTTCTCACGACACCGCCGTCGAATACTCCGAGCCAAATAACACGAAACTGATCACTCTACCCTTGAGCAAAGGCAGTACGAGGCATTGTGTGCCTAAATCTGGAGCGTACACTTTCGTCCCAAAAGGTTGCCATGTATACAAGCAGTCTTCCTACGTTTGGGACACGAGCAATCCCTCTCCAATTTTACTGAATTCCGCCGAACATACTCACAGAGGCAATATTATATGCACAAGCGCGCAAAATAATCTCAAAGTAAAAATCGAAGACGCAAGCGACAGCATCACGTAAGTAACTCAGCATTTATTCCGATAAATTATCATCTTTAGATGTCTTTTTCTATTTAATTATACTCCAGTGTAATTATACGTAATGTCCACTTAATTTTGGAATGCATATATATTATTGTATATTAATTTTTTGGATAGGATCGATCCACTGAAACCAATAAAAAAAGACAATGTGTACAAATACGAATTTGAATTTAAGGCGAAAACAGATAATACGTACACTATCACTCCACTATCTAACATTTTGTTATTTAATCCGCCGTCCTTGAAAGTCTTTGGCGTGGATGATTGTCATAATGACATTGCAAGTTTTGTCGGTGATTTAGGAAAGGTAAAAAAATTATATATATAAATATAAAATATTAAAATATTTAAAATATTTTCATGAATTATTCAGATTATAGCCGGAAAAATATCTCCACCGTTGGAAGGTGTAACAATTCAAATATTTGGAAAAGATAAGGAGTCTCCGATTCACACATTAGTTACACAGAAGGATGGTACTTACAGCATTGGCCCTTTGGATGGAAAAATTGAATATAGGTACATATCAAGATAATAATTTTATTTTTCTATTATCATCATCAATAAAAAAATTATATAATAAATGCTTAATATTAGTGTTACAGCTGAAAAAGAAGGTTTTGTGATCACTGGACCTGATGCTAAAGGAGTATTTTTAGCACATAAATTAGCTGAGATTATCGTGCAAGTTTCTGACCACGCTGACAACTCTTCATTGCAGGTATTTTCGAAAACTATTCGAATAAAAATAGAAAATAGAATAAAAAATATAATTAACATCATATTTATATCATGCATAGGGTGTGCTCCTTTCTTTGTCTGGCGGTCAAAGTTATCGCAAGAACAGTATAACCAATGAGGATGGAAATTCATATTTAATTCACTATCTCCGGGCGAGTATTATCTTCGGCCTATGATGAAAGAATATCGTTTCGATCCGCCATCAAAGATGATCAACGTCGTGGAGGGAGCAACTGTTAAAGTCAACCTCTTCGGTAATCGAGTCGCGTATAGCGCTTACGGCTCCGTAACGTCCTTGAATGGGGAGCCGGAAGTTGGTCTCTTAGTCGAGGTTCAAGGTCAAGGAAACTGTTCCAATCTCCAAGAGGAGGCTACGACCGAGGAGAACGGCAACTTCAGAATCCGCGGTCTCCAGCCCACGGTAATTCATTAATTTATTTACATTTATCTAGTGGATGTCTTCAATTATTTTATGAACATTGCATATAATGATTTAATTTCTATAATTTTTCAGTGCTCCTATGCCTTCCATCTGAAGCTGAACGTAGAAAGTAACTCCCATATACAGCGCACGAGTCCCACTTCTCAGCTGGTGCAGCCAATGGAGGAGGACATTCATGGCCTACGATTGATCGCCTTTCATCCGATCTCGCGTACGGACGTTTCGGTACACGTCATATCCGCCCAGCCGGAACACTACCGCACGATTAAGGTAAAGCTGTGTCGGGAGGACACTCCGGACTCGCCGGTACATATCTCGAAACTGGATGTGCAACAATCCACCAGTAAGAATACCAATAATTATAACGCTGGTTTCCTGGTGCACTTCCCGCCATTGCAAGCTGACGGCAGAAAATACTTTGTGCAACTGGAATCCTCGCTGTCGCAAGCCGTGCACAAGTATCGAACCATTCCGGTCTACTTTGAGGCGAACTCGTCGTTTAAATACGTCAAGCTGACGTTCAACGCAGAGCGGAAGATCGATCAGAGCGAAATGAATCAGACGTCGGTGGTTGCACTGCCATTTATTATGATGGTTGGATTAGCGTTTGTCAATCACGAGAAACTGTGGACTTGGTTGAACGCGCTGCTCGAGAGACGGTCCAAACCTGCGCCGAGTTCTAGAACACCCGTTCAAGCTATTCCCATCGATCCCAGAGCGGACGATATCATAGTTGAGCAAATAATGAATATTAACAAGAGGAAGACGAAACCGCGAAAGACATAAGTCGCGTTGGCTTTGTCATCAGCTCAATCATCTTTTGTTTATTGTGTATTTTTTTGATGAGCTCAAAAAAAGGGAAATATCGAAGGTGTTAAAGATCCTCTATCTCATTCATGTTTTTTACACTTGTTCTGACTATGAGAAGTTTGTCACTTGTCAATATTTGTCACGACGATTGTATGTGTGTGTGTGTGCGCGCGCGCATTATGGGAAAAAAAAATCATTTCAATATTTGATGTATTTAGAACTACTAGTATTTATATACGTAGATAGATTAAAACGACGATGTTACATAATAAAAAATAATACTTTAATGTAATGACACATTAAAATGCAAGCATTATTCACGAAAATAATCACATTGTCAGAGATACGTAAAAATCGTTAACATCGTTAAGTGATACATGTATATACAAAGATTGCTATTATATATATCTATGAAATTGTTATTAAACGTTCCTACTTTAATTCTTACTTTAATGGATGAATAATTTTTATTTGATACTTATTCTTTTAAACATTTTACTTCATCTTACAAATTAATGTAAGAACGAGGAATAGAGGAATATATATATTTGTCAGTACTTTATTTTAATTTTAAGTTATGGATAAAATGCTCTGGGCTCTTACTCCTATTATCAATATTTAGATGACAAAGTACGCCTGAAAAAAGTGAGATATAGCACAGTAAAAATTATTGTATACCACATATTTAACATTTTATACATGCAACTAGAATATATTTATCTCGCATTATTTTACGTACCACAGGATTCGCGGTGTACATGCATCTGTTGAATTTCAAAGGTAGGCTACATTTGTCACCAGGATCACCAGCTAAAAACAATGTAAAACTTGATTGGTTTGTATCACATTAATATGAACGTCTCGATAAATAATGATACTTGCTTATATCGCGACATTGGTCGAGCATTTCATTTCCAATGCTCCTGTATGCTATCGGCATCATTTTGATCAAGAGCTTAAAATTGATCTTGTTATCCTTTTTCAGCTAAAAAGTAAAAAAGCAGAGTTTTAATCATTCAATCTGTATTATCACGTTTAGGCTTTGTAAGAAATTTGTTTTACCACTCCTCCTTTTTCCATGATGCACTTAAAGTAACATGCCAAAGTATTGGTGTCTGTTGGAAAATTACCTAACTCTGCACCTGCTAGCAATTCTGCCATTTAAAAAGCAATTTAAAATTGTTAATATTATATCATTTGTCAGATGATCTAATGTAAATTAGGTATACATATATAGATAAAATAATGAATTAGATACAGAAAGATGTGAAAAACAAATCATTTTCTTTTGATAATTATTTTTTTTATTAATGAATACCGGAGTAAGATTGAATTAATTAATTAAATATAACATTTTGAAAACTCACCTTCTGTCGCGCCAATTTCAGCGGTGCACTTCTTTCGCAGATTTCCAGCCAATTTTCTCAACTCGTCGTGAACCGTAGTCCAATCTATGTCCTATAAAAATATTATTTTTCAGCGATCGATTTGAAGATCTCTCACAAGTTTAAAGCTCAAATTTGTACTCACGTCGTCGGCACAATGAACCATGACGAGTTGCGTAATAATGAGAGAGGCACAAATAAGTATTACATTTTCTTTTGCCATTTTATATTTTTTTGTATTTCACGCACACGCGATTAATTCGTATTCGGCCACAAATGTTCTCTCGTCTAAAATTACTAAATGCGTAGCTATGCAGGATCATCGAGAATTTATAGGAATCCATCTGGCACGAGGAGGGGAGATAATAATTGCCTGGTAAAGATATACTTCCCTAAAAATCAACTACAATTGGCCAATTGCGAACAACAAAGAAATTAAAGTAGCATGCATCAAATATATGCGGAAGAAATCAATTTTATAAACAATAAAATTTTATTCGCATTTAATTAATTGAAATTTGTTTTATATATGGAAAAAATTTTAACATGCAAATAAATTCTTAAAATTCTTTATTTGCTTTTTTACAGAAAATTAGGAACTTCTATATATATAAATAATTAGTATTATTCTTGATAGATATTTCTTGGTGAAAAGAAAATTTGAAAAAATCGAAATTTTGAAAGAGGAAAAAGCTTGAGAGATGTAATTAAAAATATCAGGAAGAATTTTGCGATATACTTTGCATAATGCGGTGTAGCACAAGCGAGATGCGTGACGGTAAACATACGTATAATTGTAACTTATCAAAGTCCAACGCTTCCTAACTAATTAACAATAATCTCTTTGTGTTCCGTAGAGTTAGTAATTTCAGTATTTCTCAAAATTATGTACGGCGTTCTGACGTTTAGATCAGGATATACTACAATATTGCATCAAATCAAACGTTTTTGCCTTTTAATTACGGTCACAGAGGAAAGTCACAATCCCGTATGTTGTGTAACTTTGCGTTATACGAGATATCGTACACAATACCTGGATCTTGTATCCTGATCTTTTACAATTTTATGTATATCGCACAAGATTTTCGCGACTGACCAGTTAAGGATGATTTATAAAAAAAATTTAACTATTTTTCTAAAAAAAATTAATAATGACGATTCCTCTTTTGTGCAGCGAGCATCATGGGAGGATCCTGTCCGTTCAGTGATGGAGCTTTTCTACTGATTATGAACGCGCGCACAAGTCCAGCTATTTCTACACCGATCGTCACAAAGGACTCGTTTGCGAATGAATGTTTCAAGTGTGTTATAGTTGTAGGCCTCTCCTTTCATTGCATTTGATCATCAAGTATGACCTCAACCGGCAATTGGAACGTTCTACTATCGCAATATATCAAACTCCGTTCCATCAAACGAGAGCGCCATCAATTTATTTATATCACTCACATCTGTCAAACATTCCAATGGACACTTTATGTAAATTACATATATATTGCAAGTCTCGTTTTATTAAATACCTCGTTATATAGTAATTTTTATAATAAATTTGAATTTTACTTCTCTTGAAAAATCGATTCATGCGCTTTTGCGACGAAAGAAGGTAAGATGTAGGATATATCAGGACATCCATCGATTAGATCGTTGAATTCTTTATTTCATCGACCCATCATGTAGGGTTCACGCAATACGGCGCGTTACAGCAGTTACATGGAAAGTGATTTAAACGTAAAAACATCTCAACACATTCAGCGAAAGTGTAGCTTGAGCATTTTGTCTTTGGTCTTCCTGTTTGCCGTTTTAATCTTCCCGCGATTCATTAAAACAGATAATAAGTCTGAAACACGAAGATTGTGCATAAGATGACGAATCCGAATATAAGCATATATATGATTCTCTCAATTTGATGATTCAAAGTCACTTACTCTCGGAGACATTTCTGCATAACACTTGTTGAACGTGTACGCGTACTCACAATTATCACCCTTGGCTGCGAAAAATAATTAACAATTAATTAGATGTCATGAGGCGTGATACGAAGGATCGTGTGTAATCGAAATAAAATTTTACAATATATTAAAAAATTTTAAAAAACAAATTTAAAAGAATTGCGATTGAACATTGAAAGTCTTCAAAACTAAAGAATTCACATCAGCTGACTATTAAAAACATAGTTTTATATATTTCTTGAGTTGTCAAGTTTGCTCTTCTTAGTTTTGAAAATGCTTTCAATTTTGAAGTATTGTTAATAAAGTAAAAATAAAATAAAATAGATAAACTAAAATTTATTTTTTAATTAAAAAAACGATTCAACGCGGTTCCGCAAGTTTCGAGCACACGCAATCGATCGAGGAGAAACAAACGAAAAAGAAAACGCAGTAGATACCCAAATAGTTACCAATCCCCTTGCACTCGCTGATCGCCTTCTCGACCTCGGCTCTATAGGCGGGTATTCTTTGGAAGAACGTCAGCATACCGTTCAGACTTAGCTCTCTCTTATCGTCGACCAGACCGAATTGCTCCCAGAGACAATACATGTAGCACTGCGTGTGAAAATCAGAAAGATCAGATTTAATCCTCTTCTCCTTCGACGTCTTATATACTTTTACATATTTTTGTTGGCTATAGATAGAATTTCCGGGATTTCTTTACAGTCAAATTGACAATAATTGGCAATTCATGCGTTCAACTCACCTTCAATTGACGTGTTTCCGGCCATTGACCGTTTCTTACCGCTTCTATGTCGGCTGAAAGAAGGATTCAATATATATACTTGTTGATCTACATATTATTTCGCATCATAAATTCTTTAAGACTACCGTGGAATAAAAATCGACTCGAGTGTCTGTCAATTTTTTTAAATTTTTCTATGTTAATTTAATTCGAGGCAGAATAACACGTAATATATATGTGTGTGTTAACATTGCGCCGCCGCATGTGTGATTAAATGAAAGATTCGATCGATAGTTTCGAGTTGGAGAGGTGAACAAACTCTCTCGTGTTGAATAAAATACCTGTAGCAACTCCCGTTTGCGTTTGACATGCGTTTACGACACTGGCCGCAGTCGCGATCATCTGATCGGAAACGAAGCTGGGTCTAGTCTGTAAAAGAGATGAGATCAATGCTAAAAGATGATTAATTAGTTGCAGCCGTGATAAGCGCTTTTAATCGCGCAAGCTACCTTTACCTCTATATATAAGCTAACACTAAATTTCATAAATGTAATTGCATCCTTTTTTATTTCACTTGATCTTTATTGTCCAAGTATCTAATAATTATTTAAATATTAGTTTTATATAATCTTACTAGAATCATTTTCTATGATTTTCACACAAAAAAATAAAATAGAAAAATGACAGTAATACTCTATTTTCTTTTAATTTAAAATATTTTTATGCTGGATGAAGAATTTGAATTCTCTTCAAGATAGAAAATAGCAAAGAAAATATTCACGTTATTATTCATCCCCTATTTGAGATAAAAAAATGAAATGAAGAAAAACAAAATCTTTCTTTATCTCTATATCGAGTCAGAGATATAGATTCAGCTCTAACTTCTCGATTTCAAAGGACTTTATAATAATCGAATAAATAAATTGTCCACGTTAATTAATTTACCGAATTTTCTTTTTAATGAATTATTTTGTTGTGCCAGATCTTTTCGAGAGAGAGCATGGTCCTGATTCAAGCTAGATTCGTCTACGTCTCGATACGTACCCCGCATAAGACGATCCACGCCTGCAGGAGAAAACCCAGGGCGAGCGCGAGGAGCCTCATCCTTGATGATCCCGAGCGAATCTCTCGTCCTTATATGTCACTTCGCGGATCTCACTCCTTACTGGCGGCTGCTGCTGCTGATGGTGCTGATGGGTGCGTGCGTGCTCCCTTTGCCGACGACGTTTCCGGCGCGTGTCGACTGACGAGCGTGCGAAGTGCGCGCCTTGCGCGAGGCGAGGGTGCGACTGAACATCGGAGACCTGGGAAAGAAAGAGATAGAGAGGCGTGGATGGTCGGTCGGGGGATCGGGATGAAGTACGGCTCTCCCAGAGGCCGGGGGAGAGAGACAGAGATGGAAGCTGCGCGCCCCTCTGGAAGAGCTGCTGTGATTCGAGAGCAGGTCGCGAGCTACTCATCTCCTTCTCTCTGACTCTCGTCGTCCGCTGCCCTCGCGCAATTACAGATCGATTTCATATGATTCGATTTAAAAAGTATCCCGTACTAATCCTATGTGAAATAGATTTCGGTTAAATCAGCTGCTTTTCTCATATGTTATAGCTTATGATCTGCTGAACAAAAGGTGTAAGATGTATTAGCTTCAAAGCTAAATAATGGACAATTGAGTGAGTTACATCAGTGACACTGTCTATTTTATTTAGTTTTGAGCCTATTACATTTTTTGTTCAGCTGATCATAAGCTACAACATATGAGAAAACCAGCATTTTACTAAGATTCAATTTTATATAGAAGCGAAATTTTTGAATTTATATGAAATCCTAGATGAAATTGAATCCCAACAAAATCAGCTGGTTTTCTCATATGTTATAACTATGATCTACTGATAATAGATAAAAAACTTGAACTATGCGAGATGTTTGACTGGTTGTAGCTCAATAACTGTCCATTATTTAGGCTATTTCATCTTTTGTTCAGCAGATCATAAGCTACAACATATGACAAAATCAGCTGATTTAATCGAAATTATTTTACATAAAATTAGTGCGAAATTCTCAAATTAAATACTATTAGAATTTTATACAATGTTCTATGTACATGTATTTTGCATGAGAGCTGGGAATTTCATCGCGATTGAACAATTAAAGGGATTGATTGATCGTTAGATTTACACAGCTAGTTTCGTTGAATTAAATTTTAATTTAATTGAAAATTTAATTAATTTGATTAAAGCAACACGTGTCAGAAACGTTCTATACGTGTGGCAGGAATACATATCGAATGTGCGATATATTGCGCTCTTTTCATTCGCGCAAAGATAAATTACTGTCTCCTCAGCATAGAAGCTTTCGATTCTAGGCCAGGTCACACACGTAGATAGAGACAGATTTGATTGGCGGATGTTACTAGTTTACGATCCGACCCTACATAATCTCTCTTCTATACACGATGTCGACACAAATATGACTCTTCTCATCTCCCTCCCTGCTCCTTCAGTCTTCATCTCCGCGTACGTAGTTTTATGTATATCGAATCATCTCGTGAGAAATTCTTTTCATTCGTAAAGGTACGATTGAGGAAGAATCTTATCTTCAATTTACGAATGCCACATATGTACCCTAAACAAGGATTACAATAAAAGTAAATAAAATATCTAACGAATAATTGAGAAGAAGATAGAGATTAAAATTTGTTCAGTTTTAATTTATATAACATTATTAACATTTTATATCAGAAAGGAGCTATATATATAATTTTATATTTATTTTAATCTAATCGCAACGCTTTGTACGATTAATGATGGTCTCTACTACTTGCTTCATATCATTTCACATTATTAAACAGTTAAAGATGTGCAGTTAACTATCAATGAAAATCTAATGACAAAATGAAGATTTATTATTAAATCAATGAAATAGAACTGTGGGAAAAAATAAAATATTTTATTCTACAATAGGAAAATTATTTCTGTACATATAATACCTTTTCATGAGTATAGGGTTGCATATCTACAGGCACATTGCCTCTTAAAAATATATATATGGTCTATAAAGAGATATTCTAACAAAAAATATATATTTATAACATATATAGCACGATATAATAATGTATTTATATGTAAATACAATATAATAACATATAAATATATATATTTTATATTATTTCCTATATATGTAATATGTTTTCATATACCTAGTATATATATATATATATATATATATATATATATATATATATATATATATATAGTACTAATATTAAGTATATATGCTTTTATTTTATTATAACGTTAGTATAATATTATATTTTTTATGTATAGTATTGTGAATATTATTTTTACATATAAATATGCATTATTGTGATGTAATTATATATATATTGTACTATATATATGTAAAGTATCATATATATTTTGTTTGTATTATACTTTGTTAGAGAAATATCTTTTTTATAGAGGAGTGCACCTACAATTTATATACATATATTTTTTTTATATATATAAAATGTTTTTTTTATTCTAAATATCAAGAAAAGCATGAATAAAGTGTACCTGAAAGAGCCGAGAATCGGCAGATCTATAATGTTTTTCATGTTTTCGCAGATTCATCGCTGATTCAAGTCTCGTAAAAATTGCAGCTGACACGTGGGTCGTCCTGGGGACGGGTTTTGCGGGTCAATACAATTCCGGCGAAGATGGGCGAGCGCGGGGGAACCCCGAATAACCTCACTTCTCCGGTACAGTCGCCCGCGAAATTATTGACCATCGAACACGACGCTGCAATTACATACGACGCGCTCCAATGATCGCCTTTCGCCAGTATCTAATTAAAAATAATTAAAAATATTTTAGAAAACGTCGCATCGCATAGATATATCATACTCACGTCGAGCTGTCAAAATTGACAGCGAACTGTCAAAACTGACGCGCCATTTTGAGAAACTCCCGCGACATCACATAACCCTTCCACCGACTGTACTTTTCCCGCTCGGTATAGTCCGCGGAATAAATATTGACAGTTCCGTCGTCGGATCAAGTGTTGACTCGGCGATCTCGCGATCAGCTGATAGCTCATCTTTCCGATCTCGACCGCAAGATTTACGCGGGATTCGGAAACTGAATAATCAAGAGCGCTCCCGTGAGTGTCGCCAAGAAAATGTCGTAGAAAATGATCGATTTCCGCGGACTGTACCGCGCCATGCTCGGTACAGTCAGCTGGACTCTAATTGACAGTTCGTTGCGTTGAAGACGCGAGCTTTCCCGCTCGCGAGATAATCCAAGGACGAGGATCCTGACGCGAGCCAGCCGGACGACGCGTCTCGCTCTCCTCGCGGACGGCGTCTCCTCGCGACGTCATCGGCGTCCTGGTCGCCGTCGAGGAACGCGTCGCGCGGGGACAAAAGATTCTCGACTGACTGTACTCGGACTCGGAGTGCAGCGCGGACGGCGGTGGCAGTTTTATTGACCGAGTGTGTTTCGTCGCACAGGAGAAACGAAAGGACGAAGAGGACGAGAGAGAGAGAGAGAGTCCACCGGCGACCCGGTGAAGCCTTCGCGAGAATCGGCGATGCAGAATGTCGGTGCTCAGGGTTCGTCGTTGAATTAATCCCGGCTGGATCCGCGAGCTGGGATCCAGGATGCTCGCGAGTGACCGCGAGGTCCGACTCCTCGAGTCTTGAAGGGAAATTCGTTTGCTCGCTTTCCCTTCGTCGTCACGTGATTATCCTCGCGTACGTCACGCGTCGCGTGCGATTTAAATCTCCGAGAGATACATTGAGATCGGTTTAAGATGGGTAAGACCAGAGGCGTGCACGAGACGACCCCCGAATTGAGGAATCGGATGGTGGGAATGTATGAGGCTGGTTTGGGCCTGAGGGAGATCGCCGCTGCGATTAATTGTTCGGTATGTAAAGCTTTGTGCAAGCAATGTCTTGTTTAATAATGATTTCATGATTGCTCTGCGTATGTTGAATAGACTTTAATTTTTTGAATTTAGATTGAGTGTTTTAGATATTTATATACTGTATATTGATTTTTAATGTTACGCAGTTTAGGAAGATTGTAATGGTTTTATCTTATTATATCATGATTGCATTGCAGCAACGTACGGTGAAGAGATGGTTGAATAGATTTGACAAGGAAGGCACAGTGGAGACACGAGAACGTTGTGGTCGCAAAAGAGCCACTACCTCGGAGCAGGATGAAGCCATTGTTCGTCTAGCTACACAAACGCCCATAACTGCGGCAAAGGCTGTGCTTCCTGCATTGGGTCTCACTTGTTCTGTGGATACTGTGAGAGAAAGACTGCACAGAGCTGGAATTCACAATTGGAGCCCTTCGCGCAAATATATGCAAAAGATTCCACTGGGGTTTGTATTTTTAAGTAGAAGATCTAGAATAGTACTTATATAGTTCTTTCATATTATTTTGCAATTATAAAGTACAGAATAATATATGTAGAAATAGATATAGAGACAGAATGTGAATCTGAATAAATAGAAATTTTGATTCTTCAATCTTGACTATTAAACGTTGTATAGATTACAGCATTTGTATATAACAGTGTCATAAATATATAAGTATAATATTCCAAAAATTTTATCTATTATAAAATAAATAAAATCTCAGAATATATATCCAAAATTAAAAGACGAATTTGTGTAGGAATATAGTTTTCTTTTAATATCTCTTTCTCTAATTTAATATCTTTTTTAATATAATATCTCTTTTATCTAATTACACATCTCTTTATTTTTAACTAGTGATACGGATGGTGCAGCAATTCAGCAGGCGGTATGGCGACCGACCGGCACCCAATTGGGCAAGAAGAAAACTTCCAAGGGAAGCTCGAGCAAATCCCAGAAGAAGAGCATCCCGACTAAGAAGAAGAATCCATCAAAATCGAAGGTCAAATTTTTAGAGGTATACGTTGAAGGCGATGACAATATTCTGAAGCAAAACCAAAATACCGAGCAGCAGCAACAGCAACAGCAACAGGACTTCGTGTTTCCTCAGCAAAATCTTCCTCCACCGCCTTCCGCACCTCAAGCCACCGAAATGCAACCTTCTGTCCAAACTTCTCTATCAACTAACCAGACGGAGTTTAGTAACGCATTGAGTCTAGCGCAACAATCACAATCCATCTATCAACATCCAGGATTGAACGTGGCACAAAATTGGCCGCTAGATTTAGTACAAGGCAGTCATCATTATCCACAGGTTTGTCTCTTAGCTTATTTATGATAAATAATATAAATGTGATATATTACATAATGAAATTGTACCAAAAATTATTTGTGCCCATAGGGACAACCGATATCTCACGAGCACTCTTTGCCGCAACAGCAGCAACTGCAAGACCTGCACACACAGCAGGAACAACAACAACATCAGCAACAGGCCCAGCAGCATATGCAAGAGCAATCACGATTGCAGGATCAATCGCATCAGCAGAATATTCAGAATACTCATCATCATAATCTCGATCAGCAACAACTGCCGGTGGAGCATCAGATTCAACAACAACGCTTGCAGTCCACTATATCTAGCCCGGAGCAGACGATCGTGATAGGCTCGGAGAGTTCTTGTAGTTCTTCCAACGAGAATAGTCAATCGTCTTGCGAGCCCCAGCAGAATAAGGAATCGTCGAGGAAAAGTGATAGGAAATCGGAATCGGAACGGCAAAAGAAGAAGAAGAAGGGCGGCAAAGCGAAAGGGACATTGGAGACGAGCGTGGAAATCAGAAATCGCATGATTGGAATGGCCGAAGCCGGATTATCGACTCTGTCCATCGCTCTGGCAATCGATAGATCGGTATGTAAAGTTTAGCTCTTAGTGCTCATTTAATCTATTAAATTGTATCGTAGAATCTCTGACATCTCTATCGTATATCATATGCAAATAGATATGAAAGTTGTATTACAAACTCGAGAAAAATTAATGCAGAGATATTTACATGGACGTGGTTTTGAATTAATCAGGAACGTACTGTTAAAAGATGGTTAGAACGTTGGCATAAGGAAGGCAATGTACAAACGAAGGAACGAAAGGGCCGACGTCGGATCACTACCAAGGAACAAGACGATGCCATCGTCGCGATGGCAACTCAGCATCCTCTCACCGCTGCTAAATACGTAGCGCCTGCGCTAGGGTTAAATTGCAGCGTGGATACGATTAGAGAGAGGCTTCATAAAGCTGGGATACACAGCTGGAAATTAGGCAAAAAGCAAGGGTTAGAGTGCAAATCATATTTTTACATTGTTTTCCTTTCTATTGTTGGTTGCGTTCGTACATTCCCCCCGAGTACATTCCCTCTCTTTCTATATCACTGACATAAAACTGACGTTTCCGAACGCAGCCATTGAAATTAAAATCCTTCTATAATTCTTAAATATCTTCTCTAACACAAGATGTAAAACATATAATTAAATATTATATATTTTTTCTCCAGAGAAGGAAATGCGGTCCACACTGTTCATTTGTGGCAACCAAGTGGTAATCGCCCTAATAAGCCGAAAATGCCCGGAGAAAAGAAAAAGAAAAGTGCTGGTAATAATAAAAGACGTGATCAGATAACGAGCAGCAGTCAGAAACGCGTCGTGCGGAAGAAGAAAAACGACGAGCCGTCGACGTTGAAAACGGCTCCGCCTCCAACGAATATGATACCGGAGCAGTCCGTGTTGCCGTTCCACAATCCTGGAAACAGTAAGCATCGTCGAAAAATATAACAATATCTTACAACACATTATTTATTCGAAAAGACCCTAAATTGTCTTTATAAAATCATTCTTCTTCAGTGACGAATTACGCTTCGGGCCCTAACATAATGCAACCGGTGCATAATATCGGCGCATCGGTGCCTCCCGCACTGCCGCAACCACCTCCGCCTCCACCACCGGCGCCGCAACCGATGCAGCAGCAGCCGATGGGTCCAATAATGCCGCAGAGACCGGATTGCAGATTAGCACCGACCATAGTTCCACCTGTGTCGGTCAATTCCGGTGTCGCCTATCCATCGTGCATGGTCGGTAGCGGACACGCGGGTCACATGGAGCAAACGGATCCTTTAAATTATGAACCGTACATTTGGAGTTTTTAAATATCAAGTAACGACAATCTAAAATCGCGACAGAATATTGAATGAAAAGGCAACGTGCATTTGAGGGAAATACACCAATCTAGTTTTACATTTTGTTCTTATAAAAAGAAACACCGCAAATGTGAAAATCAGTATACGTCAATTTTACATTAAGAATATTTTTTACGTGATTTGACTTGTGCATAAATTGCAATATTAGAAGGTACAATTTCTACATGTGCAAGAAGAAAGTTTGGTAAATTTATTGTTATATCTGTGAGAAAAAGTTATATTAACTTAAAATTGTTTATAATAATATGCAGTGCATTTAGACCAATTTAAGTAAATTAACATAAAGATGATAATTTGTACATATAGAATACATATAGAGTCATGTAGAATCATGTAGTGTAGCGAAAACGTACACATCATTTATTTTGCTATGATATATCGTCTTTTTAAATAATATGGAGTCATAATCATAGAAAGCATATATATATATATATATATATATATATATATATATATATATATATATATATATATATTAAAATCAATATTTATACGATTAGATTTATTATTTTATCACTTCAAATCAAGAGTATTTTATGTTATTTTTAATTGTGTTATTTTTAATGATTGAGAGAGAGAGAAAGAGAGAGAATGAAAACAAAATCTGAATATCAAACAACTTTAATAAAAAAAAAATAGATTTAACAGATAAAACTAAGTAATAACTGTGCATAGAGAATAGAAAGTCCAAAAAACTTTTTAACAAATTCTCAGCAATAGATCTATTTTCGATATATGTGCTATCTTTTTTTGTCAGATAAAATGTGTATATTCTATGATATATATTTTTAATTATTATATATATGAATCTGCTTTGAAATTATAGTACAAATTGGCATGTTTCAGTCAGAAAAATGTGTAGCAAATCAACTTTAAACACAGGCTGCCAAAATACTTACATTTAACATATTAACTGCCTTTTCTATTATACTCATATTTACATACACATGTATCATTTATTTTAATGATAACTATAGAGAGAGAATTGACGTTATATACATATATGTATGTATGTATACTATTACAAGACTGTTACTGTTTTCTGTACATCACATTACATTCTGACAAGTAGCGTCTGACTGAATCAGTATTTGTATCGTAAGAAAGTTATGTTACAATAGGTTTTTTTCTCTTTAATTTTTTAATTTGTTTTATACAAAGCAGTATTCATATATATCGTCCATATACAATTACTGGTGGTACAAATGCAAAGTAGTGCACTAAAGAAAGAAAGAGAAAGTTACACGAGAAATAGGAGATACTGTAGAAAGATTTCTCAAATATTCATTATCATTTTTCAATACTATTTAAAAAGAATATCAAGTACACAATACGTAACATACATGAACAATGTATTATAAAGTTAGAAATATTTTCAACGACGTTCTTATTGAGATCTTTACTCGTTTTATATTTGTTTTATAAAGAAAAATAAAAATGATTACTACTCATTACACCATACTGTGTGTGTGTTGGCTGGTCTTCTTTAAGATTAATAAAGTATCTTTGTACAGAGAAAAGGGATATTAAGTCAAGTGTATAATCATCAACATGTACCTTTACTTCCAATTATAGCTACATTTTCATATTTTATCATGTAAGTTCCCAAATTTGTGTGACGTTATTTATAACCGCCTCGGGATTATTTTTATGGAACATAAAGTATCCCTGAATCTGCGCCGGACTAACGTTTCTTTCAAAGGACATTACGTTCTCTGCAAATTTTTTTGCCAGTACACCAGGATCTTTACCTGGTTCCTTGTAGAATCGCAGAAACATATGTTCGACTTGACTTGTACTACACCAACCTGAAAGAATATAATAATAATATATTGAGATTATTATACGAGTTTCTCAATTTTTAATCTTTTACTTTTCTACATACATACCAATGTATTCTTTGACATCGACTCTGCCTGGCCTAACAAGCGCAGGATCTAATCTGTCCAAATAATTAGTTGTCATAAATAATATCCTAGCTTCTGTGGAGGCTACACCATCCAAGCAGTTCAATAAACCGCTAAATGTCACTCTATTGAGACCCTCATATGCTGCTTTAACTAAAATATAAATTGAGAATAAATACATATCAAAGTGATAAATATTTTTTCTTATAATTTCTCATGTTTTCAGATATATACCTTGCTTAGATTCTTCTCTACTGCTAAAAGCAGCGTCAATATCCTCAAGCAAGATAATAGTCTGCTGTGGAGCCACAGCTAATAAGTGATTCAATCTGTCATCCGTCAAACCTCTCTCAGATAAATTTAAAACGCAAATGCCGCGTTCCAAATCTCCAGCCAACGCGGTAATATATGAAGATTTTCCGCATCCTGGAGGTCCATGTAACAAATAGCCTCGACGATATGGAATACCTGGAAAGATTGTGATTCTTATCAGAAAGAAGTACTGCGAGGAGAAACATAAATTTTTAATCTCAACGTTTATAATCAAATAAAGATAAACAGTTAAGTTTGGATACCTCTTTCACTGTACCATGCCGGATTATTGATGAATTCCCGACAATCGTTTATTATTCTTTCAGAAACACCGGTATCCAAAACGACAGATTCTAATGGTCTCTTCTTCCTGGCGTGTCCAAACTGTCGCCACTCGCTTCCCATGGCAGTGTACATTATAGTCTTTCCCTCGTGCTCTTTCAAAGCCATCTGTCTGGCTATACGAATTAAGAATTGCCTCTGATTTCCCAATTTGTTATATAACATATCTGTAAATATATTTTGCAAGAACTCAACCTTCTTCGAGAATACTAAAGTATATATTTCTGTTTTTGCCGAACGCTGTTAGCTGCACAGTTTCCCATGGCACACCCATGTGTAGGTCTAAGGTCTGTTGCTCTCTCGTTCTCTCAACCTTTATCCAATTCCCCTTATATCTGTAGAAATGAAAAAAGATGTACAATTAGAAAAATTTTAATGTGCAAGATAAAATCATGATTAATATACTTATAATATATTTTGACAAAAAGAACAAGTTTTAAATCTGGCAATATCCTCTTACTTGAAGAAATGAGTTCCTATACTTGGAATAAAGTCATATTTGGTTTTCACATGACCAGTTTCTTTCTGCTCAAAGCTAGTCTCTACGGAGAGGTGTTGTGTCTTTCGTGCACCTTTATGAGTAATCCATTGGAGAATCCACTGATAGCTCTTATCACGACATGGTACTTCCAGAGTGATCATATAATGTCGCCTATAAATAAAGAATTTATTAATAACAATATATAATTCACAAAACAAATGTATATAATATTTATGTATAATACAATACTTGAATAGTACAGCTCCAAATTGGGCTCCCTTTCTTAACAAAGCAGCTCCAGCCCCAAGTCCAAAAAGACCAAAGCCAGCACCAAAGTATGGATTATCGGATAAAGTTTGTATGTACTCAGAGAATGTCATGATGCAATTTAATATTGTACAATTTTCTTGTATAAACAGGTGATATTAAAAATGTATACTACATTAAAAATTAATTAGTAATTTGTTTCTTATGTCTTGTTGGAATTTATTTCAATTCTTCCAACAATAATCCTGCAATAATCAAATTAGTTACATAAACAAAAATAAAATGTAAATACTGTAACAGTGTTTAATGAGTTGTAACAGTGTTAAATTTTTTCTTAAAGTTGTTTTTAATTCAAGAAAGTGTATTATTTAATTGTTTCTTTCTATTTAATTTTTACAATTATTATTTAATATTTATATTGTTATGTATAAAATTGTAGAATCAAAGGGGATAACCTTTATATAAATTCGTCTCGTGATGAATTACTAGACCGGTTTTCCGCGCATGCGCACGTGCACGTGCGACATCAATTAAAATTAAATACATAACTTATTTCTCTTTTTCTGTCTCTCGATTAAATAAATTTAAATCATAATCATTGATCTGAAAAGAATATTTTTATCGAGAGCAAAAGATTAAAAAATGTGCATATTTTATTTTATTTATAATTTATTTGTAATGCAAGAATAAAGTAGATCTTGATTTTCTATATTTAATTATAATGATGAACGATATCACAAATCTGTGACAAATATATTATTGTGTATGACAGAATGAGATTACTATGAGTTATTAACGTTTATAAAAAAAATTATGTATATATAACTATATCAAATCTATTTCGAAAATATTTCAACTAAAAGATATTTCTGAATAATATTGAATAATATAATATATACATATACACGTGCATATTCCTACATATATATATATATATATATATATATATATATATATAAATTATTACAATAATAATAAGGAATTAATTCACGCTCATGTTACAAACGATTATATTTCACTTTATGTTACAAAAAGAATTTCCACTACGTATAATGTATACTATTGTTTAATAACATCAACTCCAGGTACCACGAGTGTGGTTTGAATCTCCTTCTTTATCTCTTTCTCTTTTTCGATTTTTCCTTTAAACTTTTACCTGTAAATAATGTTACTGAACATCTACTTAATTACTACATTCGATCTAATTTAAAACGACTGACCTTTCCTCTCTTTCCAATTACTTTGTCAATAAACGCAGGATAAAAATCACGAAGTTGCTATAAATGACTATTGGTTCCGAATTTTTTTTTCTGTCTACGATTTAACGATTAATGAGCTATAATAACTACAAAGAAAATATAATGCTCGTTGAGACCTTCATATAATATATACATGCATTCATATATACATATGTACGTATATATGTATGCATGTATATATGTATATGTACATATGTATAAATCGTTTTCGATAATCTCTGCGGAATTTGGTACGTTTTTATATAATGTATTATTGATGCCGTAACGCTAGAGTGCATTTACAGTATATACAACATACAATATGTTCTGGGTCCATGATCAAGTACCAGGTAAAATCAAATTCATGATAAAAAAATTTTTTAAATCGAGTATAGTATGAATATCGAATTTAAAAAACTCGTCAAAATTTATCGAGTTTATCTCTCTACACGCTGATCAAAATGCAATAACAAATACTGAACTCTATATGTTAAATAAAGCACTTATTATACAAATCTACACATACATAAATATTATTACAATTAAGATTACTAAAAAATATTGCAACCAACTCATGAATGTATTAAATTAATTGAGCTACATATGCGTGTGATTTATATCTCAGAATATAATTAGTAATATCTAAATCTATAATTTAGTATACTACAGTAAAATAATAAATAGTTTCTTGGACCAAAATTTGATTTGAAAAGAAAACAGACACTTAATAATTGAAATAACAACTGGAACATTATTCTGCAAATTTGTGAACATTGTTCGAAACATATTTCGCAAAAATTATAGAAAAATGATTCCTATATATAATGTATATATATATATATATATATATATATATATATATATAGAAACAATATACATATATATAATACCACTTAATGACAATTCACAAATTCGCAAAATGCTCTTTTAAATATATAATATGCTGTCCAGTCCGTTCATCAATAATTTTACTAAGAGATACATATTTCTGTCGATGACGCAGTGTAAAAATATTTCGCATAAGTGCAACATGGACCCGGTTAAAGTGCGATACATCCAACGTCATCGAGACGTCTCATGCACGTGTCATTAGACATCGAGAGATCTCTCTCTCTTTCTCTCGCTCTTCGAGTCTTCCCTCTAGAATTAGAGAAATATAGTTTCAGCGCACATTATGCAGTCGATTAATCTCTTACAATTAGTCTACGCCGCGTTACAACTAGTCGCACTCGTTATTCGCGAGTTTTACATTTTTTCTCTCTATCTCTCTGTCTATTTTTTTATTACTCCTAGTCTCACGTATCGTGATCTAAACGCACCACCGTCGAGAGCATCGCCGGACGGGACGCAATGAGAATTTTTATTTTGGAAGCCTTGAGCATAAATCTGTCCGCCATCCCAATTCTCAGCGGACAAATTTTCATATTATTGTTCACAATATGTATCCTCTTCCCGATTTATTCCTTAATTTGGTTTGTCTCAAATTCACGTTCCGTGTGTTTCTCTCTTTCTTTCTAGCTTATAATCTTAAACACGATCTTGATAAATAATTCGGTACACAGGTTGCGTATTTTCTTTGATCCTTCCCAAAAAATATAGTTTATCGTACAAAGAGATTTTACGAAAGAAGATCCAGATTTATCCATACAATTACTTACATAAATAATAAATCACCGATTAATTATATAAAGAGTAAAAAATTCAAGAGAAGATAGATCTTTTCTTCTTCTGAAGAATTTAGGAGATAATGCAAGTATAAATTCGCGGTGCTGATACGCAACCCTTTACGACATAGAGGAACTTCATGAAGGACGCTAAATATGTATAGAAGGACCATATTAGGTTCCTTCGAAAGGACAGAATTACTTTTGGCAAAAGGTATGCGCTACCGCGACTGGACGCTCGATCCACATTTGCTAATTTTTAACGAGTCTTCGGAGACCGTGCTATCTCTCTCAGAACTCTAATTAACAAGCAAAATATCTAACACATACACATAGCTAACAAGAAATCGCACAGATCTTCTTATCGATGCAAAACGGATCTGTTTTGTAAAAATTCATTACAGCGCCATTTAATTCCTGATATCACATAGTTATCAATAATTATGCGCGCGGTCTCCGAATTCCTTACAATTATATCTTATTTTGCGTAACATTACAATACAGATTTATTATGTTTTCTAATATCTTTCTTTCTGACACTAACGTCTCTAGTCGCGTGATGCAGCGCGGACGGTTAAGTTGAGTCGAGGACGAAATTTCTCGTGAAAAATAGTGAGGATTGTTTCTCGAGAAAAGGAAGAATCTTTCTTTTTTTTGTCCGGCTCCTTCTCGACGGTGGATGCGTGACGAAAAGGGAAGGGACGGTGGTCTGAGACTGGCTCGGTTTATGGATATAAATTAGCCTGACCTGTGTCTAGCGCCTAAGTGTGTGTATGAGGGAGAATCTTGCAAAATTCTCTCTCTCGAGAGTTACAGACAATATTTAAGAATAATTACAGAATTATATAATTATTTAGGATCAATTGCACCAATCTGACATTAAAATGTTTAAGCATTAAACAAATGTTTATTTTCTTATCTATGTATATTATATAATTAACTCTAAGATCTCTCTAGCAGATAAAGACCGTTCAACAAAGTCAGTTGACTTGTTACAATTAAAAATCTATCAGTGCAATCGACTATTAATAAAGTAAACTAATAATTATTGCTGATTCGCGTATTATCATTTCAGAAAAATATTTGAGAAATTCGAAACAATAGGAAACAAATCGCAAAAAAAAATAAAATAAATCTGCGAAAAATGTTTTATTTCGGGCATCAACATCGATTGAATTGTATAAAATCGTCGACGTTGAATTATATAAAAAAAGAAATATAGGATTCTTATTTACGCGTCTTAGACACAGGTGACGCGCAATACAAAGACGACGATATAGATATAATATAATAGCGATAATTAATTAATTTATAAACGCTCGATAAATTCTCTTTAGGTATTCGTCTTATCGCGAAACAGACAGGCAATGATTACGACAATAATTAATAAATGTACAATTGCAATAATAATAAAAGAATGATAATAAAGATAATAAAATAACAATAGCCGTGATAACAGATTTGATTGAAGCCAATATAATAGTATTCGCATTATAAATATATATGTGCAAATTTATTTGCACAGAATGCTCCATTACATTTAATTATGTGCATATCTTAACAATTATAGTTTTAATAAACTATTAAATATATATGTAAAAAAATATATATAAAATAGTTAATATTTGTAAAATACGATCGATTTGTTCAGAAGTTTCATAATCGGATAGTTGTATTATCGAGTGTTTTAATTGGAATAATTGCTTTGCGCAACGGCGGACTACAAATTATAAATATATATGTATCGCTAAGAGTGAACGTTTGCATGTACATCTATGGAAAATGTCAAAGTAAAAGAGCATTCTGTGCACACGAGAGCACACACTTATCACGATAATTACACTCCTACAAAAGTGACAAGACAGCAAAAATCGATAAAAAAAACTAGCAGTCGGAGCTATATGCGTGCATCCTTTCTTTAAATAAAAAACCTTTTCGTGATCCCCATCGAACGAGATCAGCGATTATTATGCGTCAACAAATTATTAAAAGTGCCTGCAAAAGCGCTTTGCGTTCATTTAATATGCAAAAACGTACACATAAAAATGTAAATAAACGTAACAAATGATAACACACTCGCATCGAATAGCTGCTTCGAATACAATAATTAGGTGTAATAGTTAACACCAAGTAAAAAACACGATAAAAGTGTAAATTCAACAAGCTGCCAAGAAGTCAATGACGATTAAATGATTTAAAGCCTGTTTAGGCCGCGTTTACTACAATAAAAATTGTTAACGAAAGAACGAGGTATCATACGTTGCACATTTGTTGCTAACAACGAGATTGTAAAAACGTATACCGATCTTTCAGTAATAAAAGATAAGTATCTGTAATCTATATCTTTACAGGAATACTGGAACAATCGATTCTCCGCGTCTCGGAGATAAAAGAAAATAAGCTGTCTAGACTCACGAGTCTATTTTGTAATAATAATAATTTTTATAATATAGAGAAACATATGACATTTCTTCATTTCTCTTATAAATCCATAATTCCTTAATTTTCGTCCCAAAAAGCATCGATCGTTCCATTTCCAAAGTATCGAAATATTTCTAACTCGATCGATTAAAAAATGATTTATTCGTGCATTTAAAAATTGATCGGATCAATTAAGAGGGCGTAGGTAGGTGAATCTATTTTGATGCATCCGAGTTTCGTTTCTCTGGCGGAGATGTGACCTGAGGTGTCCTACTATTTGGAAGATAGGTTCCCCTATTGTTTTTTTTGTTGGGCTACCGTATAAAAATTTCACATCTACTTGCTACGACGACATTCCATTTCGCTACTTTGATTATAAACTCTACCGGTCACTCGCGACATATTAATATTGTCTCTATGTGGTATGCAATGTAAAATTTGCCGTTTCTCCGCGTTAACTACCTACAAAAAACGGTATACGTTTCTTTCGCCCTCTCCTATAACGCGTACGTGTAAGAGTTTTTCTTTTGTCCTTGACGAAAAACGTTCCGGAGACGATTATCATTATGCTACATACCAACCATCAACAGAATAATAATATCCTTCGAACCGTTGAGGCGATAATGAATATGTTAAAGTACGTAATAAATAAGCGTGCTGAAGCAATGATGGAGCACAGATAAAAATCAAAGTTTAAAACGATTTCCTCTGTACAATAATAAAAAAACGATCGAGAGAGTCGATCGTTCGCGTTAATCTAATGCACTTGACAAGTTTAACGCAGCTAATCGTCGCCTAAGAACGTAGACTTCGCATTAAATTCGCAAGCGGCGACTCCGCAAATCTCGAGTGTCTGTGTATCCTATACACTCCTTAAATTCCTCTATTAACAATAGTGGTAACACAAGGCAGAGACTCCCCGAAGAGACTCTATGATATGGAGCAAAATTCGTGGGGTATGAAACTGAACATTTTCGAAACCTTCAAGAGCGCAGCCAATTTACTTCACCGTTCATCGAGCACGAATCTCTATTTAGCGAGGACGGCGTCGTCATTTCTTTTCCTTTTTTTCCCTCAAACACTTAGTACGTGTCTCGTCCATCTCTTTGTAAAAATACGTTTCACGGAATTCGCCACGACGATTATCAATGTGACTGCGGGATGTCTCTTTCTCTCTCTAACGAAGGAGAAGTCAATACTCACTACACACAGAGTCCTTCGGCTCCCAATCAACCATAACAAGCGGTAGAAAAATTCGAAAAGGTTCTCAAAGTTGTCGCTTCTCTCAGAATATCTTACTCCACATCTTCATCATTTTCTAGAAGAAGTCTCTGCCTAAGTGGGGACGGTTCGTCTGTTGTGACAATCGCGGTCTGCCGCGTCCGTTTGCGCCGGGGGTGTGTCTCCTGGTGTTTCGCAGCTCTCGATCGACCTCGAGCTCCTCCAGCTTCATGGTGAGGCCGAGCTTCTGCTGCACCGCTAGCCGTAACAACTGGTTCAGCGTCTTCCGATCGTCCTCCGCCACGGCGAGCTGCCGCTGAAGCTCGTCCACTTGCGTCACGTATTCCTCGCAGCGTGCAGCGAACATTGCACGCAGACCTGGAGAGCGTATGGTTAGAGCGGGGTTTGACACGATGTAGAGATAAGCGGACGAGAGATAGAGGAATGCACATTAGAGAATTGCAAGCGGGAGATCAAAATCCAGGTTTCAAATACAGTGTCCCATTTTAATCAATCATCCCTAATTTTTTTAAATTTTTGATTGTACAATAAAATGTATTTCAAAGAAAAGCAGATGATTGAAAAGCACCTTGAAAAACAGTCTTTAGAAAAAAATCTGTAATGTCATCTGTTATCCTTCAAATCAAACAACTTTTGTTTGAAACTTTTGTTGTACAATCAAAAATGAAAAAGTTTTGGAGGTGATCGATTAAAATGGGATACCCATAATAATCGAAAAAGCCATGTGCCTACATTTAATATAATTCTGTACATATATCAGTCATGGAATGTGAGAAAAAAGTATGCACCACCGAAAGACTAGGTACACATCGGCAGTTTAGATTGCATAACATTTTTTTTTAAATGAGCGTTTGACTAGTCACGTTTTGAGTCAGAGAGAAATGTTACACTTGGCAGTATATGTTTGTTGATGTTTAGGCAATGCAATAACTATGGCACATTGTCAGAGCATTTGAAGAATCGATTGCGGTACTCCATAGTATTAACAACACTGCATTTATTAAGGCTAATAGCAACCATTTTTTAATGGACGCGTTAGCAGGAGGAGGAGTGTGTTAGCGTCAGGAACAAAATAGAAAAAAATTACATTATTAAATTTCTATTTAACAGACTGTAGGTTCGTTGTAGAATTGTCTTTTAAAAGGGAAAAGTTTAGTAAAGATTCATATAGCAAGGGTCACCTTTTAATATAATTCTACCTTATAAAAAATATATAAAAATTTCTCTTTACATTTGTTTTCGAATCAAACTTCTACCTATGTGTAGCAAAGACAGAAAAAGATGTAGGAGTTAAATATAAATACTTACTCGAAAATGTCGCGGCGTTTTCCTTCAACATTCTAAGCTCATTCCTTAGCTTGAGCATTGTCTCGTTGACGATACTCTTTTCGTTTTCGTATTTACTCTTTAGATTTGTTAACGCTACCTCTGCCGTGTTTTTGTTTGATTTAAGGACTGTTCTTAACGTGGCAATCTGCTCTCGTTTAGCGGACAACAAGGCCTTCAATCGAATGACTTGCTCTTGAAGATCCGTCACTTCCGCCTTGTTCTCGTTGACAGAAGCTGAGAAAGAAAATTCAATTGTCAGAAAAAAGATCAAAAATTGATTTACCGATAAAAATAACTATTTCTATATTTTTTTATACAAAGTAAAAACAAGCTTCTCTTCAAGAAAGCTTATATAAAGGAATATACTTACTCTCGCAAACGTTGCAGATGTTTGACTGCATTCCCTTGACCTTGGACAGTTCGATCGTGTGTTCTACGGCGCTTCTGAGATACTTTATTTGGTCCATCGCGGTCTCTATGTGTTTCGCAATCTCCTTCGCCTTGCTGAGGCTTTCTAGATCCTTAATCTTGATGTCGGTTTTGAATAGAGTCCGACACCAATCCATCTTACCGTTCTCCTCTTCTTTCTCGGGCACGATCTCCGACTTTTCGTGATCCAGCACCACCCTGGAGGGGGTCTCGCCGTTGACGGTGCACACGTGATGGTAGAGTTGCGCCAGCTCGTCGGAGAGGTTCTGCAAGTCGTTCTGCGCGGAATCGAGAAAACCACCAGCTTCCGCGGTGAGCTTCGACAAGGTGGACACGTCCGATTCGAGCTGCATGCTCCTTTGTTCCGTATCCAACAGCTGAAACGAAGAACGAGAGAATATAAATTGTATGAAAGCGGTATCGCAATATAAATGCGTTTAATAGATGCACTTTTTACTTTTTAATACTGCGCGTTTATCGGAAATTTGTTCGCAAGAGGAAGTTCTCTCAAAATTTTACTGGGGATTTATTTAGAGATTCGCGTTCGCGTAGATCTTTCGTGAGAAAATGTTTATGAGATATATTTGCAAATATATTTTTTCCGAATATCGTGCAAAGACAAGCTAGGCGAATTCCACGATCGACATGCTACGTTAGATGCGACGAAAATTTACATGTGGAAGGAAGAGAGCGATCGTCGAATCCTCACGAATTCTCCTTTCTAAGCGCATTCTGTCTTTAAAAAAGCCACGGTGCATAGCGGATCCGTTTCTTTCGAGCAATATGACACGTTTTTATTGTTTAAACGCGCTTGATCCATGCGTGAGACTGAATACGAGCTCGAAGAGATGATGCAATTCTCAAACATGGATCTACATTCAACATGGAATGATGGAGTGAAATCGTCAGTAGCTTCGAAAACGTGTACGTGTTAAATGTAATACGAGAAGAAGTATGAGATGGGAAGCGATATATGTATATATCGAGCTGTTAGGACACTGAGAAGCAAGTATCATTGTACGGATCATTAGAGGAGCCAACAAGACAAATTATGTTATTGAAATATCTGGTAAATACGTCAAAAGGATCACACGTAATCCAACCTTTTCTCGAAGGCTCTTCTCTGACTCGGGCATCTGAAACGCCACAATTTCCATTCAAAGTCTAAATTTTGTACGAATATAATCGCGCCACACAGTATTTTGCACAAATTTATATTCTTACCATTAGAGCAAATTCTTGCGTTCTCTCATCTTTCTTTATAGTCTGTTAACTTACATATTTTCTCTCAAGTTTTATGATAATACTGTCCATACACAAATATATTCTTTCGAAAAATAAATGAAAGAATAAATAACTGTACCTTGTTTCGCAGATTTGTCAACTCTGTTCTCAGCTGTTGTGTAGAGTCAGATACTGTTAGACCGTTCTCCAATTCTGCCAGATCCTTCTGCAACTGATTAACTTCGCGAGCAGACATGGTGCTCCATTGATGATACTGCACAACAGCCTGTTGCAAAGTGTCATTATAATTCTCTCAAAAGAATACCGAATGTATCTTTTATATCATAAAAACACAATAAAACTGTATGTAAAGTATACCTGATTGAGTTTATCCAGCGTAGCTTCTTCGCTCTGCTTTTCAGGTAATTTCGAGTGAAGATGATGCAACGATTGCACATGCGCTGCCAGCTGCACTATTCGTGCAACGAACGATTGCAATTCCGCCTGGCTCTTCTCAACAGCATACTGAGACTCGCGTAGGTTCTGCGTCAAATGGGCCTTCTCGGTCTCCGCGAGTTCCAGCTGCTTTTCCAATTTCTTCAGCTCGTTCAAGTGAATCTCGGAAAACAGGTCGACCTGCTTGTCGGTCGCAGACGTGCCTGGTTCCTGCGTCTTGAGATCCGCCTCGATTCTACGTAACGCGGGTGAATCATCTTCGCCATCGCTGCATATCGTTTGATCCTCCGTGATGCCCCGGATGGAAAGCGCGAGGTTGCTGAGATTGTAGATAGATTCGCTGTTGATTCTCTGATCCAGCTCCTTCTTTAGGGCGTACTTGGCTTCGCGTTCCGCCTGCAAAGACTCCAACGCTTCCTCCATCTGCTTCTCCGCTATCTTCTTCAGGTTCGTCAACTCCTCCACTTGGCTGTTCAACAGTTCGACTTCCTCCGTGAGTCTTCGAATCTCGTGTTTGGCACCCTCGAATTCTACCTGACTGGATCGCAAACCCGACACTTGCTTCTGCAGGGAGATATTCTCGTCCTCCAGCTCGGAATAGTCCTGAAGCAGCCGGGTCTCGCGGAACCTGCACTCCCGTAATTCCGTCCGCAACGATTTACGTTCCGTCTCCGCCTGCTGGTGATCCTTGCCGACCTCCTCGCGTTCCTGCAGCGCGTGATCACGTTCCGCTTCCACTCGCTCCAACTCATGACGTAACTAGAGATAATATGTAACGTTTTAAAACAACAGTCTCTCATTTCATGAATCGATAATTGTGATGAACTCAAACCTGTTTCGTTTCACTCTCCAATTCAATAATCTGAAACTGCAGAGATGTTTCTCGAGCAGCACTCTCACTGAGAAGACTCTCTTCTTGCTCAATGCCACTTTTTGCAGTTATTTTTGTGGTTGTCTGGAACTTTGCGAGAGCCTAAAATAATGACATATGCTTAATATTTATGTCAGGAATTAAATATACATTTTTATATATAAATATTATATGTAGAAATAAGATTTCGCCAAGAAGTCCTCTTTTTCAATTTTGACAGAGATCTAGAATCGCAAGCATATATTTTCTTAAACATAGAATATTAAATCAAGTAAACGCTGTTATCTGATTGACGTAGACATACTAAATGAGTTACTTTATCATGTACATTCTCATTTGGTGCACCTGTTACAGTTAAACTAACATAGTTAACTCTACCTCTGTACTTTATACTTGCTCCACTTCAAGAAAAACGTTCACTCACTACATCTGAGTACTCATTTCACACTATAGCCATATATTAAATTCTTAAACCCTCTTTATTTATACTATCACGTCTGACTTGTAGTAGAAAATTGTCGAAAAAGGATAACATTTTCTCTCTCTCTCTCGCGCGCGATCGGGCGTGTCGAGTTTAAAAAGCTCCAGGAGTCCGACTAACCTCTTGCGTGATCTCCAGCTCGTGCTTCGTGTTTTCGTAGAGGGCCTCGAGGTCGTTGCACCGCTGCTGCAGGCCCGACTTCTCCTCGAGCAGCGCGAGTCCGTACTGCGCGGACTGTATCTTCTCGGTGGAGGCCAAGTCGAGCTCGCGCGACAGCCGCTCGATCTCGGTCCTCAGCTCCTCGAGCACGACCCCGTCGACGGTGGCCATCGTTAGGTCGATGACAGATTGCACGACGACGATGACAGACGATGACGGTGCTCCTCGCGAAGTTGCTGTCACTCTCTCTTCGTCCTCCTCCTCCTTCACCACCTCGTCGTCGTCGTCGTTATCGGAGCAAATGGACGCCGATCGGTCGACGCATCCTTCGGTAATCGTCGATCGTGTACATGCACCTCTTCTTCTTCTGCCCCCCTTCACGCGAGAGTCACGCGTAACGTCACGTCACGTCACGTCACGTCACGTTTCGTCTCGTTACCTCGTCACTTTCGGCGTGACGCCTCGCGCGACAGGATTCGCCCCGGGTGGTCCTCTTTCACATCCTATCCTCCGCGACGCGAGAACCGCTCGCCGATTTTGACAGACGCGGCGCGACACTCCTGTCACTCGGCGCGGGGGGAGGGAGGGAAATCGCAACCGGATGCACGTTCCGCGCGTTCGCGGCGTCCGGTTCGGCCTTTTAACCCGTTTCGGTATTCCGCTTGTCCAAGGTCGAGATTCTTTCCCTCTCTTTCTCGCGCGCGTAAATTTTTTTTTCACGCGCTTATCAATGTTTTATCTTTTTTTTACCAACGTTTCCGCTGTTAGTTATTTACTCCTCGGAATATTATAGTTTCTTTGATTCCATTCTTTTTTTTTTTTTCATTTGCTCCATTCATGAATTTCCTAAGATTTCTCTATATGACGTATGCAACATTTTTAAATATTAATGAAGATTAAAAAAAAGTACAATTGGAATTAATCGCTGTTGAATATTTGTACAATTTTTAATATTCTTTTTTTTTTGTTTTTTTTTTTTAAATCTTAGGAATCCTAAAAAGTAGCTGTAGAATTTTTTTATTCAAAATTTACAGTCTGTAAAAAAAAGGAGAATAATTTAGAACTGTAAGAGTGATTTTTTCATTATGACAATACATATAAATCATCGTGACCTACAAAATTAAATGCATGAAATCCGCGAGAGAGGAAAAATATCTGGAATTCATGCTCGTTACGCATTTTTACACGATGACACGCAGTTTTGCATGGATAATTCAGAGCATGCGTGCATTGACACGATTATATAATTCTCATTAACACAATCTGTGCGCATCGTTGAAACCATCGAACTGCGAACACGCTGAGCGAAGAGATAATAAAATAAAAAAAAATTGTTTGGGGAACAAAGAAAAAAAAAGACCGATCCTCTTTGCCTCTCCGTACACATTCTATTTCAAAAATTCAGTTTAAAAACATAACTTCAAATACTCCACAATCCCTTTTTATTATTTTGCAGCTTATGTTCTTTTTTTTGTTTCGTTTTTACTTTTCCTCTTCTTCTCTTCGTCTCCTTCTTTCTCTCTGTCGCTCTCTCTCTCTCCTTTACCTTCCTTCCTTTTTTTTAAGTATTAATAGATTAGTTTAATATATAAGTCGAGCCGTGGATCCGACGTGCGCCGCCGGTCGAATTAAATTCATACACTGTAACAGTCGTTATTCTTTACAATATTCGTACGTAAGTCTTGTAGCAGAGACAAAAGCGCAGGTGCCCTAATCGCACTCGTATTACTTTTTTTTTTCCTTTTTTTCTTTTACTCTTTAATAATAATTATTCGTATATATATATATAATATGCTCTCGTACCTCTGGTGCGAACCCGGAAACTCTGTCGCGGAGGGAATCGATTACACTATGATATTTTTTTTATTTCCGTCAGACTGTTCAGACTCTTCTTCTTACTGTGTATATACTCTTTAAACTTGCGTTTAAATCTCTCACGCAAACGCTTCCCAGCCAGGACAACAATACAAAAGAGATGATTTTCTCTGGGAGAAAAGCCTTAACTTAAGACATTCGAGAAAGATTGGAACAACCTCGTCCGATCGAGAGTGATCAGCTGATTCTTTGATGAAGCGCTCTCCCGAAACTATTCGGGGATGAGCGGGAGATCCTCGGGAGAAATATTAATTAAAAATCGCGAAGGATTGTTCCAATCTCTCGTCGACATCGATCGCTTCGCCGAGGACTTGGTCCAACTTGTGTATCTATGCCCCGGGTTGATCAGCACCAGAGGCCGCGAAGTCCGATAATAGCGCGAAGTTACAATTTGTTTGATCCTCTCCAAGTCTCGCGTCGTATTATGTGTATGTGTGTATATGTATAAGTGTGTGGTGTATATGTATATGTGAGCACTAGCACACCGAAACTACGCAATGAGATCCGGCCTTTTTTTCATTTAATTAATTAAGTCCCGAACAATGTTTGTGTTCAAGTGTATAAAATTGTTGCAGGACACCTGTGGGTTTACTATATACGAAACACCTTCCATCCCGGATGGATACCCAGGTCCTTTTTTTCTTCCATTTTTCAAGATAGTCAGGCACGCCTGGCTTCTGAACCTTAATACACAATTGTCGCTGCTGGTAAAACCACTGAATCCGCAAGCGCGTCTTTATTATGTAGGTATCCGTCTTTCGGATCTGAACAAAGATATCTCTCTCACGCCTTCCTGATGATCGAATTAATACATCGCGCTGCTGCTGTACTGTAATACATGGTCCGGTGTATCGTTTGGAAAAAGTAGTCGGGAATCTAATCGCATCTCTTATTCTAATTTCGTTTTTTAATACTTTATGAACACTGCGCGCCGCGATCGGACGAGTCGCGGCTCTCTTTCTTTGACGTAATTTCGCGTGGCTGCACATGTGTCTCTTTTTTCCCCTTTAAGAAAAATCTCGCTTTGTACTCGCGTCGAGTATGGTCTTCCCCGCGCGCAGGGATAGTCTTTTGTTTTTCTTCCCTTTGAATCCATCATAATTTTTTTGTTCTTTTTTTCTTTTATCGTTTCTTACGACCGTATCTACAAATTTTGCCTCCTACACAACTTATAAATTACGCAAAGGAAAAGAAGAAAGTATATGATATATCGACCTCAGCAATATGTACTCCTCTATACATGCAAAATATTATTTTCTCATGGCAATACAAAGAAGAATTGTTTATAGTCGGAATTAATCACCAGCAACGACCAGAGTATAAGCTAGCTTTTTACAGTACAAAATACCTCCTGCACACATGCATAAATATATGTATACACACATGCGCATATATATATATACATATACCTAGTAACGAAGTATTTTTCAGCAACATGTAAGGATATAGTAAGGTTGGTACACTCTCTCTTTCTCTGTTTCTGTGATGGGGAAACATGATGCTCCTCTTTCGCATGTTCATCAACAGTGAAGTGTCAGAAGTATGAACAATGAGTCTACGTTATTAACAATTGTATAATTGTACGTACAAAATGTACCAACTTGTACAGACTACCGTGTTTATATGTTTATATATACACGTACATATCGCGATGTGTGTTCGAACTTGGTATTAAATCGCAAGTCGCGTTCTTTCGTTCCCTTGAGGCTCGATAGAAACCGCACGTCTCTCTCTCTCTCTTTCGCCCTACTTTATCGAAAGTCGGGGTGGATGAGTAAAAGACTCGGTAGAACTGTATATAAACTCGTAAACACTGACAATCCTACAACTATACATCGCTTCCTTCCGTATATATATGTACTGATGTATATACGGAACTAGACGAGTCCGGTATATAGAAGAAAATGGTGAAATATAGAAAAAAAAATTAAAAAAAAAAAAGAAGTAAACATACATATAATAGCAGATCATTAGCGAGGTCCTCATTACATCCTTACACATTAAAAATTAGCGTTACTAAATCTTATTTTTATGCATTCAGGGCCGGCATGTGTTTTCGCTTCTTTCATTTCTCGTTTTCGCTTCCAAATTCATTTTCTTTTTCTCTTTTTTCTTTCGTTTGTCGGTTTATGAGTTGTCGGCTAGAGAGTTCGAGAGGGAGGACCGGAGAATACAAGATGCGTGGATGCGAAAACTGTTTGCGACGTGAGTCCGTGCCTTGTTAATTACTTGTTCGTAAACCGTGTCACTGTAAAAAAAAGGAAAAAAAAGAAAAAGAAAAAATTTAATGTTCCTCTTTGTTTTACCCGAGTACCAGAGTCAAGCCGTTCCTTTTTTCCCTTCCTCGTAATGTAATCATTATCATATCAGTCGTTTCATAAAAATTTCCTTGGTTCGAACAAATACGAGGGAAACCGCGTAAAGGATGAAATGTTGCGCATTATATGCTTAAATATTCACCAGCACGTGTTTAATTCTTGAGACCACGTGTTCAGAGCTTCCCGAGGATCCATACATCTTGCATCGAAAACAATGCGCGTACGAGACAATTCGAAGGTTAGGGGACAGAGGAATCATGGTCTCTACATTCTAAATTCAATCGAATGTTCATAATATTATCATATAGGTGTGTATGTAGAAAGTGTGTATCATGTTACCAAGTTTCATGTGTTAATAATGTAAATGTTAAATGTGTTCGTTTCGTAGGAGATGAAACCCTGCGCTCATTCACACATAATAATACAATGTATATGTGTTAATGTATGTCGGTGTAACAGCAATAAAAACTTAAAGACATTATTAAGAAAAGAAATTTCTTGCGAAGAGAACAACGGTGGGCAGAGAGGGAAAGGAGATTTGGAAAATAATGATTCGGTTGAAGATGGCCGGGAATTGGGAGCATGTGGTAGCAATCCGAACGACGACGACGACGACACAACGATGATGGTGACGATGGTGACGACGACGACGACGACGATTACGACGACGACGTCGGCAACACGCGTCCTCTGCGAATTGTACGTGTCAACGAGACATACGTCCGCATCATCCCTACCTAGCTACAATTCCCGGTAGTGGCGTGCGCGATGGTAAACGGCTTATCGTTATCGTTAAGCGAGCGGCACGGATTCCGGTTGTCTCCTACTTCCTGTCATCCTGATCGCATTCACGGCTTATGTGACCGGTCTTGCCGCAGATGTAGCAAGTCTTGCCGCCGGCCTCGGTGCAGTTGCGAGCGATGTGGCCCGTCTTGTTGCAATTGTAGCAGCTTTGCATGGCGAAACGACCAGAATCGTTGCCACCTTCCGGACAGCTACGCGCCATATGACCAGTCTTGTTGCAATTGTAACAACTCAACTCCGGTCCCTGTTTAGATAACATATGTTCAGAATAGATCTCGTGTCATAGGTGCATGATGTTCCCTCTGAGTGTGAGGATTCACCGCAGGCAGGAAATGAAGATAGAGTTGCTGAAGGCAACTTGAAATAGTTGACGACAACATATAATATGCGAATTACTAGCCTGTTGACAGTCTTTTGCAATGTGTCCCACACCATTGCAACGATAGCAAAGGTCTTGATCTTCCTTGCACTCACGTGCAAAGTGTCCAAATTGATTGCATTTGAAGCACTTCTCTCGACCACGTCCAAAGCCACCATCCCTGTCACGTCCACGATCTCCTCTGCCTCCACCTCCGCCTTGTGGGCACTCACGCGCAAAGTGCCCCATACGGTTACATTTGTAACACGCACTCGAACTCATCTTCCACAATCTACAATTATACACATATATGTCATTACATCCTCACATTAAACTCTTATAATTTAAGATGACACATTCGTGCTAGGAATAATTCCCGAGAGTATTCTATTCAAATAACACTGAACAATAGTCTGTCCTGCATTATATACCATGTACATTCACATACTTGATAATTATTCAACAAATCTCACACGAATCAGAAAGGAATATACACTCCCAACAGAGCTGTCAAAGACCTGTCAAAATTATATCGAGCGCAATTTTCAAATCTTACTAAAAAAAAAAAAAAAAAAAAGAAAAATTATAAGAACATAATTTCACGCATCCGAACATCTAATTTCGCGAATCTGCCATATCTGAAGCGCATCTCGCGCGCTCGCGCGCGTCCCACACAGATGTCTCCTGACGCGTGCGCGCGCGCGCGAGCGAGCGAGCGAGCGCGGGCACAAAGCACGATGAAGGAGCAGCGAGAAGGGGCGGGAGAGTGCCAGACACGCAGGTGAATGTGCACTTTATAATATCGGCGCGAGGAGACTCTCGCAGGAAGCGGCCGGATGACGAGCCATGAGCCTCCTCACCCGCGCGGCCACTTTACATGGCGCCGGCCGGATCGAAGCGGTGTGCATAAAATGGCATCCTTCGCGTCTCGCGAAGGGAAGCGGATCCTCGACCTCGCCAAGTCCCCGGAGACAGGGGACAAAGACGCGCACGTGTGCCCCGCGTGCGAGATCTCGGGGATGATGATGATGATGAAATATATATGCGAGATGGAATTCGGGAACGCACGCGGCGTCGCGATTTTTTTTTTTTTTTTTTTACCGCGTTAGCAACCCCTTGGTAGACGATGACGTATTACGTTCCTCTTCAGGTTCTTTCGACGACGGAGCTTACAACGTGGCCATTTCGCACGATCTCTCTTTCCGCGTTCCCCCCGCGCTCCCTCCCCCCCTCGGCCATTTCGCGCCGGTATAAGTATATATGTGTGTCTGGGTCTGCCTGTATGTGTGGGGAACGACATACGCACGTACGCCGCGCGCGACGTGAAGATGGCATCCGTGAGTGACGCCGCGCGCGCGCTGCGCTTTTTTTGCGTCTAGCCGAGGGAAAAGATTTCGCACGGCGATGGCGATCGCGAAATGCTGCCCGTTCTCGTCGATGGTCGTCGTCATCATCATCATCGTCGACGACGACGACCATCGACGAGAAAGATCCGGGACGACGCTCCCGTCCGGCGAGACTCGGTTCCTTTACAGAGTTTCTCGATATTTGACGCGGCCAGATGCGGGAGTCGATCGAGTCAGGCTACCGGAAAATGAAGGGACCACGTGCGGCGGATTTCGCGGCGGCAAAGAGAGAAGGTCTCTTGGGTCCGGCGGCGGTGGCGGCGGCGCGCGTGCAATCGACAAAAATCCTCGTTTGGGAGCAGGCGAGGAATTTTGAGGGTCGAGAGACTCACCCGGTTGTACTTAGCTGTTGAAAGCACGACGAGTAATCTTACTACGCCTGATGCGACGATGCGTACGACGATGGACCCACGGGAAGTCGTGTTTTCCGTGGAAAGAAACTGAGCGAACTCTCCAGCGGACGTCTCTAGCGAGCATTAACCACGTAAAGAAGTAGTTTCGGAAACGCAGTTGAAGAAGAAACCTCGCTTACTTTGTGTCCGCCACCTTCTTCCGCTCCGTTCGGCTGAATCCCGCGCCGTGATTGGCCCGCAACTCGATCGATTCGCGCGGCGATTGGCTGCTCGCCTCGACGTCACGCAGCGCGACCGTCCACGGTTTGACGCAACACTAATCGAGACTCCCCGGGAGTCGATTGTGTAATTTTTTTCTAAAGTAAAAATGTGAAAATGTGAAAATTTTCTTCCAATCACATATCGATTTCATTTTAAAATCAATGCGTGATTGGCGGAAATTTTTCACTTTTCACGTTTTTACTTTCGAAAAAGTTACACAATTGACCCCAAGGTGTATCCACCTCAATTGTAATTTTCATGTATTTAACGTCGTTGACCAATCACAGCAATTTCTCGTTCTTCCTCGGAAGAATAGGCCGGTCTATTCACAGATGGATCTTATATTTAAGAAGATCATCTGAAGACCTCGTCCAACCAATAAAATGGCCGCATGGTATCTCTTGAATATAAGGACGGACTATGAAGGACCGCCTATAGAATGCATTTTAATTTAAGGGGGTATCAACAATTAGACTCTACGTACAATTAATGAAAATATTAGAAATAAATATTAAATATTTAAGAATCAAATATTATTTTAAAATTTATTAAATCAAAAAAACTGATACATAAATATAAATTCGATAGTATAAAGGATTAATAAGTTTGTATATCAGTGTTTTTCGAATGTTATTATTTTCAAATAATTCTTATTCCTAAATATTTAATATTTTCTTTAAATTATATACACGGAGCTTTATGTCGTTAGCAATGAAACATCATAGTTTATTGATAAAAAACTCGCAAGCGAAAATATATATCTTTCACGTGCACGTGTCATCATTTCTCGTTTCGAGAATATTCGGGAAAGAACGAGGGAGGACAAACAAATTAAGGGGGTAACATCGTGACCCATTTTTGAACAGTACTTAATAATTTGCTTCATTGTGGATGAAGCTTGCTCGTGCCGGTAGTCGGCCACGTCTGTATATATCGATAAATGACCGCGTAAATTGTCATACAGGTGAACGCCACGTCTATGTTAAATACCGACCGAACACGCCGGTAGCGACCAGGAAGGTGTTAGGATAAATCTTACTTTTTGGTTTCCAGAATCTTGTAGATCCCGTTCTCGAGGACGCCGAAGATGGCCCGTGCTCGTGCGAGCGCGTTAATATGGATCCTCGCGCTTTACTTACACGCCGTCCTCGCGGCCGACCTGGTGGACCCGGACCTGATTGTTAGGAACGTCGAGCGGCACATCGATCTGCAGTCCCAGCTGACCAAGATCACCACCCGCGTGGTTCTGGACAACAACAGCAAGGATCGCGCTATCCAGCGTTTCCTCTTCTGTCTGGAGGGTACGCAGAAGGAGTCCCTCAGTTACATAGCTGCACGCGTGGAACCCGGTAAATTAGAGCTCAAAGTGACTGCTGTCAAAACAGTCGAGGGCCATCGAGATAAGACCTTTTACTCCATCGATCTGGCCAATCATCTAGCACCTCGACGTACTCTCACTATAGAGGTAGAGACGATACTTACGCATGAACTGGTACCACATCCCAAGGAGATCGCCCAGCAGGAGAAGCAGCTTGTCAAATACACTGGAAATGTGTACGCTTACTTGCCTTATGCTGTAACCAAACAGACAACTTATGTGGCATTGCCATCACGTAACATTGAGAGCTATACCAAGATCAAACCCGTCTCCCAGACTGGTTCAGCGATAGCTTACGGACCATTTGAGAAGCAACCACCTTTCACTCATGAAGAACTGGTGGTGCACTTTGAAAATAACAATAAATTCCTTACGGTGACTAGGCTGGAGAGGACCATTGAGATCTCCCACTGGGGCAACATAGCTGTCGAGGAGCACATTGATCTTCTGCATACTGGCGCCTTGCTGAAGGGTTCCTTCTCTCGTTACGAGTACGCTCGTGAATCCAAGTCCGGGCAGGCCAGCATCCAGAGCTTCGATACCATCTTGCCAGCAGCTGCTTCCGACATCTATTACAGGGACGAGATCGGTAACATCTCCACGTCGCACACCCGTATCAAGAAGGACTCGGTGGAGCTGAATCTACGACCTAGATTCCCGCTGTTTGGTGGCTGGAAGACTCGTTACACGATCGGGTACAGCGTACCCAGTTACGAGTATCTGTTCCATTCCGGAGACGAGTACACCCTGGAGATGAGACTGCTGGATCACATCTTCGACGACATGATCGTGGACGAGATAATCCTCAAGATCATCCTGCCGGAGGGTGCGCGGAACATACAGCTGGAATTGCCTTATCCTACGACCCGCTTGACGGACTCTCTCCATTACACTTACCTGGACGTCACCGGACGTCCGGTGGTGTCCGTGACCAAGAAGAACCTGGTGGAGAATCATATCCAGAGTTTCAGGTTGAAATATACATTCCCACGTCTGCTGATGTTGCAGGAGCCGCTGCTGGTCGTGGTGGCGTTGTACCTGATGTTCCTGTTAGTCATAGTATACGTGAGACTGGACTTCTCCATCGACAAGGACGAGGCTTCGGAGAGTAAACTGAGGATCGCCGGCCAGTGCGAGAAGATCCTGGCCGCGCAGGATCGTCGGGTCACGTCCTACAACGAGCTGGACGATCAATTGGCGTATCTGAAGGGGAACAAGGACGCCAACGCGTTCCTGGCCGCGGTGAAGGGCATCAACCAGGAGTACAAGGCGGCCACGGGATCTCTCAACGAGATCGCGCAGAAGTTGAAAGGCGAATCCGGCGATGTCTATGATCGCGTGCAGGAGCTACAGAAGTGCGATCGTTCCTTGAAGGAGCTCTACAACCAGCAGCAGGCGCTGTACGTGGACAAGCTGGTCCCGGGGAAGATCGGTCGCCAGCAGTTCGTCGAGGCGGAGTCGGCGATCGCCAGGAAGAAGGATGAGTGTGTCGAGAAGATCAACGCGATCGTCAAATCGTTTCAGTAAAAAGAGAATTAAAAAATCGCATTCCGCGAACAAACTTGAAAGAAAAAAGAACAATATGGTGCATTTTTGTAATACATTAATACCAAGCTCTGTCGCATCTGTTAATATTCCATTCGTGAGAATGTAAGCAAATTAGGGTATTCCATTTCAAGTTTACAAACGCATTGAGTCACAAGAAAGAAAATAAGAAACTCTTTATCTCTGTATCTTAAATTAAGATTTGTAATAAATATGTAGGAAAAAATTATTACGTTTTCGTTGTTACCTTCTCTAAGACTGTTGTATCTAAATAAAAGAATTGTTGATAACATCTTGCGTTATGTATAAATTATAATAATATTTTCCTCAATTAAGTACGCTATCTTCAAAAAAAGCAAAATTTAATTCATTAAATTCTTGTAGAACTTGAAAATGAATATTTATATAAATATATATTGTATATGCGTATATGAAATTATATAAAATAATTATAAGTTGTCTCTACATAAAAGAATTGTTGACAATCTTGAGATTACGTATCTTGTAATAATTAATTTTCCTCTATATTACGTATATAATATTTTCCTATTATATTTTCTTAATTGTTATGTAAAAGAATTGTTGATAATCTTGAGATTATGTATGTAATAATTATAATGTTTACCTTAATGACGATTTATGTTAAAAAATAAATGTATAAAAACATAAAATCAAATTCAGCTTACATATAATAGAAATTTTTGCAAAGTTTGAAAATAAATTATTATATTAAAAATATATCTATATTAAAATTTACAACTTTAATTATTTTGTAATTTTATATATGCATGTAAAATAATTAATACTATAATAGTGGAAAAATTGCAAATATTGTAAAAGTAGAAATTTTGGATAAAATCTGCGCATAGAGAGATCTCTCAATTTCCTCGCTAAACTGACATATAAACATAAACGACATTCGTCGTTTTATAATGAAAGGAAAAAAAAGCGGAAGGAATCAGGATTCGCCTAGTCGCATCAGCAGTTAGATCGATGTTATGCGACGACGAGGATCGCCTTCGAAACGGACGTTACTGCGCATGTAGGCGCAAATGTCATCAGTCCTCCCCAAGCGTCTGGCCTCGCATCCATGTGTCAATTCGCTGAGCCGGTTAAACGAGGGGACACTTGCTAACCTCTCCGTTTATCCTCGACTCCTCGGGCTCCGTTAATTCTACGCGGGAGCATATCCTATGCTCGGAGCTAGAATGTCAAATCTACGGAAATTCATAGGTAAACGCCTCGTTCGTCTTTCACATACCTGATCTCGACGAAACTGCGTACTCCATAATTTACCTCGGCGTCACGCACACCCTCGCGTGTAAAGGTTATTATAACGATGCAATTAGACTCGTTTCTGATCGATAGTCTGTGAATTTCGTAATTTTTTCGCACTCTTTGACAAACTTTCCCTTTTTAGCATCTTCGTGTGTCTCCTGAAATAGAGAAAGGGCATTAGATATCTTAGCATTAATTAGTCAATATTTTTAGCTAGTATAAAGTAGAATGTCTCATTATAGTTTGCTTGTATTTAATCAGACTGCATAATTTATAAAATCAGATTTTTCTATCTGTATGTATGTATATATAAATATGTTAAAAGGAGATAGTCCTGATATTTTTTATCGCTTTCATTGTTGTAGATATTGGAGCTAATTTAACAGATTCTATGTACCAAGGCATTTATCATGGATCTCAAAAGCATCAGCCAGATTTAGAGAAGGTTTTAGAGCGAAGTTGGAACAACAATCTTTCAAAAATTATTATTACAGCTGGTAGTGTGGAAGAAAGCAAAAAGGCACTTGAAATAGCAAAAACTGATGGCAAGTTTTCGATATATCTCTCTTTAAATATCTAAAGGATTATATTAATATACATTTTTTTAAAATTGACAATTCAATTCAGGCATTGTAAATAATTTTAACTTGCAATGTGTTTTATACTGATTTAGTATATAATGTTAAATTCTTTCCATTCTTCTATTGCTATTTCATTATCATTGATGACAATTAATCAACATATTGCAGACAGATTATATTCAACGGTTGGTTGTCATCCGACCCGTTGCAATGAATTCGAAGAAAGTGGTGATCCAGAGAAATACCTTAAATCGCTGTCGGATCTGGCGCTAAACAACAAGGACAAGGTCGTCGCCCTCGGCGAGATGGGTCTGGATTATGACAGATTGAATTTCTGCTCCAAGGAAACCCAGAAAAAGTACTTTGAGATGCAGTTATCGCTGTGTTCCACGCTGAAGTTACCAATGTTCCTACACTGCCGCAATGCTAGCGACGACTTCGTGCGAATTCTGAGGAAGCACAAAAACGTGCTGACCTCAGGCGTCGTACATTCGTTCGACGGCAATCCGGAAGACGCGAATTCTATATTACAATTAGGCTTGTACATCGGCGTCAATGGATGGTACGGTTCGATGCGTGATTCTTGTGAGAGTTATTAATATAATATTAATTAATAATATGTATTATACTATTATACGATATAATTCAATGTTATATATTATATAATATTAAATTAATATAATATTTTGCTTTTCAGCTCTCTAAAAACGGAGGAAAATTTATTTGCAATCACTACCATTCCTTCAGACAGACTTATGATAGAAACAGACTGTCCGTGGTGTGATATCAGGCCGACTCACGCTTCAGCTAAGGACGTTATCACGCATTTTCCATCTGTAAAGAAAGAAAAATGGCAAGCAGATCAAATGGTTAAAGGACGGAACGAGCCCTGTACGATAGTGTAAGTATCTATAGCATTAATCGGTATATTATAAATAGCAATATTTTAAAAACAAAGATATGAAATATATACAATATGAATATTGAAGAAAACATTATATCAATATAGAACAATTTATTTTATTTAAATCGCAAAACGACAATGATAGTTTTACTCTTTGTTAAAAACATTAATTGTACCTATTAATATTTTTAAACGACATGTATATGCGAGTTAATTGTATAATTTTTATTTACAGTCAAATATTAGAAGTCTTAGCACGGATCAGAGACGAGGAAGAAGAATATCTATGTAATCAAATATACAAGAATACAATGAAACTTTTCTTCCCATACGAATTATAGTGTGCAATCATTAAAATAACTGCGAAAATATAAGTGGACCTAGAGTGCAGCATTAATGAAAGCACACTCACGGAAGTAATCAGGGATAAAAGCTGTGAACGTGCATGCATAGAGGAGAGAAGATATTAAAAGAGAAGCACGCTGCCGAAAAGCTCTATTGAAGGAAGAAAATGAAGACACTCATTTTTACATACGTAGCTTTATGGAGATGGCTGTTGTCCACAGATCTCTTCTCATGTAAAACTTTAATATATTCTTGTTAAAAGTATATTATATCATAATATCATATACTCATCTATTGCATTTTGTCACTATTATTACCATCATCTCATTATTATTATTATTATTATTATTATTTGCGATATTTATTAATACTATTCTGCTATTCTTACAAATATCACTGTTGTCGCTGTTATTGTTTTGACATCTCTCTGTGAAGTGATTTTTCGTTAATTGATTACTATATAAGTGATCTCATTTTTTTCTACCTTTGTTGGTTTCTGCTCCTTTTTTATTACATTTACAAGAAAAGCTGTTATGAAAAAATGATTTATTTATAATCACTCAATATAGTCTAATATATTCAATCAATATCCTCAAAATTATAAATGAAAATACAAAATACTAAAGATCGCATTTTGCGCATACAGAGACCTATTATATATAGATATATATTACTTATCAAGAATGATTTCAAAAAAATGCAATATAATTATTTATCTTAATAAGAAAATGTCCGTGATTATGCATGTTTATCAGGTCACGAAATTTTTTTTTCGTCGAGACCAACCAAAATAAGATGCTCTCCTTTTCGAGATATCACAGGTAAAATGGCCGACGTATTCGTGATCTTCGAAAGCATACATATAACGTTTTTCCATGTCATAAATAATAAATGCTGAAGTGCGTGGATAGATGGAGATTTCGTTACCAACGCAATAATCGTTCATGTGGAATGGAAAGCAATGAAGTTCATTCATGGCACTTTGGAGAGAGTCTGTACTTTCTCATATACCCAATCATATGTTTGACTGGCGTACGACTGCGTCGTATCGAAAGCCCATATGGCGTAACTCCGGAGATTATCTGGGCTAAGTTTACCCCTGAAAACGGAAAAAGAAATAATTTACAGTTTCAGATACTTGAGTATAACGTATGTAGCTTCTATATAAACACGTACACAAAGACATTCTTCTCCATCCATTGTATCGTTGCCCTGGAATGTTCAATAACTTTCTCTCCAATCAAAATACAGGAAACTTTCACAAACTCTAATCCTTGAAGACTTTTAGATTTAATTTCGTCTATGATACCTGGAGCGTAATGTTCAATCTGAACATTGAAGAGGAGAGAGAATTATTATATATATAAATTTTATAATAATTGTGTACATAAATATTTCTATTAGACTTACTGTGTCAAAAACTACAGGTATATTTTTTTCGACATATGCTGCAACATTGTTATATAGCCTAACTGAAATATTTCTTATTATAAGGTAGACATCACCAGCCAATTTAATATATGGCGCACTTAAGTCTACAACAGCTTTGTAATATTCCGGTGAGCTATCCTTAATTGCTTTGTGTCCTGCAGACCAATATAACTTTAGAGTAGTCCATGCTTTTTCAATATATTTCAATATTCCATTAGTTTTCAAGCACTTTCCAATTTGGGACGCTATAATACATAAATGCTAATATATAATCAAATAAAAGTTCAATTTGTATCTTCAATTTGTAAGAGAAATTAGTACAGAAAGAGATAGAATAAATATGGGCATGATGTTTATAATAGCAATGGAAATTTTTTCCAGTTAACCATGACAATTTGAATGGTCACGTCATTGTGAACTTTATAAAAGTATGGTGATGCAAGACTGCAATTACCTCTGAATAAAAATTTTATAATAAAATATTAATTATAAACATGTAAAAGATGAAAGAATGATCTTATTTTAGAATGATATGTATGAGATATACATAAAATAAGAAGTAAATAGAGATTAATGTTGTTGTTGTTTGCAAGAGATTCTTACCCTCAAAGGAGCCATGTTTTTGTGTATCGTATGCTATGATAGCACTTATGAGAAGTATCAGAAAGAAACTGGCTGATTTCCATGGAAAACTGCGACGCGTGGAAGAAGTCATTTTCTTCGATAGTGCCTGAAAAAATAAATGAGATAAATTTCTCAAAAATTTATTCTACTCCAAAATTTGAGTCAAACTAATGAAAGATGTTCGCTCAAACGTCACGCAAAGATTTTATTTTTCTCTCAACATATGTTTCTTGCATGCACACAATAACGAATTTTCATTAATTGTGATAAATAATACGTCAGATCCACAAAAAATAATCGCGAAATATAGATATTAGAGAGCAGCTGTGTATATACTTTTATAAATCTCCGAAAGGACTTTGAAACCACGATATTACGTTGACCGATTAACGATGACAATCACAATAACAGCCTTTTTTCTTATCGATATTATATCGATAAATCGACAAGAAAAAGAATAATTCACTTGTGTGTTCAATCTTTCATATCTTCGTACATAATAAATAATTACGTCGAATGAATCGGATTACGAGACACACACAAACTCGACACATGATACACACACACTCATATATATATATATGTACATGCACACAGGAATGTGCGCGGTATTTTATCTCACCTGCGGAAAACCGAGATGTATTCCGTTATGAATATTGGACTCTGCCGATCCCGTTTCTCGCGACGTGTTTTCGAAAAAAAAAAGAATACACGCAGAGAGAGAAAGACACGAACGGTGTCAATGTCGTGCGGCTGATCGCTCGTATAAGGAGGACGACGCGCGCGATCAATAAGTCCCGTGTACACTCCCGAAAAAACTGCTACCTAACCTGCGAGAGAGCGAGAGCAGATGCGATGGAGGATGGAGGATGGAGCTCGTTCGAATCGAACAAACCGCCGCCCCGAACAGGAACGGAGCTGTCAAGGCCGCGCGGGCTCCGATCAGCTGATGGCGCCACCGAGCGTCGTAGGAGTTCCTTATTCGCTCCGCAAAGCTCGAATTTTATTCTTACGATCGTTGAATAGCAAATAATAAATCTTGTATTATATATGGAAAAAAAATTATATTCGCGAGAATGGAAAATAATAAATGTTTACCCCTTTTCACGATCGCAAACTGTCGTCTGCTATCCGGGATGAATACACCGAAATATAATGATCTCGTTGCTGGATTTTAATTAATCACACGATTCTAAGCGATATTTTCGATCTCTGTATATGGTACAAGTCATTCCTTTTCGGAAAAGTCAAATAGAGTGACGTGATGTTTACGACGCGAATGTTTCACCGCGTGATAGATGTCAAGAAAGAAAGAAAGAGAAATACATATAACACACATACATACACTATATATATGTACACGTATATATTTTGAAATACCAATTTGTAAAAACTTGGGAAACTTTATAATAGATATCGAGCTCTTGGACTTCAACTTGTTGATATACACATGTATACGTGGTATTTGGAAAAGTAGGAATGATGCATTGTAGATTATAGAATATCACACATTGACGGAAATTGCGACATACGTAATTATGAGTTTTATTCAGCAATGCTGACGTGTTGCTTCGCGAAGTGTGCGTCTATATCGATTATATATGCGCTATATCGACTATGACGTATCGTTTTCTTATCGTGTATCGATTAGAAAAATCGATACACTTTCACCGAGAACACTTTCGCTATTTATTTATATAATTGCATTCTTTATTCTTATATTTACTTTTATATACAGCGTTTTTTAAGCTTGCAGATCACTTTCATGAAACTTTTTAAATTTTCTCTTTCTTAAAAAAAAATTATATATATACAATATTATTTTATATTTATATTTAATATTTGTAATTTTGTATTTAAGTTTGTATCACTTTCATGGAACTTTTTACATTTTTATTTTTCTCTTCTTTAAAAAAAATTATATATTATATATTATATATAATAATAATATATTATTTATATTTATATTTACTTTTATAATTTTACATTTAAGCATATACATTTGTAGATAAATAAAAATACTAAAAATCTTTTGATCAAAAACGTACAGAGATATTTTATGATAATACTGATACTGATGTAATCTTGATATCAAGTGAGACTCAGGAGATCAAATCAAGCTTATATTAAATATAAAATATCTATGCTGCATTTGCAGCGTAAGCAGGTGCAAATGTGATAATGAATCGAAAGTTGTTTGCCTGGTAAATAAACGCGAGAAAATTCGCGATCTGTACAAATGTAGGAGAATTTAGTGAAGGGGAGAAATGCTTTCCCCAAGTTTAATTGTCCATAACTGTCTGTCCATCGAGACGAGTAAGTTTTCTACGCGCAAGTTACACGAGATATATCATCGCGAGAGAGACACGCAAATGTATTTAATTAGATGTAACGAGTTTACGGTCGTTATTATCTATTTGCAACACGCAATCTTCTTCGTTAGAGACCGACTGTCACTCCGTGATTTACGACGTAATTGGTTTTAATAACGGAGTATAGTATTTTTTTTCCCGCCGTCCCTATTTACTGACGCCATGTATACAACTCTTGTAAACACTAATAAATACGACTCCGTATGAAAAGTAATAACTATGTTTTTTTATAATTTGTTGCACGGCTTTTTGTACAATAATGAAGAAAATGGGCGATTGCTGCTGTTGCACTATACATATAGTCAAGTAAATGCAAGGAAAACGATTATAACTTTCACCCGTTTAGAAAACAAGCAGATATATGATTAAGTTTATTTTTTTTGTAATAACAAAGAAATAATTTTTGTTTAATAAATAAATTTTTTTGACTAACATTTATGCGGCAATTATTAATTGTATCAGATATTTTTTCTTCTCTACATATAAAAAAATATATATTATATATTCATTATTAAAATAAATTTGGAAGACATGTTAAATTACAATCAAAAATACAATATATTATTCAGCTAATATGTTTAATTCTATATGCAAATGTAACTGATAAAAATAAATATGCATATTATTTAGCACTGTGTTCACGTTTTTTTCAGTAATTTAGTTATAAATTTATCTCTGTACTATAATTTAAAAGCACAACTTGTGCATATAATATTTTATATGACAAGCACAAAATTTTATATAAATATAATAATGCATAAAAGAACTTACCTGAGATGTTTTTTGCATGCAAGTGCCAAGTTTTCGTCTTTGGCTTTTTTCAACTTTTCATTATTATTTTGGATTAATCCGAGAGTTTCTTTCAAATCCTTAGCATTAAGCTTTGTTTGCAAATTAGATAAATTTGCATCTACGAAAAATTATTATGGTTAAATACATCTATTCATTTATATATACATTTATATATTGATATATGAAAAAATACGCAAATACTTACCAATATACGATAGAAGAAGACTAGATTGGTATAAATGCTTGGTATAAATGGAATTCCAAATAGTAAAGCAAAGAGGTTCAAGGACGAGGCAATCTACGAGAGCCTTAACTAATTCATGCTTGTAGCTAGGATCCGACTTTTGCGATATTTTTCCCAGTAACATCTCAAATAATTTTGTGCATCTTATATCATAGTTCCTGAACAATATTGACTGCAAAATATCATTTAATTTAATACATCTGTTATTCAAAAGTGTCGACAAGAAAACACATCGCGTTTACACATCATTTAACATTATTAACATGTGAAAATCAACGTCTTGGAAAAAAGAACCCACACTGTATTACTTACTCGTAACTTGTCGATACTCGTAGTGATTTCTTTTGCCAGATTCGCCGATTGAATATTTTGACATCTTTGAGAATAAGCGTCCATGATGATATCCAGGTAGAGATCCAAACTGAGATCGCGAACGTTGTCGTGGCCGAAAACGAGATCGTTGAGTATCTGGACTACGTAGCTGGCGTAGCCCTTCGTTTCCAGCATCGGCGACATTACCTCGTGCCAAATCTTTAAACCGACTGCCAAGTCCTTCTGGCCGGCCTGTGACCAAGCCCACAATAGGGACAAGCCGATGTTCTTTCTGTTCTCGTACGAGTTCCTTATGCTAATCAATTTGGGAATGTTGGCGGCGGTCATCTCGGGATTTAAATGCGCTAGTAATTGCAAAAATATCTTGTGTCCAATAACGGGGACGCCCTTGACCATGTCGGTGGCCATCGCCGCAAGAGTATTCTCGTAAAAAATTTGTATAGTCTGTTGCCCTGTCATTTCCACTGCCTGTTCAAGTATAGAAGAGATCGCCTTAGGTACTACACTTAATGGATAATCCTTTGGTTTTCCTGAGAATATCGCGTCTTCCTTGCTGATAGGTATCTTGATGTTGAGGAAAGCATTCAGTTCTTTCAACCAGAGCAAGGGAGCTTCAGGAAATCTGATTTGTGCAGTTGTCAGAAGTTCGTCGAGCTCTTGCACGTTAATCTGTATACATTGTAAGAAATTAGTAGACAATTCATTAATATTTTTGTGAAACAATTATATTTTTCTTAAAATAGAATTTTTTTTAATGTAATAAAAGTGTATAGATATAAATAACAAATGAATAGCTACTATGCTCCTACATTAAATTAAATTTGAAATCAAAAGTAGACTTACTGCATTCAATGCATCCTTTATAGTTTTTGGAGGTTTCTCTTTTGGTTCTTGTTTTTCTTCTCAGCTTGCTGCTGCTGTTTTGCTGTTGCTGTTTCTTCTTCTCCTCATTCTCCTTTGTTTTGTGCTCTTTTCCCTGTGCTTTAGCAGGCTTCTTATTCTCTTTATTGCCATCCAGATTGTCATAGAGTGTCTTCACTTGACTCAATGGTACTAAAATCATACATGAATTTAGTCAGACAACTTTCATGATCGCACATTATTTCTAGGAGTAGTAATGAATTATTTGCAAAAAAGTACGTATATTAGTACCATATTGCAACTGTTTTTTTTCACTCATAATCAATCAGCTGTACACCTGGATCGCATAATTTTTACAGCGATATTTTGCGATTATGTGGACAAAGTTGCGACAAATCGAAACAAAGTTATGAAAAGTTATAGGATAGAATTTGTTAAGTAGCCGGTAGGTTATGATAGACAACTTACAGAAGTCTTCGACTTTCGGCGCATTCTCGATAAATTTCTTCTTCTCTGCCTTCGTGAGTTTGTTGGACTTGTCGTTTCCCCTGTCTTTCTTTCGGCTGACCAATTCCCAGCTGCCGGACGACATCGCGATGACAGATGAACGCAATTCAACAATATGGATAACGCACCGACAACAAACACGAGATACCCCGCTGACTCCGAAAGGCACTGACTCAAGTTGACCGGAGTAGATATATGTGTATGTCGGTCAAAGCTTGTTGGCGAGTTGTCAATTACACAGCGATACGTGGTAGCGCATGCGCACTCGTCGAGTGCCACCCGCACCGGCGAAAGCGACGCGTCGAAAAATTTTGGTCTTGACAGTGAGGCCGTAATAGAATCGACCAATCATAATCGAGCATTTTTACTACGTCGTAAAAATTCTTGGCTGTGATTGGTCAATTTGTTCAATGGTCCTACGATTGCAATGAAAACTGTTTCGTCGTGGCGTGAAAATTGATAGGCGACTACTCATGTCATGATACATGTTGCTATTCCCTATAAAATAATTTAAAAATAAAATATTTGTTAGTTATTTATAATAATAATTATTTCAAAATTCTTCTGATTATTTCTTCTGTATAAACAGCATATAAATTTATATAAACATATTTATTTTATGTTTTATAATAAAATATATTTTATAATATATTTGTAAAATATATTTTTATATTAAAATAGATTTAAAATATATTAATATATTTAATATATATTTATAAGACTGAATTTTTATAATTAAGTAGAGAGATATGCTGATTCAAATTGCTGTAAAACAAATCAAATAATAAATTATTATATAAATAACATAATAAATCATTATATATTATAAATTATATAATAAATATTAAATAGTAATAATCAAATATCACAAATTAATAACAATAATAAGTATTTAATTAATAATAAAAATATTAGTCAAAATTGAACAATTCGCGCGCTTTCAACGAACTTCCGGTTACTCCTGGCGCTTCATCCGCCGTCCGCGGCGCGACGTATATATATCTATATATATATATATATATGCGTGTGTGCGTGATGCATGTACACGCATACGCGATCATCTCTGACAGGGTATGAAATCAGTTTGAATTTCTCGCCTGGAAAGTCGCGTGCCGCGCTGTAAATCGCAACAGGAAATTCCGCGACGTCAGGATCATCACGTTTTCGTTCGTGCGATGTTCCGTGGATGTTTGACAGTTCGCGTCGTTTGACAGTTTGCGTGCTGTTCGAATCTCATCAGGGACTCTCGACTTTCTTATATGTGGTTGGGTGACCCCGTGCGCGAGTACGACTTTCTCCAACCTGATTTCGTATCGCGTAGCTGCTGACCCGCGGTGAAGAGATCACCGCGATCGCGATCCTCGTCGTCATCAGCATCGTCGTCGTCGCGACAGGAGGCCTACGCTGTCACAGGTTAGTCAGTTTGCGTTTTGTTAGGTTAACTCGCGGCACGACGCCGCGACGCGCTTAATCGGGTGGGGGCACTAATTAAGGAACGTTGGGATGGGGGAGACGACGAGCACACACGCATCGTTACCGTTAGCTAGCGGATTATATCGGTATGCGCATGCATTGTTTCGTGCTGGTCTTCTTGGAACACATATTCTTGGGATAAATCTGAAATTCCGCTTGGTTTTTCCTATGTAAAGTATTATTTAATTAGGGGAACACTTTGCAACGTGTGCTTTTATATTTTGTACATTGTATCTCATCAGCTGTTTCTAGGTTTGTTCTACAATAAGGTAGAATGTGCAGGATTTTGTGTAAACAGTAATCATTGTTTTGTTGAATCACTGTGTGACGATGTGAGAATGGTGCGCACAATGAGAAGTAGTTATATCAAAATATTCTCTTACAGTTTTGCTTGTTAACACAACATGGGTAGCAGCAGCCAACTCTACAGTCTCTCCTGGGGAGAGTTCAGTTCCTCTCTAGTCTCTGCGGTGCAGCTATTGAGAGGACACGGCGATCTGGTGGATGTTACTTTGGCTGCCGGTGGTCGCAGCTTTCCAGCGCATAAAATTGTTCTCTGCGCAGCCAGTCCATTCTTGTTGGATCTTCTCAAGGTGGTGTCATTATTTCTCTAGAACTAATAAGAATGTGTAATTTGATTGTGAAATTGATTGTGAAAGTTGACAATAATAAAATATAATACTTTATTCACAGAGTACGCCATGCAAACATCCAGTGGTTATGCTAGCAGGGATTGGGGCAGATGATTTGGAGTCTTTGTTAGAATTCGTATATCGGGGAGAGGTAAGCGTCGAACCGTCGCAGTTGCCTTCCTTGCTACAGGCTGCCCATTGTTTGTGTATCCATGGATTAACTCCGCCAACTATAGTAACAGAGGTAGATTTTTTATACACATCAGTTATTGGTTATTATTATCTTAGATAGAAAAGTAGAATAAGTTATATATTTTTTTACATAATATATCAAATTGTATACTACCTAGAGTGGAGAAGAAGTTCCTGCATCAGCGATACCAACACCAAATGATGGTTTAGCGAAGGCAACACTCAACTCGTATAATCCACTGAAGCGGAGGAAAAAGAGGAGGAAGTCGTCCACGTCCTCTGGAAAATGGCCCTGCACCAGTAACACTACCGACACTGGTGAAAGCAGACTTGTGGATGATAACAGAACAATGCCTTATGAAAACAAGGATGATGACACTACAGATCAGACTGATGATACAGGTAAAATAATTTACAAATATTTCATTCCGATATATTAATTTTATCGGAGCGAGAAACAAAGTACAAGATATAAGATATGCGACAGATTTTGTAAATTTCCTGTTTCTTTTTGGATTAGTTTTTGTAACAAGATATATAATAGAGATACTTGTATTCTTGTTTTATTTTTAAATGCTATATATTTTAGACGTATTTTTTTCATAATTTCATTATTAGACATTCATATGTCATATGTAATTGTTGAGTTAATTTCGATAATTATAAGAATAATAATTAAGCAGAATGTAAGATAGTAAAAGTGTAACAACAATTTCATTTGTGTTTTGTGTCCGATGCATTATATTTAGTAATAATCGTTATAAAATTATACCAAATATCGCTTACGAGAGGCTCTGTACATATATGTAGGCCTTGTTTTTCGCTTTAATTAAACGGACACAAGCACAACCATCGATCGGGTTGAACTGCAATTCTGATTGGTCGTCCTCCAATTCGTTCGACCGAAAAGGAGAGAACGAGAGAGCGAAAGAGAGAGAGAGGAAGAGAGGGAGAAAGGGAGAGCGAGAGCGAGAGCGAGAGCGAGAGAAACAAATTCAAAGCAAGCAAGCTAAAGCAACGTGTCAGTTCAGCCCCGTATGGTAACATTGTGTTTGTGTCTGTTAACAGCGGGCAACCACTGTCTGGTTGGAAACTACGCGAACAACCATCAGGGTGGCAGTCATTCACCGCGACTTCAAGAATCGTTCATCGTGGACAATCATCAGGGAACGCATCAGGATCACATCTCGGACGGCGAGTCGCATTTGCAGCCATTGATGCCGATGCAATTCTCGCCGCTGCACATACCGCAATTTCACAGCTCTTTGGGTTTTCCACCCGCTTTGTCGTTGTCCACTTTAACGGCGACTCAGACTGGAAACGCGAAGACGCGCGGTGCATCCGATTGTCCAGGTGTCTGTCCGCTTTGCGGCGCGACTCTGCGCCAGGCGAGGAATCTACGCAGGCACCTGTTGTCCTCGTGCAAGTACCGGTTCAACCCGACGACGACTGCGATGGCACAGAGTTCCGATACAACGACGATGGAGATCAAGTCCGAGATCAAATCCGAGATCGATTTGCCTGCTTATAACGAGTCATCAGTGACTTATGGGACCGACAGTGGCAGTAACAGCTGCGAGCAGATAGTTTGTAAACCTAGCCTACCCTCGCCGAGTCTACACGGACCGGAGAACGCGGTCTCGCCACCGAGCAGTATCCCGTCACCGACGATCGCCAGATAAATGTACAGACAGGAGAGACTAACATCCGGACGAGCGTCGTCATTTCGTAATCTTGCGGATTTTGTTCGATTATGTTACGGTGATTTTAATTCGAGAGTGCTATGACAATGTTACGCGAGGACGAAAAAGTATAAAGGCCTTGCGTTTTATATATATATATATATATATATATATATATATATATATATATATTTGTATAGTTCAGCTCTCCATTTTTTATGCGAACAATTATTTATAATTACTCGCATTATTACGCGCGTTATTTAACTTAGATCAATTCGGAGTGTATTTATGCTATTAAGTTTATATACACGAATCTTCCACGCGTTAAGTGTAAGAATACTGTAGGATTAATCGATCGAAGATTTTAAGTATAGCGAAAAAAAGTTTTATCATGAGATATGAAAGATTCTTATATTCTTTTACTACATGGCTTATATACGATAATCGGGATTTCTTATAATATCGTGCAATTCGAATTCGTCCAATTCATTTTTTACTGCCTCTTTAATTCCTTTGTCATGGAATGGTCTAATAGCAATATATTATTAACTAATTGTATTTATGAATATATAATTTTTTTTTAATTTTTTTAAAATGAAACCAAGGATCTTCCATAACAGCCACAAGGTGCACATTCCTATTTTGTAATAACGGACTTTGCTGTGTACGCGTGGACCGTTGACAATAGCATGTGCATATACGAAAACAATTAGCATTTTGAAAGAGGAGAAAATATAAGATAACGGGTATAATATAATGTATTATCTAGTTTCTTTTTTTTTTGCAAATAAAGTATGTGATATTGTACGTTGCATTGTTTTTCACGAAAACACAACTTCGGCCGCACATACACATTGCTAGCCCCATCTTATTTTACCTGTATCAGAGACACCGAGATGTCCGAGTCGAGGTGAGACGAAACTCGCAATGCTTCCGAGATGTGTTTAAGTCTAACTTAGCCTTTGACGGAGGAATTTGACATTTCAGGGGACGGATCGAAGACGCGCAGTCTGTCCGATCAGCCGGCATCGTGTCCGTTATGCGGCGCGATTCTACGCCAATCGAGGAATCTCAGAAGACACTTGGAGCTTTTGCACTTCGGTCTGGGCAATAGCGGCAAGTCCACTATACATGCGAGGCATCGGCGACCCGGGACGGACAGATCCAGCGATCTCGGTCTGTCGTCGTTGGCCTGCGTTCGTCCAACAGCTAGGATAGACTCGCATCTTGCAAGATCCTCCGAGGCTTCAGACTTTTCCATGATGACGCCTCTGTCGATCGCTTCGTCCGTCAGTTCCGCGTCGAGCGTCAGTCTTCCAGGTGAATCGCATTTCAAGTCACTTAAGGTAGAGGAATGAATTGTGCGGGGAAACACAATTTGCTGGACAAACATAGAGAAGATTGTAATATACATGAAATATACAGGATATTCTGCAACAGTTAAATATTTCGAAAACAAAGGCTTTTTGTAAAAATGTTTCAAATAGGACATTAAGTGGCGCATTAAATAGTAATGTTAATTTGACTATAAATAACATTGTTAATACTATGTAAAATTTATTTTGAAATTTTTAAATAGAAGCTCTTAAGACAAGCTACATGAATATGTAATAAAAAAAATAAAATGTGCCACTTAAACTTTTATTTGAAATATTCTTTTCAAAATGCCTTTGTTTTCGTGATATTTAATGGTTGCAGAACTTTTGAGAAATCTTGTAGAATAAAAAAAGATTCTTTATATCATTATACACATATATGAACGTTGAGAGAATAATTATCGCTAATAAACTCGTAAATCAGAGATTCGACGGAGAAATATTGCACAATGAGGAACATTAAAATTTTACTATCATGCTTTATATGTATTATACGATGGACGCGGTATTGTCGAAGGATTAGCGGACGGACCGAATGCTTTATCGCTTTCGTTAAAGCGATTATACGCGAATATTCACATGAATTTACGTGAAGTCTCGTGTTTATATATAAATTTTGCATTCGCGCGATTACAAATACTGATAATTGTCAGTGTTTTGCGAGAGCGTGATTGCAATCGAGATATATTTGCGCTTCGGATTTTATCATTTATTACATTATCGCGGATTAAATCTTTGCAATATGTAGTCTCATGTTTGTTTAAAAATTGCAAACATTTGCTCTATGGTCTTTTATTTTCATGAAATGTCATCGCGACGTAATTGTAATTTTTTCATGCTCTAAAATACTAGAAACAGCAATGCATATTTAATCACTAATATATTATTATGATATAATGTTGATAAATATTTTTTAAATAATTTAATATAATAATTAATATTAATATATAACTATATAATAAATATTCCAGGTTAATATTTCTGAAGTATATATTAAATTTTTTTCATTATCAAAAGTATAATTTTATAAATTAAATTGCTTCACACACACATGTGTCTATTTATAATAAAAATATCAAGATCCTTACTTTACAAATCTAGATCTCTTTACTGTCCATAGGAAACTTGATAGGCCCGAGTTCGAGTCTGTTAGGTTCCAACGATCAAAACGGACATCCGCTGTCAGGATCCACTCCTGCAACATGCAACGCGTCCATGGTGCCATCCACCAACGGGATCTACTCCTCGGACAGCGGTGCCAGCATGTTGAGCTGCTTACTACCGTCGTTACCTACCTTGCCACCCTTCTCCGCGTCACACGACGTGTTTCGACACGGCGAGATGTTACGTGCGGGAATCGCCTATCATGATTCCTCCCGGCAACATGTCAGGCACATGCAACGTACCGACGTCACCTAACTTGGTGACGATTCTCGATGTCGCGATCGTTTCGCGGGAGAAGCGCGAACGTGTCGTGTTTTAGATGGAATCTCGAAGAGTGCATTAGAGCAGAATACTAGATAGCATTTACGAAGTAAATAGAGTATTTACGAATTAGCTTATAAGGGTATGGATATTTAAGGGCGATGTCAGCAGTCATGGACACGCGTATATTGGAAAAAATGCCGCCAGAGTCGCGGTGATATAATAATAAAATTAATGTGATGAATGTGTAACGATGAATGTAGCAACAATGTGTTGTCTTAGAAATTTTTTACTCGGTGCTATGTATATGTTGATTTAAATATATACACAATCTATGAATAATCTATGAATCCATGAACAAATTTAATAATAAAATGCATTCGGTTTCTTTCTCTTTTTTTAGAATAGAGATACGTGAATATAAGGACTTTTGGTTTAAAATTTCGATATTTTATTAAAATTCTATAAAGACGAATTTTTAATTTATAAAATAAGATTGTAGCGTGTATGTTAAATTGCAATATTTACCGAGCTTAATAATTATTTATCATATGAGATTCATTTTGCTCTCGACAAAATATCACGAAATTGTTTAAAAATATCACTGAAAGGAGATTATCTCGTTTGCTTTGGAATTCGAGATTCTTACAATTCGATTTCTTGTGCTAATTATACTTTACTTTAAAAGATTATTCACGTATTTTAATTATTCTGGATCAGACTTTCCCATTAGATATTTAAGTCACCGAGCCGAAAAAAGAGCGGCTTTTCTTTCATGAATCTCAATCAAAAAGAAAAAGTTGTAAGAATCTATCATTTGCATTCTCTTTGCGAAGAAGATTTTACCTGAACATTTACGATGACCTTTGAGATTGTAATCACGATCCTCGAAATCTATGACGGTCTTTGAGATCATAATCAAATGATTAGATTCATTTCTTCGTGAGGCTCGCTGTGTCCCAGAACAAATGGCCAATTTCTATTGGAGATCCTTTCAAGTTCCCCTTCTAGGAGCTTCAACAGATCATCGAAATATCGCAACTCATGAATGTCTTCTATCAGCTTCGTTGTGTCACTCGACAAGTTGACCGCTTTCTTCTCGTCGCACTGTTAATATAAAATTTGCAGAGATGTAAAAATTATAATAAGGCATATATTAAGCTTTAATCAGTTATGAAATGGAAAAATCGAGATACAAAAATGAAGTACATTTTTTCTCCATTTATATTCACGTGCATAGTTTTGTGTAGGTAGAATTTTAATTAGTTGTTTAATTATAAAAATAATACTTGAAAGTTATAAAAATATATACTTGAAAAATTGCAATCTTTATTGAATAATCGATGAAAAATTCGTTGATCAAGAAGAATTTCATGTCGAAAAAAGAAGAAAAGGAGATGAGCACGAGATACTTACTTGAAAATTTGTACGTAAACCGTATATGTTTCTGTGCATCTCTTTATTGCCGAGCTCCAGCCGTTCTATCTTATCGCGAAGATGGTGTATCCAATTATTCGACTCGGAAACCGTCGATGGTACTTCGGCATCTGTTTCTATGGCGAGGGCCAATCTGGTTAACCGGTCATGAGAGGACGTGCATAAGGAATCTTCCTCCAGGAGGATCTTTGTCTTTTCGGGATCGCTTTGTAGATTCTCGAGGATAGATGTTACTTCGTTGATGGTGATATCTCGGTCCTGCGATTTAATTAATTTCATTTTAGTCTGTGTAGACATTTTATAGTTAAATCAATTTATTCCAATTGGAAAAATTCGAAGAGATAGTTTCCAAAAAAATCCTCATTTATATTATTTTAGTAATCTAATAAATTATTAAAAAAACACTCCTCAATGTTTAAAGTCGACCAGACTGGCAATAATTTATTATAAATAATTATTTGAAATACAACAACAACGTTTCGGCTGTCATTGCAGCCCTTTTCAAGTACATCAAATTTAAAACAGTAAATCAACTTCTATGCAAACTACCGACAATGTTAACGCTTGTTTTGATGAACAATGTAAGACTGACAGAAGTAAGCACATATTAAATAGATGTTAACTGTTCACAAGAATCTTAGTCACTCAACTGGTGACTAAGATTCTTGTGAACAGTTAACATCTATTTAATATGTGCTTACTTCTGTCAGTCTTACATTGTTCATCAAAACAAGCGTTAACATTGTCGGTAGTTTGCATAGAAGTTGATTTACTGTTTTAAATTTGATGTACTTGAAAAGGGCTGCAATGACAGCCGAAACGTTGTTGTTGTATTTCAAATAATTATTTATAATAAATTATTGCCAGTCTGGTCGACTTTAAACATTGAGGAGTGGTTTTTTATTAATTATTACTGGCAACCTTAAGGATTATTATTTATTTACTAATAAATTATCTTGAAAAATTGACTCTTCAAGAGTTTCAATAATTTTTAATTTTAATGTAAATCGAGGCTTAGTATATAAAAAAATCTTACGTTTCCAAAATTTACGATACATTGATCTCTCGATGCGATTGCCAGCTCGTCGCAGAGACACATCGGCGTGCTTCGCGCTTCGCTCTGCATCTCCAAGCTCCAATCGTAGCTTTGTATACCGGAAGTGTCCTCGAGAGAGACTGGCCGACTTATCAGATCCTTGCAGTCGTCCCAGGTAGAATTCAGTCTGTCGTAGCTCGACCTGCTGCTGCTGAACGTTCCTGTACTGCGATCTTGATCGGCCAAATGATGATCATCGCTCGATTTCATCGATGAATTTAAATCACCATTAACCCGTTCGAAAATAGAGGAAACCTGCCCATGTGTTCTTATATCCGGTATGTTCAGAAGCACTCTTAACTGCGTTGCACCTGCGTTCATGATTTTTTGTATATTTTATTTTTTGGTGTAATTTCTTATTTGTATTTTTATATAGTTGTCCTTGATCACATATTTATTAAATTCTGGTAAAGAATAGACTATTAAAATGGGACCATATCAGGAATTTGGATTAGAAAATTGATTTAGTTAAGTACTCTCTCTGTAAAGAAGTTTAACAGAATAATAAATTGATTCTAATTAAGGTTTCTTTCTTAAATTCGATCATTTTCATGAAAGATCGTTTCCAGAGATTTTTAAATTCTATTTTGACTTTCATGCAGAGACTTTATAGATATTACTATGAGCATAATTTTTATTCTATCATTACTCGAGCTATATGTATTAAATAATAATTGATATTATATCCAAAGAAATTTTATTCACATCTGACGGAAGAGAATGTCGATCAAGCTCGAATTCGCATCATCGATCAAGTCTCGGAGAGAGGGCTCACTTCCATTAACTTTCTTCAGCTACTTCGTCTTGACAGACTCAATCGAGTCTCACCTAGGATCGAAGCCCGACCGCAACAATGCCAGCGGCAGAGTTTTGCAGTCTCACGCTACTCGGCATCTTTCGCAGGCGCACAAAGCTTCCGCGAGGACGTTGCAAACGAAGTAAATCTGATACGTCAAGCAACTCGATTCCGCGCATCGGTAAACCGCGAAACTTTATTAGGTCAGGTCGGGTACCGGCTTCGCTTGGAGGAAAAGAGAGAGGAAGGAAGGGTACTAGTTTAAGGGACAAGCTTGTTTCTATCGCCACTTCCTTCCAGCGATTCATACAAAAAGAGAAGAGAATTATTCACGGAAAATAAATTAGCTATACTGTATATACCCAGATGTCAGACATCCAAATGAATTCTTTTCGAATAGCTGTGCTATCTGGGTACATAGACAGTTAAAATGTAGCTAGCCAGATAGCACAAGCTATTCGAAAAGAATTCATTTGTATGTCACCAATTTCGAGTCCCTTTTCAAATACATATAGAATTCATGTATTTTTTTACATTCTATAATTTTCGAAATTGGTGACAAAATGCATGAATTCTATTTTGTAAAATGAATTCTATATGTATTTGCAAAGGGACTCGAAATTGGTGACAAAATGAATTCTATATGTATTTGAAAAGGGACTCGAAATTGGTGACATACAAATGAATTCTTTTCGAATAGCTTGTGCTATCTGGCTAGCTACATTTTAACTGTCCCTATATTTACACATGACCTCTCTAATATTCTTTAGCTATAAAATTCTCATTAAACTATAGTTAAAAAATATTAGTTATCATAGCTCAAATTTAGGCATGATAACTAAATTTCAGATTGTAATATAGGGACATTTAAAATTTAGCTACACTGAAAAAATTTTTTTTAAACTTGATTAAACTTTCAATTAAACATTAATGTTAATTGAACATATAAAAATATTTAAATTAAATATAATATATGCATGAAATCATATATTTGACATATATATATATATATTTAATTAACAAATAATAGTATAATTTAGTTGAAAGGTTTAGTCAAGTTAAAAAAATTTTTTTTCAGTGTACGAGGAACTAATTTTTTTTCCTGTAGACTTCATGTATGTACCAATTTGCTTGGAATCAATAAGCCGGTCCAACTGTTTTCGGCAACGACGAGACTTCCATTCTCCGCTCTTGTTCCCCGATCGGAGTCTCGTTTGTGAGAAGGTAAAGTGACGAGGAGACGGTACGAGTATCTTGTATTCTTGAGCTCGGATCAGTCTTTCCGGTGTGTAGCAAATAGCCTTGACTTCTTCCCTCATGCTGCTGTCTTCAGCCATGGACCAGCCACTCATCTGCATGTCAAAATTATTCATTAATTTTGCATCCATCATACGAATTTCAACAGCGTATCATAAAGATTCTTTGTATATCGAACATTTTATGATTGATATAAATGTAAATAAAAAAAGATATTCGTAGATATATAAAAAACTACTGAATGAAAGAGAAAGAGAGAGGGAAAGAGCTCCATCCTCTTTAATTTTGCCGCAACTTTAGAATATCGTGTATATTATGCGGAAAACACAGATCTGTAAATTAAAAATGTCACTCTTAAGGAAAATAATTACAGTAAGTTTTACTTTACAGATTTGTTTTATGCATAAAAATATATTAATTAATATACTCACACTTTCATGAACCAGATCGGCGATAAATGCTAATGTTGATCATGAATAATAAAAAATGCAGATGGCAGCAACATTCTAGATTGCGTTCAAAAATATATTCACCGAAGTGCAAAATTTCGCTCGACCAATCAGAAGCCGAGGATTTCTTCGCTCTGATTGGTCGATCGGTTGCTTCGCCCGAAGTGAACACGTTTCCGAACGCTGCTGCCCTCTGCTGCACTTTCGCATCGTTCGTGCTCACGGTCGCGCGCTCATCTCGCCGGTCCGTAAAAGCAGAGTATATTAAGTGAGTACATTCATTATCGTCCTTAATTATGTGAATTATCGTATAAATCCGATCGCGCGGCGTGTCCCGACATCGCGATCGCGATCGTGCGCGCAAAATGAATCTCGTCGACCGCGAATCTCGCTCGTTCGTCTCTCGCGTCCCTCGCGATCTTCGCCACCTTGGCGCGCCGAACATTATTTGCGCGCGCAAATTTACGCGGGAGAATCGCGAGTTATCGCGGGCGCTTTCGGCGCGGATTTTCCGGAGTTTTTTGACGTCGTCGATTATATTCTAAGCGGGCGATCGCGCGTTTCCGGTCGTACTTCCGTGTCATTGTATCGAAGTATCGTTACGCGGTGAATTAGGTTCGTGATTCGCATGAAAATCGCGTCGACTACGACTACGGTCGACTACGACTACGCCGCCATATTGTTGTTATTTTATTTTAATATTGTTTTCGTCGTCGAATATTCAGTGAACTAAGGAACATATAGGAACGCGTAGTGCTCGATTCTTGCGAATATCGGCGACTCCTGGTGCGTCGCGAGGAAGTCGTCATCATTGTTCGACAAGACCCTTCGATAAAGCCTTGAAAAAAGCGGAGCATCGGCTTTAACCGCGCGTGAATAAGCTCTCGCGAATTTCGCGTCGGAAATATAAATGCTAAAACCCGGGTGTCGTCGCGAGTCGCGAGTGTTTTGAAGCTTCTTCTACGAGAATAAGGAGCCTCGGACTGGCATCGAGCAACAGCGGAACAACTATGATGGTAATAATTTATTTACTATTAATTTTATTATTAAACTCAATGTGAATAATAATTTTAATTTTTCGGTATTTTTATCAATTTTAAATTTCACTATCCATGTATTTATATTTTACAGTTTACAACTTCTGCTGCTGTGGATCATATTGGTGAGTCTAAATTTTTACCTAATTTTGGGTAATGATTTTGAAAATTCTCTTCAATTTTGCCAAAGTTTCACATGTGCATCGTATCGGTGAGTCTCAATTTTTACTTAAATTTTGGGTAATAATTTTGTGAAAATACTCTCCAATTTTGCCGAAACTTTACAATATTGTATAATATTTTTATGCATGACACACAAATCTATAAATTAAAATCCCCTTCCTCCCCCTCCCTTTATAGGGAAACGAAAATGGAAATATAAGTATTATGTAAAATAAATATCTATATATCTTATTTTTTGATTGTTTTCTTATGATATAATTATATTTGTATATATGATTAATGATAATATAATTAAATAATAATTTTTTTCAAATTATTGAAAATACAATGTAATAGAATTGAATTACAATGTTGCAATAGTAATTAATAGTAAATACTATTAATAAAAATAAATGATTAATTAATTAAATCTTTTTAATAACATAGAGTAATAAAAAATTTTATAAGATTAATATTTAAACATAAATACTACAACATTTTTAAAAATATTATGCTGTAATAAGATTATATTGCAAAATATTACATTACTTTTATCTTTTTTTTTATCTCATTACGTTTGATGAAATATAATATTAGGAACTATATTTCTATGATTTCCAGAAAGCCAGTAACTTAATGAACTGATAAGGTAAGCACTAACACATAGAAGATGAAGCATTAAATATTAGTAGATACATTACATATGTTTAGTTTGTTAAATCTGAAAAATCAATAGAAGCTAAGGCGATATTTATAGGCCATCTGACACGTTTTTATTTTTCTATGTGTTGTCTCCGAATATTCGTCAGGAAATAATTATTTTTTTCCTACTTAACAGTGACACAGTTTTAATTTATAGATTCGTGTTTTACACATAAAAATACACAATATTGTAAAGTTTTGGCAAAATCGAGAGAGCGGAGCTCTCTTTCAATATTACCCCGACTAATTTCATAGTTTATGTACATAAATTAATTTGCGGTGAAACAATTAATTATGTGAAAAATAATACTATAATATATTGTTGTCTATATATGTACTTATATGTATATAAAACTATATGTAATGTATATGAATATGTTTAAACGAATTTGTGATTAAACAATTAGTCTATGGTGAGTACTATAATATATCATTGCTTGCAAGTTGCAAGTGATATCGATTACTGCACTTATTTACTTAGTTCTAATTAACTGAATAGTCTTGCGATTTGATAATTGGATTGAATGCAATACATTGACGAACAAAATAGGAGACGCGAAAATCATTAAAAATTACATTTACTGAAAAAAATGATAAAAATGCAACCAATATATGCACAGAGATTGTGTATACTGTAAATAAATTAAATCCCCATCAGAGAGAGAATATACGAACAGAGAGAATTCGACAAGTGCAAAATTAATATACGTTGATACTTTACACGCGCACACACATCTGTTTATTTATTAATGTAAGAATATATTCATAGTGAACCTGCAAGTACGAAAACATATCAGCAATCGTGTCACGAAAATCATGTGTGCAAAATTTAAAATATTTGAAGACATATTACATTAATAAATCTTATTTTTTATATATTTTGCTTCAAAAGTATTGATAAATTATATTTACATCATGTTATATATACAGAGTGTCTCTAAACTCTTAGTGCCAAAACTAATATAGCAGTTTTAGCACATAAAAAATCGAAAATGTTAATAAACATACATTATCTGAATCCGAACAATTTTGAAGTTATTGAGTATTGAAGTTGCTTTCGTAAAACAACATAAATTGCAATAAAATTTAATGTTATTTATTCTATTTAAATCTTTACAAAAGATACTCAAAAATTCCTCTGTCGACTTTGACATACTTTCCAGCGCAAATTAATAAATTATTTCGAGCTTTTTGAAACATATTATTTACGAAATTGGAAACATTTTTCAAAAAGCTCGAAATAATTTATTAATTCGTGCTAGAAAGTGTGTCAAAGACAAAAGAATTTTTAAGCACCTTTTGTAAAGATTTAAACAGAATAAAGAATATTAAATAATTTATATTTCAATTTATATTGTCTTAAGAAAGCAACTTTAATACACTAATTTAAAAACTGTTCAGATCCTGAAATATGTTTATGAATATTTTTGATTTGTTTTCATGTGCTAAAACTGCTGTACTAATGTTGGCACTGAGTTCAGAGACATCCTGAATATACACTGAAAAAAATTTGACTACTCAACTTGACTAATCTCTTAACTGATCATTTTGTTAATTGAACATATATTAATATTTAAGTCAAACATACGTTTTGTGTGTTGGATTTAATACATTATATTTAATTTAAATATTTTTATATGTTCAATAATTAACAAAATAATATTTAGTTGAAAAGTTTAGTCAAGTTAACAAACTTTTTTCAGTGTACATATGTATATATATTATAGAATATTTTTTAAATAAACATGATTCTTGCCTACCGTTTCCTTGGTGTCTTTCTCGATTAAATCGACATCTAGCTCCAGTTCGTCCCGCGAGAACGAGCTCAGCTCGATCTTTTCCGAACAGTTTCCGCTTCCTTCTTGTTCCTGTCGCGACACATCCTGGACGAAGTTGTGGCTGTCCGAATCGTCCGAATCGACGCAGGTGGACAGCTTCGGACCGGATGATGGATGATCCTTACCGCGATGCGATACCACGATTTCCCAATCGTTGTGCAGCCACCAACCGAAATTTTCCTCCTCGTTTGACGAGGACGAGTCGTGTTTTGCGGCGGCACTTCCTCTTCCGTCCAGGTAGAACATCGCGCACCCTTAGATCCTTGACGTTTTCCAATTGACGTGGGGCGCGTGCGAGATTTTTATCACGTCGAAAACTCTGTCTGCAACAGGGAACGAGCGATTGACATGAGCGAGGATGCAATCGTGTTTCGCGCAAATTTTCGCAAACACCTGACGCACGCTTTCGTATCTCGATTTGCGCACGCGATGGGGATTCTGTGCAAAATTCCGAGATTTGTCGGAATAAATTCGCCTATTCGCCTCGATCTGTCAAATTCTTGCGTGTTTCGATTTTTCGATAATAAATATACATTTTTTGACAAATTTTCGAGGACCAAAAATAAGGCAAAGGTTTTTCATTTCATTGCACGAAGCAGAGTAAATAAATGATGACAAGCAATGCAATATTAATAATCAAAAAGTATATACTAGATAATCAATAATAATTAATAAATAAAAATATTAATATTAATTATTAATAATAAAAATACACACATTTAGAAACACCTTATTTCTTAAGGAAATTTTATAAAACAATGTGAGGAATATTTGCATCGTGAAATGCTATAAATAAATACATCTACCTTCCTTCTTGCTTTATTAATTATATTTGCTTATACAAATTTATTCGGGTTTCTTGACTGATTCCGTTTTGATCAAGTTGGATTTAAAATCAACGAGTCAAAGTACAAAACGCGGAGCCGAATGGGGTCTATATAAAGTCGGTGAAGTGTTAATACGTCAAATATTAAATCATTTATGTGAATCGCGGAAACCAGCGAGAAGTGTATGTACGTCCCTTTACAGTTTCGAAACTCATACAAGCGTTTCAACTATCTTTGCTTATCCTTCAACGTCACTATATTAAGTATGCGCTTAATGTTGAATATGTTAAGCTGAACAAATGATGAAATTTCCACTCGCTCGAAAAGCAATTCGCGTGTAATGCAATTTTACAAAATTTCAAAATTCCAATAACCGACTGATGTGTTTAATTAATAATATAAAATTAAAAATTTTATCCTTTTACAAGAATAATGAAAACCAATACTATTTGAAAATTATTCAATTTTTTTACTCGTTAATTTTTATATATTAATTTCATATCATTTTCATTTAAAAATATATATAAATTATAATTTCATTATCCGTGCAAAATATCTATTTTTAGTTATGTTTTGTACTTTTATCGATTATACAAAACCTATTTCTTTTACCAAAGCTTATTAGCTATTTAAAGCTACTTAGTTTCTTGTATCTTTCTTATTGCACACACATTTCTTTCATTTTAGTATAACAAGAAAACAGTATAAAAATACAAATATATATAAAATATGAAAGAAATATTCATCGATCTCTCTCTCTCTCTCTCTCTCTCTCTCTCTATTAGCTCCATCCGTTGTGATAATTATTTATACTTATAGGCTCGACTTCCAATGTAATTATTCGACGAGTATAATAATCGACATTCTCATAATGATGAACGCTGGTCAACAATAAATCACTAAACGATCGCGTTCGACGAACCGAGTCGTAATTTTTCTGCCCGACGATTTTTCATCAGATCGCACCTGGATTCAGTCGGTGCCCGTGATTGTGATTATTAATTACATCTCCCGGAAGAACAAGATCGTGGTGTTTTCCGAACCGCACACGTGGATCACATTTTGCTGCACCGATCATCGCGATTGAGCGTTCAATGCACGTCGCGTCGGACTGTACTTGGATTGTCCAGTGACCCATGTGGTCATCCATTTCCTTGACCACCGGGTCGTCATGGCGACTAATTTAATAATCCGTCATTTCCCGCATCGTGTCGCACCTACACTCGATCGCGTCGGTATGAGGTTCGTTCGCGGTTTCTGTGGTTCTTTCTTTTCTCTCTCTTTTAACTCCTCTCTTCTTCCTTCGTGTTTCGAAAAAAGATCGAGCGCATAATTGTTCGCAAATCTCTTCATTTCTCCGTTTTGATTCTATCTCCGCGGCGAGATCGCACGCCAATCGCGAAATCCGATCAGCAAAAAGCTCCGATCACTCGCGCGTAATCGCGACTCGATATGCGAAAATCCTCGTAAAAAAAAATTTGCTCCCTCCTTCCTTTTTTTATCCCGCTCGTGTAGGGAAAAATGTTGCGTACGCATTTTGAAAAGCAGCGCATGGTGATGCTCCCTGGAATAATTCTCTTCAAGCTCAGCTAAAACTCGAGCGCAAACCCGGTGAAAAAGAGAGTGAGTGACGTATTTTCCATCCGAATTACGTGAAAAGCGCTTATACAGCTTTCGAGCTAAGTGAGTAAGAACATTCGGTTGCATAAACAGTCTGGATTAAATGAGCATAAATTTAGCGATTCGTACTTTTCCTTTCGGCTGCATAATGCACTATGCATATATATAGGGAAAAAATTGTATCTCAATTTATTTTAAATTGCCTAACAATAAAAAAAAAGATAGAATTAACTAGAAGGAGTCTGTATTTTCTATCGACCGTCAATTTCTTACTTTAAAACAACACAACAAGCACTATGCTATGCAAGAACATACTGTTATTCAGCTCGCACACATACGTATACACTCGCAGACTTTGATCAAAACCAACCATTTGATCCGTCGTCGCCTCTCTTCGGGGTCTCTTTAGAAACGTTGGTTTAAGCTTAACCAGGTGTTTTCGCCTCTACACGAGATATCCCGGAATATCGCGCTGTTATCGATCTTACACATCGTTATTTATTGGTTTTCAGAGACCATTTGGTAAATACGCGACGAGTGTATATACGATTCCCGCCTACTGACACGAAATGACGTGTCTACAGGCTCTGTATTCACGATAACTCGTTGACCCAAGTGTGTGTATGTGTATCGTGATAATTTCAACCGTGTCAAGTATCGACTGTTTGACGTATAATCGCGTATCGTCACGATGTTGCTAAACAGAGGGGCTAAAAAGGTAGAGGGGAGAGCCAGCTCGTGTATATAAAGATAAATGTTGCGATCAAAACACGCGAGAATTAATCCGTAGAAATTATCGTAGACGGAATATTTTTTGCGAGAGAAAAATTACACAGAAAAAGTCCCGAAATATTGTGTTTTGGGAAAGAATTTTCACGCGATCTGTTTCCCCAAATTATTTAACGAGTATTCTGAAAATATGAACAATAAAGAGACATACCGGACATATTTTTAGAACGTCATAAAATAGTTGCTTTGCTTACATTTTTTCTCTTTTTTTTATTTTTATTTTATTTCCGTAAATGAGAATGATTTTTCTGCAGAAATTTACATGCAAGAGTTATTTCATGTTATTCAAAATTCTATGTATGGTACATATATATTTTTTATATATAAATTATATATATATATATATATATATATAATTTTATACGAGAATTATTGTTACTTATACAATATAATTAAGGAAGCACAGAAATATAATTACTCTCATCGAAACCTCTCCTAAATTGATTAAGGCGCAAAGGGATTTTTCTTGATAATATTCTAAATATGGAATGCCTCGGGCTCTTCTTGTATATCTATTCGAGTAACGCGCAAAGATTTAGAAGAGATATTCGAGAGATTAAACGTCTCGATTAGTTTAGATTGCCGGATTAGCTGTTGCACAAACGCACTTGTCACTCGCGCCAAACACGAACGAGGCTCGCACGGGGACTCGCGATTAAACACAGGGCGTGTACATACCGTTACATCACGGTTTGCTTGCACTGATTAATGACGAGGACAAGGGCAGCACGCAACGTAAATATTCGATTATTCTAATCGCCGGCATATTAATTCGATCGACGAAGGAAAAGTCGTTCAATCACCGTATTTCGCTCTGATTATCTTCCTTCTTCCAAGGAGACATTTTTCTCCTTAGGGAAAATTTTGAGAAAAATTTTTAAGAGAAATTTTCAGGAACAATTTTTTTTCTCCCAAGAAAGCGATAAGCGATTTATCATTTTTTTCTTTTCATTATTCATCGATCGATCGACAATTTTTTGACATTTCTTTCGCGCTTTTTTTTATATGATACCGCGATCGTATTTCCGGTAATCGTTGAGAGACACAATTCACTATCATCCTCGAAAAAAACCGGAAATTCGAGCTTTTAGTAACGGTATTTGATTTCGGAATCGATACGCGAAATCGTTTCAAATCATCGTTACATCGAAATAATTGATTTTGAAAAACTAGTGAAGTTATGGGTATGGATATATCGGTATTCGTAATGTTAAAAAAGTTTACATACATACACATACAAGAGATATATTGTATATATATCTAGTTATATTAGATTTCGAAATCAACGTGCGTGTTTTTTCGATGTTATAGCACTTGACACACACATATGATTTATTATTTACATTTGAAAATTAAACCTAAATGAGCTGTTTTATACACTTGTTTATATTTTTTATTTACTTCAATTAATTAATAGACATTTTATCTGTTTAATTAAATTTGCTTACCATTGACTTTTCTTATCGTGCTAGAGAAATTAAATCTAGATAAACTGACAGGTCGTATGTTATGTCGTCAAGAAAATATACAGTCACATATAGTCTCTCTTTGAAAGAGGAAGCGCGCCGATAACGCATCATCATCGCGAGGCAGATTGCCTTGCAGAATAAACTGTTTTCCGATCAGTCAGCCTGTGGTCTAGGGGTACGATCAAGAGGGTACTAATCGATAGACGTGTACATATAGGTATTCGAGACTGCATGCTGATTTTCGTTTTTTCCTAAGGATTTTTACGGTCAAAGTTCAGGAGACGCGACATTGAGCGGCCGGTAACAAACGAATTTTTTGGGATGTGTTTCGGGGATGAATATTAATCAGAATGACGTAGACAGGCCTTCAGGGAGAAAAAATGATCGCGCATCAGCGATAACGTTATCGACGCGGCGTTACGTCGTTGCACTCGCTATCAGGTGTAACGGATGCACCTCCGCGGCTGAGATCGAGTGTGATCACCGAGCGAGGTTTGCATTTTGATGGTCTGAAAATTTGTCAGAGACTCCTTGTGTGCAAAACGACACATTGAAAATTTTATAACGACAATAAAATATTAAATTTTGAAGATATTGAAGTATGACGATATTATAAATATTAAATTATGCGGTTCAAATATTTTATACAAATTTTATTTATACATTATGAAATGCAAAAATTTAAATCACGAATATATAAAAAAAAACACGTTCTGTATTTATATTAATTTTTAAATCACGGTAAATTTAAAATAAGAATGAATTTAAATTTCGTGTTTTAAAAATAATTAGTGAAGCAAAATATTACGAGAATAAATTTAATTTAAATTTCATGTTTTGAAAATATTAGCGAAGTAAAATATTTAAATTTGCGACCATTTTTAAAGTTGAATCTCTAGTTTACGTTCTTTATTATACGACAGGATAAATAGCATTTATTCAACTCAATTTCTTATTTGAGCTTGTTGTAATATAGCATGTCTTAAATTAGTTGCACAAAATACGTTGATGAGCTTACGTCGCAAAGATCACTTTTCACGTCACCCGGTATATAGTTTTTAATCACAGTCACCTTGTAATCCTGATTGGCTAACTTTGCCTTATCAAAGGAAGATCGATTATTCTCGCAGCGATAAGATGAATCGGATCTTGGACGCAATTCACACAAGAGCAAAAATCGCGAATGCGCATTTCGCGATTAAAAAAAACAGGGAAGGAAATGAAAAATCAAATATTATTAAATTACGCGACCAAGAACTATGAAATTACACCGATGTTGTTGGATAACAATATCGACCACTTCTCGATACAATGTTTGAGATTGCGAAGTACTTTTCTTGATCAATCAGTCACTCGATATGTTTATTGCATATGATTCCGATCATGGTTTATATGATATAATAAATAAAAAATTGATTATTGAATCGCAGTTTAATTATGGATGCTGTTTTTTCCGACTCATTAAGTGAAAAAAAATATATATATTTATTCGTAAAAAAATCGATTATTAAAATAATTGATTGATCGTTTAATATTTAATTATTAAAAATATTATATTTTTTATATTTCACGTTTTTATATTTTTTCGCATTTATATTATAATATACATAAGAATCGTAAGAACTTTTTGAACCAATATTGCGCCGGAAGCTCGTGTTTATCGTTTTCGATCGCGTATCTGTGTCCTTCTTGTATTTTACATGATATGCAAATTATCTTTCTTTCTCTTTCTTCGAAACGATTTGTGTTATCGGGTCGCGCTTGTGCGAGACCTCGATTTCGATAGCGATTGTAATACCGGAAACGAGAAATTCCTCGTGCCATTCTATTAGACGGATTCACATTTTTCTATTGTGTGACCCTGTACATTCCGCATCCTCTCCCTCGTGACATTTCGACTTACATCTGTTCGAGTCGATCGAATCTTTTTGGCGCGCAAGATAAATAGCTTTTCGTTTATATGGAAAATTCGCACATTCAAGAAATGGACATTAAATATATTAATCCTTCTGTCAGTGCAAAATTTTTCATCATTTTATCAATCTGTGGATACAACTGCATGTTTTCGACGGACTACAATTTCTTTATCGCAACTGCATCAAATATGCTTTCTTGTTATATTTTAGGAGGAATACAAAGATCCTTCATATTTTGTTTCGGGCAGAGCAAAGTTCTGATATATTTTTAACATTTAAAGTTCACTGACAGAAAGATTAAACGCGTGCAAAAGTAAATATTATTTAAATATTAGAAGTAAGATGGAAAAGAAATTTAATGAAAGATATTTCTTAAAATTTAGATCCGTAGAATATTTCTTGCAAATATATATAAGATTTTAAAGTATGAAAAAAGTAAGATATAATTTAATTTAAAGTGTATAAGATATTAATTCTCTCGTATATGAGCAGCCCGAGTAACATTCAATTATTAACTTACTTTGCGCAGTAATTAACGAAGTAAACAGAATATAATATTTCTATTAGTGGCTGAGGTTACACGAGATTTCCGAGACGCGAAAGGACTCGAAGATGTATATATTCCGAGAACCCGAGCTTATTTCTAAGTAAATCATTTCCATGAAAGTCACGTTCTCTTGTCGAGCGACCACCTAAGAATACGAGCAACTACCTAGAATGTGTCACGTGTTAAAATCTCAAGAAGATTTCCTCAGATTCTCTTTCTCTCTTAAATCTGCATATATATATATATATATACATTTATATACGTTTCTTATTTTCCCTTTGCGCACAAACAGATCCCGATCTATCCATCTATTTCTTAAATTTCCTCTCGCGTCATCCGCAAAGAGACAAAAAAAAAAAAGAGCAGAAAAATAAATAAAATTCGCGCTTCCGCATTCCAAAATTCGAACAGGTGCGGCGCACGCGTAGACGCAGAATATGCGCGCGTCGACAGGGGTAGTTGTCCGGTTTCGGCGCGGGGGCGAGTTGTTCGTCGTCGGCGGCGTTAACGGATCGATAGCGGCGCGAGGGTAGTGCGCGAACATCGTCGCCGTCGTCGTCCTCGTCATCGTCATCCTCATCGAAGTGTCGAGCCGAGCGCGTCCGAGCCACCACCGGGTTATTATATTTTAGGAGGTGCGTCGTCGAGAAACGCACAGTCGGCCGATTGCGTGGGACGGGCCTCGTTCGCGGTAGCCTCGTTACGTCACATCCGCGAGTCGTGTGCGGATATATCGTAATATCACATATCGGATATATAGTAGAGTATTTTTAGGGCATATCGTGGACGCCGGCAGTGCGCGAGACCGAGCTTCGGTGCAAGGGAGGAAAACCGCGTGCGGAGAGAAAAACGCGCGCGTCGTCCGCGTCCGCGGGGTTATGTGTCGCGGCGGCGCCTCCCGTGGGGTGGCTAGGAGGAAGCCGGCACCGTTGACGGAAGTCGCGAGTGACGAAGAGGCGCGTTGAAACGCGCGGACATGTCCGCGATGTCGTGGGGCACGGCCACGGCGGCGCCGTGGCGTAGAAAAACCCGGGTACCTCTGCTGCTGCTGCTGCTGCTGGTGGTCCTCGGATTGCTGCCGGCCACCGTCGTCGGCGAGAGGAACAAGAAATGTGAGTTCGTTCCTCCCTTTTTAGCCCTCCCGATTTTTCGAGGGGTGAGCTTCTCGAAATGTGATAAAATATTGTATCGTTCGTGTGCTTTTGATCTCTCTCGAGTATTTCGATACACGTGGCGATTAGGCGCGATTATTTAAATGTATACCCACTGCTGTACCTTTACCCTCCCTCTGACAATTTTTAGGAGTCACGTGATTTTTAAATTTTAAAACTTTAGATTTTTTTCCATTGAGATTTCTCATGTTACGTTATATTTTTATTCATCTATGCGAAATAATTGAACATATTTATTCTGTATTTTGTATAATTTAAATTCATATTTCGCTTGGAAAAGAACATACAAGTTTTATTTTACGATATTCGTAAATCAGAACATTTCATAAAACGCGCGTCATATAATAATTATATTTATTATTAACGTGGAAATAAATTGAAAACTGAATTGAATATTCCCTCTTTTAAAATTACATACATACGAAATGACAGATCAGAATGACAGATTACCCTCTGCACGAATTTTCGCATTTAAAAATTCGCGAATAAAAGTTTCTTCTCTCTAACATATATTTTCCATTTTTCTCTTGTGTGTACTTTATAATACATACAATAATAACGCCATACACTGCGCGGTTTACTTTGTAAGGACACGCGATACGGAAATGGATGCGCGAGATGAGAATGAATTTATTTGACACTTGTATATATGTATATATTGATCTTTTCCGGCGAGTCTCGAGATCTTTCCGAGTTTTGTAGCGCGCGTCTCATTCATAATACGACTGAACGGTAGTACGCGCGTAGTAGTATGTTTACTACGCTGTGCGTACTCCTCTTCCACCCCTTTCAACCCCTTACGCTTCTTGCGCGCAAACGCGTGCGCTCAACTAAAAAAGAATGAACGCGACAATCTCGTCGCCGATCGATACGATCGTCGATATCTGCGCGCATTTTTTTCAATCGTAACGACGTGAAAACATTGCATCGCAAGACCGTGATTACGTTCTGCTTCTAAAATAGGAGAGCGCAGATCTTTTTTTGCGTCATCAATTAATTTACCAGTGTTTTGGAAAATCGAAATCGGCCTTTCTTTGAGTTAAAAATTAATTTTTTTATTAAAGATTTTTATTTAATCTCTTTTACATTAAAAGATCGAGACAAATTATATTGAAGGAGAACTGCAACAATTTCCGCTTGTTATACTGGGAGAATAAATTGTGATTTATTATGTTTACCGAAGACGGAAGCTGTGCATTCTTGTTGCGCATTTTGATTTTACGAGTTTTCAAGAATTTATTACGATCCACAAGTGTTATAAATGACTATATGAATGCTGAAGAATCTCTTTCATGAAAAACAGAATTTATCCGCCTTGAAAAAGTAAAATAATATTATTAATAGTAATATTAAAATAGTGATATTAAAACAATATATTATCTTAATATAATAAAATAATATTATTTTCACGTTGTTTCTGTTAAGAAAAGGTAAATCATATAACACTCTTTACGGTAAACCGATATGATTCTTTCAATAATTTAGTAATAATCGATTTCCTCAGCTCTTATTACGTTGTCTTTCCCTTTTGAAATTCATCAGAGATCACCTGCATTAAGTGCTCGCGAAATAAAACATAGTGATTAAACGTACATTTATCGTCCGCCTGAGCGAAAAACTTAGGAATACTCGATCCCAGGGAAGGTCCCAGGAAAAAAGTTAAATTAACCCCAACTTTAATCGAAGCGGTATAATCGACGGCGCACGTAAAATCCTATCTTTTTGATGAAATTGCCTCGTTATCTGAACTTCGTGAGTGGAAAGGCCGGGCCACCGCGGATCCGGTTAAAGAGAACAGTACGTCGTTAACCTCCGTTAGACACGCTCGTTAACATAGCGCACGAATTGCATTTTTTTTTCGTTAACCACCGCGTCGAGTCTCATCTCTGCCGCGTAAAATATATATATTCTCCCAAGAAGTGTCGGAGAATTTCGAAAAAAAGATGAATACTCTTAACTCATGAAAATGAAAAAAAAAAAAAAAAAAATTCATCCTCTCCTCGTCTTCTCGTATATACATTCATATATTCATGTCCGCAATTACTTGCACGATACGCATACAGAAACTCAAATTACTAGAATGAAATTTTTATTACGCGTCTCTATTTTCCACTGAAATAATATTATGATAAAGTTTAGGGAATAATTAAGAAGTTTCCACGCACGAGTTAAACTAATACACTTTGTGGTAATTTACTTACGTCGAATTTCATTATGCGTGATTCTAAAGGAACTACAACGTTTACTCAAATCTATTTACACTGTATTAAGAATATTGTAAAATGATATGATCAATGAGTGTAATTTTATATATACTTTTTTATGATGTAGCATATCTGTATTTAAAATTGAATATTTCTAATAATTCTTTAAATTATTGTAATTTCTTTACGCAATGATGAATTATTAATTATATTGGAAAATTGGAAGTCCAATACCTTTAATAAATTTTAAATGAATGATTAAGTAGAATCGCACATTAATTCATAGCAATTCATATGATCCATATTAGATTTAATAATGCAAACGCATTCCCAGATTACTTGGACATTTTTCTTAATAAACCCCAATCGATGTTCCACGACCCCTCGGATGTTCCATGTCGTCCCTTGGCGTCCCATTTTTCTCGGGAGGATTGTTTTTGTTAATCTCCGTTTCTCGTCGTACGTAAGGGGTGAATGTCTGTCTCCCTTCCTTTATATATAACAAACTTCTCCTTTTTCTACCACTCACTTACCCTTATATACGCGTTTCACTTCACGATCCGCACAATGGCTTTTCGTTACGCGAAATTCCTCGCGAAAATTACCATCTTCGTTCGTGTCTGCGCGGATGAAGTAATAAAAGAAAGTAATAAAAGATTCTTTCCATTTTATCCCCGAAGTTGAATTTCGGTACTGCAATCCAATCGTTCAAAATATTATTATTCGACGCTTCTATTCCTGCCTTTCTCCATCTCTTTTTTACTCGCTCCGTAAGAATTTCTTTTTTCATCCTTCTAAAATCGTCTTGAGAAATTCCTCCTTGCTCCAATTCCGTTCATCCTTACAATGGTTATTCGCATATATCAGTAGCACGTTTCAGCTCTCTGACAAATCTCTGGCACTCGACGATTTCTCGTAAAATGGTCGAACACGCGATTGTATCGATTGTTATCGCGTAGAATAAATCGGCGCGCGACTTTTTAGGGGTTTATTTGCGCGAGATTATTTATTCGTAACGCCGCGAGGCAGCTTGACGAAGTATCGGCGTATACGAAAATTGCGGTAATCACCGGTGAAGTTACAACGTTAATTGTTTGCACCGGGATTACATCCGCGCCCGGGAACGAACGCGGCGGCGACCGATAAACGAAGCTAATTACGACAGTCGAATTAGCTCGGGGAACGCTCGTCGAGCGGATGATGGATCGATCGATCGATTGATCGATCAATCGATTCGCGCGACACGTTTTATCGCGTCCTTTGCGGAATCGTTTGCGCGCCTGATTGCGCCGTCGTTTTTATAAAAGTCATCTACGGATGAATGCGATCAAAATGTGTACATCTCACATGTTTTTTCTCCTCTCTTTTTTTATTCTCTTTTCAACACGAGTGCGATATCCGTTTTCTTTTTGACGCACGACGCGATTGTCGGAAAATGAAAAGCTACAATTCCTGTTGCGACAGCAAGAATTGAATTAATAAAGCGCGGAGAACACATCATCGAATCGTATTTCGCGAAACGAGAACAACTAACGATATTTTCTTTTATGATGGTGATTCTGTTTTCGCTGTTTGACACAATATGCGATGCAGATGTGTGAAAACTTCATATTCGCGCGAGCTTTTGTACGCGTAAATTTTTTTTTTTTTTTTCGGGAATATTGCTCCCCCGCGCATCTAAAAATCCATATACTCCGAATATATTGTGAAATATATAACGATATTTCGACGCGAATGTTGCCCCTCCGTAGGCAAATTTTCTATCCATTTGCCACCGTTCGTCGTATCGATTTTATTTTTCATCATGGGCAATTTCAAGAGAATCGTTTCTTCTTCATTGTTTTGAGATATTTTTATACTATACAATTTAGATATGTGCATTACGCATATATGTATGTATAACTCTACCAGATCGATCAATATATTATATTTTTGCATTCTAAGTGCATGTGTATGCGGAGACATTTGTTTGAAATAATAAAACTCACGCGATTTTTCACGGAAAATATTTGTGAAACTGTGAAATGTTCCCGTTCTTTCGTCACTCTTTCAGATTCGAATATTTTTGTTCGATTTAAAGATAAATGTAATTGAAATATTTAAACAAAATAAAAATGAAAAAAATGGCGTCGCGATTTTTCGGATATTTTCTTCCATATATGATACATAGAATCGATCCTTAAATTTTGCTTATATTTTCGGGTCAAGTGTTTAATTTTCCGACCGAATAAGCAATTTACGAGATCCCACTTACATATATACATATATATTTCTCTCCGTTTTACTTAGCTGCCATGGAATTCGACCTAATACCTCTCTCGTGCGACATTGATTTTGTCTCTCCCGGTGTATATCGTCGTGCACTTGAATGCCTTCCTAGTCTTTTTCCCTCGGAAATACACTTGCTCTATATTTGCAACGAGCTTTCAAGGGTCCGAGTTGCTCGTGTCTTGCATCCATCTTGCTATCTCTGAATCCGTGTCCCCTCGAGCGTGACAGAAACGTGCGACGACTTTTTATCGTTCGCTTCTTACGCGTGAAAACAAATCTAGCGAATGAAATTGGACGAATTGCTATCGATGCAACACGTGCCAAGTGACATTCCAAAGAAAATGGTTCTTTAAAACTCGAGAAAAATAAACTCATATACATATATACAGGGTGTCTACGTAAAGTGTCACACCGAAAATATACAAGTAGATCTCGTTATTTGGAGATGATTTTTCCTCAGCAAAA